CAAGCTACACAGTTAGTTATCCAGTTATCTATCAGTTGTTAAACTCAAATGAAATTTACTCAATTCTTCATTAACATTAATCAATCAACATTGAAAAGAGAAGAATTTGGTGAAAAAAAAAACTTGCACAAAAACGTGAGAGAGCAGTGAAAAAGCGACGGAAAGCCGATTTTTGGCAGAATCCATTTTGTCCACAAGAAAAAAAAAAGAATTTTTAGGGTTATGAAGAGAAAAAGAGAGAGAAGACGTGGGTGAAGAGAAGAAAAGAAAAGATTCCCTTTCAGTGTGTAAATTCCTCGTTTCACTTCTTGATAAGCACTCGTTTTCATTTTTTTTCGCGCTTCAAAATGCTGTGTATCGTTCATTTTTTGAAGAAAGTTAAGAAGTTTTGAAAAGAAGAGCTTTAAAATGTTATGAAGTTAGCAGGTGAAGGGTTTTAAGAAATTAACAAGACAAGGAGGGCAAGGTACTGAAGGAGTTTTCTAAAAAGATTTTACAGTTTTTCTCAAAAATGTAAAAAAGTTAAAGATTCAAATAAAATGAATGGCTCAAATCGATTTGAATTGAATTGAATCGAGTGAACGAATCGAGTGAACCAATCGAATCAATCGAATCAATCGAATCAATCGAATCAATCGAACCAATCGAATCGAGTGAGCCAATCGAAGCGAACCAATCGAGTGAACCAATCGAGTGAACCAATCGAATCAATCGAATCAATCGAACCAATCGAAACCCACAACTTCAAAGCTGAATAACTTTTTATCCGTATTTCTCTACAAATTCTAGTCAACTCCAGGACTTTGTCGATCAAAAATTTCGCTGTTTTCAGCATTTGGAAATATTTTTACTTTGAAATTTGTTAGTATTTTTGCTACAAATTCTCTAACCTGTTAAAGTAAAACTTTTCTTTGGTTTGACAGGCTTTTGTGCCAAAAGCAAAAACTTGGTTTGAAAACCTGAAATCTGAAATCCTCAAGGCTTTCAAATCAATCCTCAAAACCGAATATCATCTTTTAATAGCCGATAGATTGATAGAAGGATTACTGATAGAGGACCGATAGATTAAAGTAAACTATCGATAGATTAAAGTAAGGGATAAAGAAAGGATAAAGTATCCTTTCTTTATCCTTTATCCATTTCTACATTAAAACCTCATCAAAACTGCTTAGGCTTGGCGATAATCTTCTAAGCTCTTTGTAACAAAACAAAGTCATTCTAAGCTAAGTTCCTCAAAGTACCCTATAGACTATAGTACTTTGAGGATTCTGACTCATTTTGAATTCAGATCCTCAACCCTATAGACCATAATTTGGGGATTTTGGAGAGCATCGAATCTCTCCTTTAAACCAATCGAATCTCTCCTTTAAACGAAAAAGTTTGAGTAAAAGATTTTGAACAAAAGATCTCGACTTTTCAACAGGCACTTTTCAAAAGCATTCGAAACCAAGTACCGGACAATTTAGAAGAATTACTTTAAAACCCGGGCAGAGCATATTACTCAAAAATTGGGTCTTCGGGCTTAGAATCCAGCCGACTCACTAACAGTTCTTAAACGGATAACTGTTGGAGGACCCCTGTGAACTCAATCTATCCAGTACCTCATCGTACTCTCCAACTAATGTCTGTCAAAAGATTAGAACATCTTCAACAATGAAAAGAGCTCAGAGATCATTCAAATTCAAAGATCATTCAAAAAGTCAGTCACCCATTTCTTTTGACGCCGTTTTTCGATCGACGCCACTGCTCATTCTCTCTTTTTCCTTCTTTCATTTCCCCTTTCCCCCTCATAGTCGTATTTCTTCTCCCCGCATCTCGGAATGGCCAAATCCTGGGCGCAAATATTGAGAAAATCCAACCAACACAAAAAAACTACCAAAATTAGAGACGGCACCCGGCCGGTTGATTGAGGGGGGATTCTTTCACACAAACGCCCACAAAACATCAACAGATTTTTTGGGTGAAAAGATATGTGGATCGTTTGAGTTTTGAAATGGAAATCGTCTAGCGAACAGCGGACAATGTTGGACTCTAATGGGAAGTGTTGATTGGTGAACATGTCGAGAATGAAGTAGAATGAAATAAATAAATGACAAAATAAGTTCATTTATTCGATGTTGAATCAAGTGGGAGATCGTTCAAAAAGAACAAAACGTTCTCTTGAACAATTTTGAACAAACTATGCGTATTCAGAAATTGATTAGATTGATCAGATTGATCAGATTGATCAGGTTGAGCAGATTGATCAGATTGAGCAGATTGATCAGATTGATCAGATTGATTAGACTGAGCAGATTGATTAGATTGATTAGATTGATCAGATTGATCAGATTGATCAGATTGATCAGATTGATTAGATTGTTCAGATCAATAAAGAAATTGATTAGATTTGCTTCAAAAGTCAGTTTCAAAGTTGAGAAAATGTCTTAAATCGAAGAAGTTGAAGGCTTTGCGCACTTAATTTTATGTCGCATTAAGCTAATAAACTCAAAATCTGTTTTAAGAAATAGATCTATCAAAAGAATGATCTCAAATCGAAGCTCAGAATCGATTCTATTTGTATCTTATAGAGTCGACTATGCTGATTCCGAATATGTAGATTTCTTTCCATATATATGTCGCAGCCTCTCGTGATTTTCAACCGCTAGTGATTCAATCGCCATCGGTCAGATGTTTCGTTAAAAAAATTTCAATTACCTTGGCCGATGGTTAGGCTTAGGCTCAGGCTTAGGCTCAGGCTCAGGCTCAGGCTCCATTGAATCAATCACTAGCGGCTGAAAATCACGAGCGACTGCGACATATATATATAAAAGAGCAGTGTCTATTTGTCTGTCCGTCTGTACGGGCTTTTTCTCAGTACGTCTCTTTGAGTCAAAAGTCAAAATTGAGCGGCACTACGGGCGGTCGAACCCAGCTTGTTTGGGCCGTAGACAAGCGCGCTCCCAACTGCGCCGCAGCGACAAATGCAGTAGCCCAAACATTCGGCTAGTTAACGGTTATAAAGGGCAAGTTTTAACGCGAAAATTACTTCATAAGATACACCCAAATCGATTCTGCGCTTCGAATTGAGGCCACTCTTTTGCAAGAAGTGAGTAAGCAAAACATAAAAGCAAGTTTATGATGAAAATGGGTTTGGAACAATTAAAAATTCGAATAAATTGAGTGAAAAGTGGAATTTCAGAGATGGCAGAGAGGCATGTGATGGCAGAGAGGGTTCAGTTAGTCGAAAAGGGGCAAAACAAACACACAAATAATATTCAGGTATGGAAAAGAGAAAAGGAAATGAGTGAAGAACACAGAAGTGAACGAAGGAACGAAGCCAATGAAGAGAAAGGAACAAGGGTAGAAGCTCGTATCCAATGGCAATGCTCAGGCGATTCAAAGGCAGACCCCCGAAAAGTGAACTCTTTTTTCGATCTCTCAACTTTAGATCAACGACATTGCAAATTCAATTTCCAATTTCAAAAATGGAATTACAAAACTTTACAAAACTTTGGCTTAATTTAAAGGCTTATTTTAAAGTCACTAGTGAACTAAAAGTGTTAAAGAGTCACGTCTAAAAACCCTAAACACTCAAGAGTTTGGCTTAAAAACAAAATCCGTAGACAAATTGGTTACATTTGTGGCGGTGTGTGTGCTGAGATGGGCAGCGACAACATCGAGGTCCAAACAGAGAATCGGCACATGGAAGAAAAGGAGAAAAAAGATCGGGATGATGACTGACAAACAGAAACCCCCTTCCATTCCTCTTTGCCATTCCTCTTTTCTTGCCATCACTCTATCTTTTCTTCTCCACTTCTCCATTCCCATCTCTTCACATTCTTGTCTTCTCATCAAATCAAGATCACTGGCCACTTCTTTTGTAGATCATGGTCTTGTAGGGATGTAGAAAATTAAACTATATAAAATTAAGCTATAGAAAACGAACCAGTCCCACGTCAGCTCTTGTCAGCACGGATTGTATCCACGCTTTAGAAAACAAAAGCTGTTTTCTAAAACGTGGAACTGATTTATTTTCTATAAAAAGCTAATGTCAAATGTCTTGACTCATCTCATCATTTCAGCCATTTCATCTTTGTTTTATGATTGATGTAACAAAAAAAAGTAGAAAAAGGGTTACAAGGATCAACATGAAGTTGAACTGGTTAGAAAATAAAGGCTCCAATGCTCCAGTGCTTAAACAGCTTCAGTGCTTTGGTTTCTTAGTTCGATAAAATTGGTGTTAAAAATGGTTCTGAATAAAGATATTGACATCGCTTAGTCTAGAGTCGATTCTGAACTTTTCCCTAACTATAACTGCTTTTTTTCCTAACTGCTTCTACATAAATAAGATCTACACAATAGCATCTACATAAATAACATCTACACAATAACATCTACATAAGTAACATCTACATAAATAAGATCTACATAAGTAACATCTACATAAATAATATTTACATAAATAGCATCTACATAAATAGCATCTACATAAATATCATCTACATAAATAACATCTACACAATAACATCCACATAAATAGCTTCTCAATAAACTTAACAAAGCTCGCAAGACTTTTTTTGATTTCCAGAACTTACACTTTTCTTACCAATCATCATTTCTCCATAAATTTCACAATAAGAAAAGAGGAATTTCATCAATTTTCCCTCAGCTTCCGGACTCACTTCTCGTTTTTCGTCATTTACAACCACAATTCAAAGATGATCACTTCGAAGATGACACCATGTATTGGATGTGCCACTCTGCATTCTTTCAGATTGCTCAAAAAGGGTCAATGCCCCTTGTAAATCTTCTTATCTACAAACCCTCAGCCATTTCTTTTCATTTCTGTTCAAACAAAAAAAAATTCTAACGTCAAAAATCTCTTTTTCTTTAGCCAATCTCTAAACCGGATTTTCAAAATCTCTGCAATTTTGACTCTCCGTGATTGGAAGAGTGTTTGCACAACCTACAAGAATCTACTGCTAACCTACTTTCCTACAAGAATCCTACAAGCTACAATGAAAAGTGAGTTTGGATAATGTTTTATAATCGATTTAGCTATGAAATAAGTTCAATCAGATATAGCCAACCATTTTCGAAACCAACCATTTCCGAAACCAACCATTTTCCAGCCACCATTTTCTACTCACTTTGTTTTCTTTCATTGTCACTATTAATCGTTGAAGCGACGGATATAAATGGAGACGCATCACTTCAATGCCGCGTCTGCACCGAGACGATCTCCATCTATCAAGCAAATCCGCTGATTACTATGGTATTGAACTTTTTGCTGTACTAGAGAATTTCTGGAGTAATCTGGGTTCTGTTTTAGGTTGAACTAGGAAAAGGTCAGATTTCACAAGCGCGAATCTGAAGCAAAGTGATATGACTTATGGGCAACACGATGGCGTTTTTCGTTTTTGCCTAAACGCTCTAGATTTTTGTAAAAACGCATTTGAAATTTGATCCCCCAGCGACTCATGAGTTTGTAAGGGGAGTTCATAAGGGCTGCCGTCAGTGGCTGGCCAGGTTGCTCGATGGTGCAGTGGTAGTGTCGCGGTCTCCAAGTTCGACGTCTCGGCTGGCGCTTGAGTTCGATCCCCATTGGGTCAATTTTTCGATTTTGCTTATTTTTTAAGCCTTGTTCACTTGACAGAATCATGACCTTCCAGGCGTTAAATTCTTGAGGATAGCGTATAAGCTTTGCAAAAAGCTTTCAATGAGTCTAAACTCTGGAAGGTCACGATTCTGTCAAGTGAACAAGGCTTAAAAAACAAACAAAAGCGAAGAATTGACCCAATGGTAATATTTGAATTGACGCTTGAATATCCTGTAATGGAATTTTTATGCTCAAATTCGGCTATCAATCGATTTCAGCAAGCTCTCCTCGTACAAGTGCAGAATTGGTGTCGAACGATTGGAGCATACGCGGTCGCTTGTATGGATTCGGCTGATCAGATTGTACCAAATGTAAGAAAAGTTGACTCATCTCTCTATCTATCTCAAATTTCTTTTCAAAAACAAGCCCAAACTTGTACATTTATCTATTAAACACTTATTTTCAAGATCTGGATGCAATTGCGCCAACCGCACGTAAACCCAAACGCAATCTGTCACAACTCGTATTGTGGTGATGGTTTTATTGGAAAAGTGTGAAAATGAATCTTTGCTTTGATGGTATTCTTTGTGATCTCATTATCAGTTTCATTTTAATAATAAAGATTCACTTTCTTGCAAACAAAACTTAACTAAACTTACAGAGTTGATGAATTGGCTTTGGATTTGCATATGATAAAGTTAGAAGAGTCAAATTGAAGATCAACTTCTTTCAATTTCTAAGCCAAGATGACAGTTTCATTTCATTAATAAAGATTCACTTTCTTAACTAAACTTAAAGAGTTGATCAATTGATGTTGAGTTGATGAATTTCTTAAAAAAACTTAACTAAACATACAAAGTTGATGAATTGGCTTTGGATTTGCATAGATTTCAAGTTAAAGTTAGAAGAATCAAATTGAAGATCAATCAATTCCTTCTTTCAATTCAAGATGACTGAAATCGTGTTTTGATCCGTACCCATTTTTTGCGAGTAGTTTGGTGAAAACGATTTCCGTATAGAATAAAAGATTTCTCCTTTTTCAAAAAGGTTTCAAAAAGATTTTTTCTTTAACTTCTTCTACTTCTGATCCCTCGATCCTTAAAAGACTGGTAGGACAATAAAGAGTGAAAGGGAAATAGAGTCGAGGATGGACAAGTGAGGGAGATCCCTTTCCTTTGGGGGGCAATTAGAATCGGATCAGCTCCCCTTCCCCTTTTCCGTCAACGACCCACATTGACTGTTGAGATTTGAGAAAACTTTCACCGATCAACTCCAAGTGAAATTGTTTCCGTTGGAGATTTCATTTCCTCATTTGCATTGAAACGACTCGAGATTCCTGTCCCGCCAATCATCACGAATGCCCAAAGGGCTTCAGGTGGGGAAACCATTACTTATCCATTACTTATCCATTACTTACTTCCATTACTTCAACATAAACATTCACTCAGCTATTCTGGCAACTAGATGAACGTTTAAAAGTAGCTATAGCGCTGGTAATATCAGCCATTGCGTACTCAACTTCAAACTTCATCTAGATCCAGTCTAGTCTAGAGCTAGTCAGGCTTCAACAGTAGCTTATCTTCATATCTTCTATAACTACTGTTGCTTAACTCAGAATTTCTTGAAAAATTTCGATCCCTTGGCAATTTTATTTCCATTCCGTCGCTGAAATGTGTTTACTTTTGAGTCCCGGATCAAATTTCATTGATTAAAAATGGGCAAATGGCTAGAGAATGTTTTGAATTAAAGTGCGAATTTGGAAAAGAAATTGGTTATGAAATAGATCGTCACTTAAAAGCTCTGATCTTATGTCAATCGATTGATTAGATCTAGATGGAGTTAGATCTAAATTGAGTTAGATCTAAATTGAGTTATACTACTGGACAATGTAATATCATATTTGAAAAAACACTTTCGCACTTACGCGAAAATTGTGCTACTGTGGTTTTAGACAAATGGCGGATATTAGGAATCCCTTACCTGTCTATTGATATCCCCAATGCACACCCATGGCGGTGTTGGTCCCTGATTGGGCTTTTCCGTCACAGCAATCGCGTATTTTGAGTGATCCGACCTGAAGAGTCAAATTTTGATTAGAAAGCCGATGTTTTTATCTTTATTATTGCTGCTATTACACATTGACTTCTAGCTACACTACTGGACAATGAAATATCAGATCATCACTTTGATCATCAAAAAGATCATCACTTTCGCGCGCCTGTAACTCCTTTGTCTTTACCGTATTTCTAAATATTAATATTACCATTGTGTAGCGCTTGAAAAGAGCTTTCAGAAAATGTATAACACTAATAGTTTAAACTCAAAGACAAGGGAGTTACAGACGCGCGAAAGTGGCGATCGTTTTTCAAATATCATATTTCATTGTCCAGTACTGTAGATCTAAATCGATTAGGCTAGTCTATAGATCACAAAATCACATCGATTCTTTATTCTTGTGATATGCGATCACAAGAATAAAGAATCGACTTCATGTCTCAATTTATTAATCATCAATAACCACAAATTTCAGTTGATGTTAGCGTGGACGTGGCTATTGACGTTTTGCGCGTGTTGTTTCCCAGTGATCCCCTCGCCAACTCCATCAACAACAACAACAACAACCACGCCAACAACTGGCACAACCACGACAACGACAACTACAACAACAACGACAACAACAACGACAACTACAACAACAACGAGTACAACGACGACAAGCACCACCACAAGCACAACAACAACTACAACAACAAACACGGCACCTGCAGGTGATTTTTATTCTTATTTACCAGCTATAAACTTTGTACTTACCTATCGTAAATACTGCAACAGTACCCCAGCCCCATAATGACGGGGCGAAGTGTTGCGTAGTCTAGCTTTGAACGAGTTTTTCTCGACACTGGTTTATGCTACAATGCGCGCTTAGGTATCAAAAAAATAGCTGAAATTCAGGGCTATTTTTTGATACAAAAGACGCATTTTTTGAAAGTACGGGTGCTTTGAAAAAAAATGAAATACTAAAAAACTTTTGCGACTACCCGATTGTACGAGGGCGGTGGGGTACTATTACAGTATTTACGATAGGTACTTTTGGCACTCAATTAGTGCTTTTTTCAGAATAGAATCTGAGCTGATTACGAGTTTTCCAAATTTTCACGTTGTAATCGTTAAAAATTCTCCAGATTGTTGCCCGGCTCTCACGCAATTCATCGACCCGAATCGAACGGAATTTGCTGACGGAATCATGACCTTCCAATATGATTCGATCGCTTGTCGAACGACTGTCACCGCCGTTTGCACGTATGTTTCACATCAAAATCAGCACTCTTTGCATTAAAAACAATCAAATCAACAAGAACTTCAATCAAATTCAATCAAATTCTTTAATCAAAAGGTCCAAATGCGTTAGAGAACATCCAAATGCCTTGGAGAACATCCAAATGCCTTGGAGAACATCCAAATGCGTTGGAGAACATCCAAATGCGTTGGAGAACATCCAAATGCGTTGGAGAACATCCAAATGCCTTGGAGAACATCCAAATGCGTTGGAGAACATCCAAAGTGCCTTGGAGAACATCCAAATGCCAAATTTTGCTGAATTTCTGAATCTTTCAGCCGAGAAGACGGCCTCAATCAACTCGACGCGGCCATCGTGGCAAACTCTGTGGCCTTTTTGGACTACCAACCAAACTTGGTTAGATATAAGCTATACTTACAAATTTTAAAATATGATACTAATGTCAAAGCTTTAAACCCTCTTTCCCATTGAGCTCTTTGAGCTTTTCCTTCGCCGGTTTCTCAGTTTTTCAGAATGTTTCTAGTGCTAAAAGATAACCATATTTTCATCAAGATATTCTAAGAAAAACAACTTAAAATTAATTTTTTAAAGTACTCCTAGGTAAGCCAAAATCATCGACAAATCCGGTTTTTCAACGTTACTCAAAATACTCGAAAACCAAAGATTTTAAAAAAATCAGATTTAACAGGTCAAACAGCCTTAGACGATTACATATATTGTCTCAAAAAAATCAGACCAAAATTCCCACAGGAACTGAGGTGAATAGACAAACACAAGCTTTGTTTCTTCTAATAAGTAAAAGAGGAAATAGAAGTCAAAAATTTCAGGTAACAGTGACCGGGACATGTTCTGGTGGGGCGTGGTTTATGGCCGAGCCTCCATTGAGGATTAACACTTTGGAATGTATCTTGAACAATCAACAATAAGTTCTTCATTTTCAGTTCTGATTTTCAGTTCTGATTTTCATTCTGATTTGATTTTCATTCTCTTTCCTAATAGTTAAGCGATTTTTTTGAAAACTTACATTACTGTTTAATGAGCACTGTTTAATGTAGCTTTGCGTTGGGTTTAAAGACTAGAGTGTGTTCCTCGCGAGTAAGCAATTACTCGAGTAAATTTGCATGAGTAATTTTTGACTCGAATAATAACTCGAGTAATTGTCGAGTAATGCGTTTTCAAAAAAAAAGCGCAATTTTTTTGCGCAACTCGCCATAACTTCCTTCTAAGTCAGCCAATCTTTATGATTTTTGGTGTCATTTTGTTGCACTTATTGAGATCTACAAAATAACACCAAAATCATAAAGATTGGTTCACTTAGAAGAAAGTTATGGCGAATTGCGCAAACGACCCAGTTGCAAAAAAAAAAAATTGCGGAAACTAGCCTACCCCTTTTTTTGCAATAATTTTTGCTAAAAGTACGGTAATTTTTTCCCCAGGTTTGCGTTTTAAAAAACGCATTACTCGTGAGGAACACACTCTATTAAAGACTCTTGAACTTAGGCACTTTACTCTTGTTATTTACTCATTTTCACTCTTCAAATTTCTTCACTACCGTATTTCTTCGAATAGAAGACCGGGTAAAGAGTATGATCGCGTACTCCTGCGTAGCAGCCCTTTTTAAAATTTCTTTTCTGCATAAAAGCTTTCAATGAAGTGCTATAGAGCTGGAAAATGACTCAAAAATACGACATGACATGAGCTAACAGATTTTTGAGCCATTCTCCAGCTCTATAGCACTTCATTGAAAGCTTTTATGCAGAAAAGAAATTTTAAAAAGGGCTGCTACCCAGGAGTACGCGATCATACTCTTTACCCGGTCTTCTATTCGAAGAAATACGGTATTTTACAAGTAAACTTGAAAATGAACAAATTCTTATAGCAATTAATCTTAATTTAAAAATTCTTTTAATATTTGAGAGTTTAGGCTTATCATTTCAATACAGATCTACATTTTTAAAGAATAAAATAATTTTCTATTCAAATAATGCATAAAAATGTTAAATATTTTATGAAATTTTGCTTTTTTTACTTTATTTTCTATCATTTTCTTTAAAAAAATAATCTTCCTGAAATTCTTTTTTTTCCTTTTTACGGGGGTGGAACAAATGCGACCTTTTTTTTGCGCACCTGGACATTTGCGCACTTTTTTTTTGCTGGAAAAGGCCTTAGGAAAGGTCGTAGAGCTTCAAAAATGTTTTCATAAAAGGGAATCGTATGCGTAGATTCCGAATTTCGACAAATCAGACCTCGCTGACACGTCAAATTTGGGCTAAAAGGCAAAAACTACGCAACTTAACGCTTTTCCGCAGTTTTTTCCTTTTAGCCCAAATTTGACGTGTCAGCGAGGTCTGATTTGTCGAAATTCGGAATCTACGCATACGATTCCCTTATATGGAAATATTTTCGAAGCTCTACGGCCTTGCCTAAGGCCTTTTCCAGCAAAAAAAAGGTGCGCAAATGTCCAGGTGCGCGAAGAAGGTCGCATTTGTCCCACCCCCTTTTTACTTTTTTAAAAGCCTTTTTTTAAGTCGGGTACCTTTGTTACATTGTCTTTTTTTATTTTTAAAGAATCTTTTGTCTTTTTCTTTTTCTTTTCATTCTACGGGTATTGTGGGATGAATATTTGAATATTCAATGAATAAATATTTATCGAAAAGCAAAATTCTTAAGAATTCTTTAGAAAAATTATAAGACAACCGATTCAGCAAGTGAAAAAAGCTCAAAGGGATTTTAATTTTTTTTTTTTTGTTTGCGAGAAGAAGAAAGGCACTTTTGTTTTCTCAACCGGAGAAAAAAATGAATGAAACGATTAAGGAAAAGGATATTAAGGAAAAGGATATTAAGAAAACGAGTAATCTTTAAGTTAAGTTTAACAATTTAGACTTAATAGACAAGTTTTAAAGAAGTTAAAGTTCTTTCTTTTTGTAAGAATCAGAGAAATTTTGACTCAAATCATGCGGCTTTGAAAAGACGGAAACTCTCGTAAATTACTGTAATCCTGGCTCTGATCTATTAACGTTTTAAATCAAATATCCTTTATGAATTCCTGGCAGTAGACTAAGATTAGTTTTCAATTGTTTTTACTAGAGTTAAAGATTACCTGGATTCTCTAGATTCTCTGGATTCTCTAGATTCTCTAGATTCTCTAGATTCTCTAGATTCTCTAGATTCTCTGGATTCCCTGGATTCCCTGGATTCTCTGGATTCTCTGGATTCTCTGGATTCCCTGGATTCTCTGGATTCTCTGGATTCTCTGGATTCTCTGGATTCTCTGGATTCTCTGGATTCTCTGGATTCCCTGGATTCTCTGGATTCTCTGGATTCTCTGGATTCTCTGGATTCTCTAAAATTTCTCGCAAAATTTGAGAGAATCCAGGATTTTTAAGCCTTTAAATAGTCTAAAAGTCTAATTGATAAATAAAAGAAAGCAATAAAGATATTATTGAAATGATATTGCAGAAATGGAGCCGATGAGAGCGTCAATCACAGACGAATGGGAATTCTCAAGGCAAATTCTTATTGTTGATATGAAAAATAGCGAATCGGAGAAAGAGAATGGAAAAGATGAAATGAAAATGCAAACAAATTTAGATTAAAAGAGATTTTGAAGAGATTTCAAATTGGGAAACTACTTTTGAGTGGGTTTAGGTGAAGATCGAGTTCTCTAGAAAGTTGATAAATCTGATACTTGATAAGCTAAGGCTTTTGTGCAATCTTTGGCACTTTTTAAAGGATTTAAAGGATCATTAAGACAAGAATTCAATTAAGAATTCATTTAAGAATTCAATTAAGAATAAAGACGAGCCAATTCATTAAGCGTGTTTGCACATTTTTGATGGAATTCCGCTTGTTTCTTCAGATAAGTGCCCATCATTTGTTTGAAGTCTTCCACCTGGGATTTTTAAGTTTAAAATATTAGATTTTATGAATCATAACAACTTTAATTGTGTTGTTTAGAAAGAATATTATGGCTTAGAAAGAATTGAGTGATCTAGCTCCGTGAAAAGCTATTTGAGTGCTCCAGAGAATTTTTGAAGTATAAAGTACAGCTTTTACTTAATCTAAGTCTATTGCTAGGTCATTTTACTTGATAGATCTATCTTATCTAAATATCTATTTGATCTAATTAGTTAGAAAAATCGGCTCTTGCATAGTTTCCGGGTATTTTGAAAAAATCCGGATATTTTGAACGGGTCATCAGCTTTGAAGACCGATATCTTTGTCCAGAGATAATATTATTGTTAACTTTTTAGATCGTTGTACAGAGAAAATTTCAGGCTTTCAAATGATACCAAATAGAGCTTGATTGGATATTTCATTCCCATGTAAACAAGGTGACACGACACCCGAGTTGGATAGGCCTCATTTGCTCAGTGTTGGCTCTAATTTTCTTGGATTGAAATATCCAATCAAGCTCTATTTGGTATCATTTGAAAGCCTGAAATTTTCTCTGTACAACGATATAAAGAGTTAACAATAATATTATCTCTGGACAAAGATATCGGTCTTCAAAGCTGATGACCCGTTCAAAATATCCGGATTTTTTTCAAAATACCCGGAAACTATGCAAGAGCCGATTTTTCTAGCTAATTAGATCAAATAGATATTTAGATAAGATAGATTTATCAAGTAAAATGACCTAGCAATAGACTTAGATTAAGTAAAAGCTGTACTTTATACTTCAAAAATTCTCTGGAGCACTCAAATAGCTTTTCACGGAGCTTTAGGTTTAGTTGTTCTTTCCCTCTTTTTAAGTCAATTTGGGTCCCTTTCAGGAAAATTAGAGGAAAACGGGTAAAAAAAAAAAAAAAAAAAGGGGAAAATATTATTTAGAAAAGAGAATTACGAAAAGACCTAATAGATCACTCAATTCTTTCTAAGCCATAATATTCTTTCTAAACAACACAATTAAAGTTGTTATGATTTGCATAACTTTATCAGCTCTTTCTCAATGTCAAACCTTTTCAGCGTTCAAATGATTCATCTCAGCCAACACCAAATAGCTCGTGTTGTCAACTCGTTTCCTTATTCGCTCAACATCAACCTAAACTTTCCAGATTTCAAATTTATTGATCTAGATAATCTAGATAATCTAGAGGATTATCTAGAGGTATACAGATAAAAAGTAAGCTCTAGATCAACTATAGATAAATATAGATAAGCTAGAAAGTAGATAAGCTAAAAAGTAAACTAGCTAGCTTATAGACAAGCTAAAAAGTAAACTAGCTAGCTTATAGATAAGCTGTAAAGTAAACTAGCTAGCTTATAGATAAGCTACAAAGTAAGCTAGCTAGCTCATAGATAAGCTGTAAAGTAAGCTAAAAAGTAAGCTAAAAAGTGCGGATCTCTTCACTGACCGCTGAAGCTTTTCCCTCGGTTTCGCGAAATTTTCCAACCGCTTGCTAAAAGAAATTTATTTAAGATCAAAAAATTCTCTCAAACCTTGTGCAATGATAAAATATCAGGAACTGATTGAATAGTTCCTTTGTATGAGAAAAGACTCTCCAACACCGGCTCCATATCCTCTTTTGTGTGTCTCTCCACCTCATCGCCGATCGAATTGTATTGATGACCGGTTCGATGTAAGGCTTCCATCATGCGAGCACTTGCTGAAAAATTACAGTTAAATATTTGCTTATCATATTTGCTAGCATAATATTCAATTAGAATTTCAGGTTTATGCTATTTTCATTAAGTTTTACAAGCTAATTTAGCGAAAGGACGATGAGATTGAGGCTGAGATTGAGGTGTTTGAGCCTTAGCCAATCATTGAAATTCCTTGGATATTAGAATGCGTACTTGTTGCGTACTTGCATACTTGTTGCGTACTTGCATACTTGTTGCGTACTTGCGTACTTGTTGCGTATTTGCGTACTTGTTGCGTATTTGCGTACTTGTTGCGTGCTTGCGTACTTGTTGCGTACTTGCGTACCTGTTGCGTACTTGCGTACCTGTTGCGTACTTGCGTACTGGTTGCGTACTTGCTTACTTGCGTACTTGTTGCGTACTTGCATACTTGTTGCGTACTTGCGTACTTGCATACTCTGTGTACTATTTGTACAAGTACTGTACTCTTATTTTAGTATATAGTATTTTAAATAACAAACCTGGTGTTCCATCAGCTTCAAACGATTGCCCGAGCCCTTGAAAAGCGGCAGCCATCCGTTGCCAATTTTGTTTGACAGCTAAAATTACTCTTGTGACTTTTGTGATGAGTTCTTGTGATGATTGTATTGGCTCGGGAATTCAAATAGCTTAAAAACTAATCATAGATTCAGATTCTTCATCCCAGAATGGCTAAAGTTACAAATTTTCCGATCTACAACTAATATAGATCATTCAAAAAGGCCCAAACGAAAAATGGCTTTTTCGTGAATGCAGTAGAATGTACACAAAACAATATTTCGAGTGATAATCAAGTACAAAACAATTCCAGGTTTCTCTTTACGCTGAAGCTCTTCATGGACTCATTGAGCTCTTCATGGACTCACTGAGCTTTTCATGGACTCACTGAGCTCTTCATGGACTCACTGAGCTCCTCGTGAACTCATTGAGCTCTTCGTGACCTCACTGAGCTCTTCATGGACTCACTGAGCTTTTCATGGACTCACTGAGCTCTTCATGGACTCACTGAGCTCCTCGTGAACTCATTGAGCTCTTCGTGACCTCACTGAGCTCTTCATGGACTCACTGAGCTCTTCATGGACTCACTGAGCTCTTCATGGACTCACTGAGCTCTTCGTGAACTCACTATGCTTACGTGATTTCGACGGGAATCTCTCGAGCTGGAGAACGGGATGAAGAGGTTTCAATTTCTTATGATTTTATGATGAAAAATTAGCACTAATCTATTAGGATATTAGATTTTAGACTAATAGGATATTAGTTTATTAGCTTTAATCACATACATCCAGAGTAGAGCTTTTGGAAAGTGCCCAATCGTTCGCTCATCACTCGGACACTGTCCTCCATCGAGCGCACTCCACGTTGGAAAACATCCATTTGACGTTCACTAAAACAATTTCTCTATAAATAATATTGCAAAATTTTTATAATAAATCTTTTGCCCATTGTAAATATCCATTATAAATATCTATTTTACATATTAGTTATTAAAATTCGCTTTTAACCGCTTCTAACCGCTTCTAACCGCTTTTAACGGCTTTTAACGGCTTTTAACCGCTTCTAACCGCTTCTAACCGCTTTTAACCGCTTTTAACGACTTTTAACCGCTTCTAACCGCTTCTAACCGCTTTTAACCGCTTCTAACCGCTTCTAACCGCTTTTAACCGCTTTTAACGGCTTTTAACGGCTTTTAACCGCTTCTAACCGCTTCTAACCGCTTTTAACCGCTTCTAACCGCTTTTAACCGCTTTTAAACACCTCGTTCTCACACTTACACTTCGTGCATTTGAAGCGGCTGCTCGGGAAAGTGCACAGTGTACAGGAAATTCCCGCCAACAAACTAAAAAATTCGTTTCGGATTTGTATTGAATTTACATAGAAATTCAATTGCTCAACCTCATCTTTCTCAGCTTTTCTCTTCCCAATTTTCCATTGTTTTTCATCGGTGCACGTCATGAAATGAAGCCACACCTCGGAGCGGCCTAAAAGAAAAATTTAGCATATAAAATTAGAATCTAAATTAAAGATTACTCTCGGGTTTTCTATTTTTAGCTATTTTTTAAATAGAATTTTTCCTTACTAATGACTGGATGACGACAAATTTTGTTTACATAAAGTTGCAAGATATGCTTTCGATGATCGATCAGATCCTCCTCGTAACGCCCTGAAATTTTCAATCATTTAAATCAAGCTCTAGATTTCAATCATTTAAATCATTCTGTCTGATTTTAAAAGGGCTATTTCGTTGCATTTTAAGTGACTTTGTGATCTTTTATCTAGTACATTTTTCATGTCGTTTTCGCACTTTATTTCTTTCTGAATAAATTATTTATATGTCGTAGCCGATTATGAATGAGTGGGTCTAGGAGCGTCCAACCATCAAGTATTTAGTATCATTCAACGCAGAATCATTAATAATTATGTTAAATTTTTAAAATTAGAAAGATTGGATAAAAAGAAAAAAAATTATGGGGCCTCAAAGTTTCCTCTTGAACAAACAGTTTTTTTGCTCTAATTTGTTTTCTTTTTATCAAATCTTTCTAATTTTAAAAATTTAACATAATTATTAATGATTCTGCGTTGAATGATACCAAATACTTGATGGTTGGACGCTCCTAGACCCGCTCATTCATAATCGGCTACGGGGGTCCCGCCGATTTTGAATGAAACGTTGTAGCGCCGGGAATTTTTAACCTAAACTCACAAATTTGGTACCAATCGACGCAGAATTTAATTCGCTACAGGATGATATAATATTGTCCTCATACATTAAAGGGTTGCTCTACTAGAAAGATTTACCAAAAAAGTTCATTCATAATCGGCTACGACATATATATTCTAGATTTCATTCATTTAAATCATTCTATTGGGTTGGGGAGAATGAGTCGGCGCCGAAATTTAAAGAAACTTTTTGCACCCATAAAACCTTCTTTAAATACACGTTTTGTTTCATCAAAATGGTCCACTATTTCTTTACAAAATGGCTTTTGAGAGATTCCACAAAGCTTTTCTTTTTTTGGGATTTTATGGATTCCCAAACACAGCTAATCAAAATGACAAAAAGTTCGACTCATTGCTTGAATAGTTTCTTCCACATAAACCTCCTTTGGTGTTTATATAAAAAAGATAGAGCACACTCAATTACATAAGTTACCAAATTTTCAGGAAGATCCCTCCAACCGTTTACTCTAGATGACAGTTTATCGATTTTGTGAACAAATGGTCCTTTGTTGAGTTGAGGCGCTGTTTGAGTTCTCTTTTAAATATTATTTTGTAGAGAATTAGTTACCCTTCTACGGATATCAAACGCATATCATTTGACAAAGTCTGCTATAAGTTTTAGAAATTTCTTTGATTTTCGGCGCCGACTCATTCTCCCCAACCCAATAGATGTCAATCATTTAAATCAAATTCTACATTTCAATCATTTAAATCATTCTAGATTTCATTCATTTAAATCAAATTTTAGATAATTCATGTCTAATTTCACTATTTTTCTTTCTTTTTTTTTTAAAATTTATAATAACTTATCTATTCGGCTTAGACAAGTGCATTTTGAGAAATTCTAAAGAAATTCAGAAATATCAAGGATTTTTTAGAATGAGTGTGACCTTAAACATGACTTTAAAAGTCACACTTTTAAAATTTTAACCATATAGACTTTTTTCTTCAAGTTTTGATAAAGTTCAAATTGATGGAAAGGTGTTTTCAGGGATAAATGCTCAAGTTAAAGTGCTAAATTTTAGACAGAATCCTTCCAAACAGTTTTTGATAGGTTCTGATTAAGAAAAATTTGTTTTTCTATAACTCGGGAATAGATATTGAACTTTAAAAGACCTGCGACTTGTTTCTCGGGAAGTGGCGGAATGGACAACATGATGAATTTCGATTGCAATTGCTCGTGTAACCAATCGAAGTGCTTGTAGCGACGAGCCACCTGAATGCGGATCGAAAGTTTAACACATTGACTGACAGACCCGACGCCAGACCCGACGCCAGACCCGACGCCAGACCCGACGCCAGACCCGACGCCAGACCCGACGCCAGACCCGACGCCAGACCCGACGCCAGACCCGACGCCAGACCCGACGCCAGACCCGACGCCAGACCCGACGCCAGACCCGACGCCAGACCCGACGCCAGACCCGACGCCAGACCCGACGCCAGACCCGACGCCAGACCCGACGCCAGACCCGACCAACGACTGGTTAAGAGCCCTGTATCTTAGTCGGGAGGTCAAACCAGCAATCAGCCAACTGGATTGCTGGTTTTTTTTCTACATTTAGGGCTTAGAGGTTGTGATTTTGTATTGTTTGTATCACATTATTCGTGTGAATAAATGTATTTTAATCCGTGACGATACGTTAGGAAAAGTTAGGAAAAGCTAATGCTGGCAAGACTGATTACCTTTAAAATATTCAACTGTGTTGGCTAAATGCTTTCTGTTGTGTGACGGCTTAACGATAGATTTAGTTCTGATCGATCTTTTACAGATAATTTTTATTGATTGATCAAGCAAATCTACTTTATTTTACCTTTATTGTACCTTTATTCTATTCTAATATTCAACCTGTATTCCCGAGGCACTGCTTGTTAGTGAGTAAGCGATAAACGACTTCAATCCCTTCAGTTTACTCTCCTTTTTCGGCTTGTCAATCGTGCAAGAGTAGTGCTGATCGACGGGACGCCAAATGGGGCCTTGGTTCTGTAAAGGATTGTAAAAGATGGCTCTAAATTTTTTTAGCTAAATCTTTTTATATAGATTCTAGTCAAATTGCTATTGTTTTTTGTCCTGCTATTTGTCCGTTTAAACCCTTAAAAACCTACAGAGATGATGATCTGAGCATGAATTTGAATTTAATTTTCTTGGCATGAAGCATGAATTTTAGTAGTTAGTTTAATAGTTCATTGTTTAGCATTTCTTTCCATGACTACCCCTCATTCGCCCATCCCGAAGCAGAGGATTTTAAACCGACCGACGAAACCGACCGCATTGCCGAGAAAACAACTACCACTATCCGATCAAGTGTTTTTTTTTTGTCTTATAAACCTACAGAGATGATGATCTCTAATTTCTCGTGAGCAGGCACATTTCTCAGCGTATCCGATAAAATGTACGATTCCATACCAGATTTCACGAATTGTGTGAATCTAAAATGTTTGCGTAAGTAAACTAAATTTTAGTTTAAGTTTAGAAACCTGTTAATGCTTCGACTGATCTTTGTCTGTTGTCCAATTCCACTAGCTGTACTCTGTGTTCGTCCCAGATTCACCGATCTTGGCTCCAAAGCTGTAAAAGTTACTTTAGAAAAGCTGTTCACTATTCTAAGCTGTTCACTTGTGATTACTTGATAGTTTTTCTCAATAAACATACCATTTGAAGCGGTTGGCCGAAAACCGGGCGCTGGTGGAAGTTCGGTTTCCTTAAAGTCCAAGATATTCAGAATCTTTCTTTTTATAGGCTAAGATATTCAGAATCTTTATCTTATACCCATTAACAAGTACGAGCCGTACTTTTGTACGTACAAGTACTTTTGGTTTTTTAAGCGCACCTGTGCCTCATCATCGTCATCTGTCCACTCGTCATCAAAATCGTCATTCATCGAATGAGAGACCGGTCGTTGTGGAATGGTTTCTGAGAAATTGAAAAGTTAAGTTTTAAAGATCTCCTTACCATGTCCAGCAGGAAGATTTTGCGAGTATGTTGGTGGAATGTAGGTGTCATTTCCCCAATTGTCGAATGGAACCGCTTTCGGGGCGGTGAATGGAGGAACCGGTGGAGCTGAAGGCACATTGGGGACCGGGACTGTGGGGATCGGCGCTGAGATTGCCTAAAAAATAATGTTATTCTTTGAATTCTTGAATTGAATCCTAAAGAATTCTTTGATTGAGTTTAAAAGATAGCTTCGTTTTGTTATTCAAATACAGTTCTTTCAAGAAATTCAAGAAAAGCCTTTCTCTGGATGTTGCTTATTGCATTACAAGGGAAAACGAGTCAATTGAATTTCAGACTCGTTAAGAAGTCGCCAGATGTCCCCTGAACAGCTACGTCGGTAGTCTAGTAGATAGTCTGGTAGACTACCGACGTAGATAGACTACCGAACCTGTCACATGTCTGTGCTCAAGTTTGAGTCCCACTCTCGCAAAACATTTTTGCTGTCTGCCTTTCCCTTGTTAGAAAAAGCTATCTTAAAGTGTAAAAGACAAACGAACGAACAAACGAACGAACTCTTTACCTCATTCTCCTCTTCTTCAACCAAAGTATTCCTTTTCATTTGTCTGTGTGGACTTGCTTGTGGGATTTCTGGTTTAAATGAGGCACACGTGTGTCGTCGTCTCATTTGTTTCGCTCTCCTATCTGCGAGAGCTTTGGCAATCGAAGCGGGATCCGATGGATTGTACTGTTCCACGGCTTTACGAAGACCCGAAGTAAAGAGCATTTTGTTGAGAACAAGGACAAGATTTGGATGGATTAAGAATGGACAAGATTCGGATGGATTAGATGTCCAAATATCACTTCGGTGTCAAGTTTATATTGGAAATGAGTAGAAGTTGAGTTGATAGATTGATTGATATTGGATAAGATAAAGAAAATAACCTTGAAAGTTTGTTGGTGGACTTTTGAAATGAATGGGGGTTGGGTCTTAGGTAAATTCTTGTTCAAATCGGCTAAATCGAATCGGAATCCAATCAGGGAATGCGGGGGAAAGCCCATAATTTGATTGAAGTGATTGACAAGGGTTAGGGAAATGATTGCTTTTTGGGATAAATCGAGATAAGAAAGGGTAAAAGTTTACTCATTTAAACTTCAATTTCAACTTAAATCAATCGGTTGGCTAAAGTTTTAGCAATGTTTTCAATGTTTTCAATGAGTTGATTTGAGAGATTGAGGGAATTGCCCAGGCCTAGACTTGCCCAGGCCTAGACTTGCCCAGGCCTAGACTTGCCCAGGCCTAGACTTGCCCAGGCCTAGACTTGCCCAGGCCTAGACTTGCCCAGGCCTAGACTTGCCCAGGCCTAGACTTGCCCAGGCCTAGACTTGCCCAGGCCTAGACTTGCCCAGGCCTAGACTTGCCCAGGCCTAGACTTGCCCAGGCCTAGACTTGCCCAGGCCTAGACTTGCCCAGGCCTAGACTTGCCCAGGCCTAGACTTGCCCAGGCCTAGACTTGCCCAGGCCTAGACTTGCCCAGGCCTAGACTTGCCCAGGCCTAGACTTGCCCAGGCCTAGACTTGCCCAGGCCTAGACTTGCCCAGGCCTAGACTTGCCCAGGCCTAGACTTGCCCAGGCCTAGACTTGCCCAGGCCTAGACTTGCCCAGGCCTAGACTTGCCCAGGCCTAGACTTGCCCAGGCCTAGACTTGCCCAGGCCTAGACTTGCCCAGGCCTAGACTTGCCCAGGCCCAGACTTGCCCAGGCCTAGACTTGCCCAGGCCTAGACTTGCCCAGGCCTAGACTTGCCCAGGCCTAGACTTGCCCAGGCCTAGACTTGCCCAGGCCTAGACTTGCCCAGGCCTAGACTTGCCCAGGCCTAGACTTGCCCAGGCCTAGTGATCTTAACTGTTAGCCTTAACTTGTGCATAACTTGTGCATAACATTGTTGAGAGTACTTGTACTTGTAAGTTAAAGAATGTATATGTTAAAGAAGACTTAATAAGCTAACTAATATAGTTTTAAACCCACCGGCGGCACATACGTAGCCACATAGCTTTCCGGGACTAACCCAAGCTCGCCTCGATTGTTCTTTGCCTCCATCCATCCACCGGACACATTCTAGAATTTATCTAGTATAAAAACAAGTAGAGTAAGAGCTTACTGTTAAGAATATAGAGAAATAATAAGTGTTAATCAATCTAAACAAATATTAAGTGCTAGTTTTTGAAGGTTAAATGCTAGTTTTGACTATGAATTGAATTGATCTTGATCCAAACCAATAAATCGATCTTGATTCAAACCAATAAATCGATCTTGATTCAAATCCAAACGACCTAGAAAAGCTATAAAAGCTTTTAAAAAGCTAGAAAAGCAGATTTAATTTTCTAGAACCTTTTCGCTAATGCAAACCATCAAAGTTCTATATATTTTCTTATTAAATTGGCTTTGATATTTCGATAAAACCTTTCTAACTGACCTCTCTAACAATGGACAATATCTCTCCAGTCGTCACACTCATCTCTCCCGAACCAGGCTGAGCCGCAAAATCGTACTCAACCCGCACTTGCCTCATCACCAAAAACAACAAACTAAAGAATTTCATTCTATTTGTTAAATTGAGAGGTTGAAAGGTTAAATTGAAATTCAAACAAATGCAAAGAATGCAAAGGAATGAGTGATTTGTAATTGACCTTCATTTCCCCTATTTCTTTCTTTCTTTTCAAAAATCTTCATTATCTTGAGAAATTTTTTGGTACTTTTCCAATATCGGGGAAGCGGTCCGATTATCGGGGGAGCGAAATGAAAATCAGGGGAGCAAATTTTTGCCAGCGCCATATAGCCAGCGCTATATGTCCTATATTATACAAATTACCACAATAAAATTCGCGAATTACCCGTTATTCTCACAACCTTTATATTAGATCACAAAAGTGACTTAAAATACCCAGCGAAATAGATCTAGATCGAAATAGATCGAAATGAAAATCAGGGGAGCAAATTCAAACAAAAAAGCAAGTCCCCACGAAAAATGCATTTCCAGGAGTGTATTTTAATTGCAACGCTTTTTTTTAACTTTAACGACGATGCGCTTCTCCGACATTTGTGCGTTTAAGGAATCGACGGCAATCGATTATTTCGTCAATCACCAAAGGAGTCATCCAGTCGTGGATTTGCAACTGTGGCGAATTGATGAAAGTCCGCTCAAAGGGAAAAGATCTATTTCGCTGGGTGTTAGATATTTAAGTCACTTTTGTGATCTAATATAAAAGTTGTGAGAATAACGGGTAATTCGCGAATTTTATGGTGGTAATTTGTATAATATAGGACATATAGCGCTGGCTACATGGCGCTGGCAAAAATTTGCTCCCCTGATTTTCATTTCACGCCCCCGATATTGGAAAAGTACCAATTTTTTAATTAGTTAATTTAAGTTAAAGTTTAGAAAACAAAGCCTGAAAAAACTCTGAAATAAATCAAGAATTTTGGAGAATGATTCAGCGAGTGTTGATGACACCTCTTTAAACAAAAAAAAAAAAGAACAATAACATGATTTTGTGTGAAATTCTTTCTTTTTGCCCTTTCTTTTCCCTTTTCCTTTCCTTTTTTCTCACTGTATCGCCAACACAGTGTTCCAAAAAGCGAATGAAATATGTGTCGAAAGAGAGAAATGAAGGAAAAGAGAACGCGACGCTCCTTTCTGTATAGGCCAGCGTCACGTACCACATACAACTGATCGGCTAGGAAAATCGAATTTTTATCAACGCTTTTGTTTTGATTGATTTTATAGCAAAAGAGTAGAATGACAAAAGATAAAATTGATTTTAGATGTCAAGTTTTTCAGTCAAATCAAACATTTTCTTTCACTCTTACTCTTTTGGACTATTTCTTGTTAGAATCTACGCTTGTCTTAGCTTTCCATTTCATTAAACTGCATATCAAATTGTTCTTTGTTTTATTCTATAGAACGTTTGTTATTGAGTAGATTCAATAACGGATAACATCTACACTTGTTAAGCCCATTTTTCCACAACTTTCTTTTCTTCTTCCTTGTCAATGTAGACTGACTATCTTAAAGTCTTCATTGTTTATTGTATCTTGTCTAGTTCTCTAGCTCAGTCTTATATCCGATCTGAAATTATTATAATTATAAATTACAATTATTCAGCTAAAAATCCACATCTGCTCTTGATATCACGAAATTTTCTGGCCAATGGCCAGGGAAATTACTGGCATCGATTTTCCAATGCAATCTTTACAGCAATCCAAAGCAATCCAAAGCCAAGACTTATCTAAATCTTATCTTTACTATTTGAAGCTTTATTATTGACATTCCCTTTACCTTTATTTAATTTCTTTTTTACAATTCCCATTTACAGGTAGAAATGTCTCAATATGGAGGACCAAAGCCACCCGTTTGGGGTGCTCGTCCTACAGGTAATAATGGATATAAACGTATTATAAAAGTTTTGAGGTCTAGATTTTTTCATAGATTACATAGGATAGCAATATTCAAACAACGTATGATTATTTGGTTTTTTGATTTATGATATTTGATTTTCTAATTCCAGGAATGCCGACCAACGCCGGTTTGTACGCCGGCCAGTTGACAGCCGGTCAACTTGGAATGGGATTGAATGCGATCAATCCGGGAATGATGAATCTCGGCGGAATGGTTAATCAAGCTGCTTTTGGAGCACCACAGGTTTGAAAAGTTCTCTGATAATAAAAATTATAAGAAAATTGAAGTAGGAAAACTTTTTTGTTGGTGCAACTTTTTTTTCAAACTTTTCTTTCCATAGAAAAGAATCTTTTACGAAATTCGTAAACTATTAAAAAGCTCTATCATTTCTCTGCAAAATGGCTTTTGAAAGAAAGTAAAAAAGATAGAGCTCAAAGCTCGTTAACTCAACGCAAACTCTCTAAAAACACATTTTAATATAAAATTTTCATTTGCTGTTTTAAAGAAAATCGCTGAACGGATTGTTTTCAAATTTTACAAATGTATGTAATCAAATGAGCTCTATCTTTTTTTATTTTTATATCAAAATAGGTTTGTATTAAAGAAATTGTTTGTTTGTTTGTTTGTTTGTTTGTTTGTTTGTTCAAATTTGTCCAAATTTATCAAAATTCATAAAAACAATGACTTTTAAGAATCTCTCAAAAGCCATTTTGCAGAGAAACAATTAAGCTTTTTAATAGTTTAAATAGAAATTTTGTTTGTGTTTGCATTATTTTTAAACAACGTTTCGAAAAAAATTCTAAAGACTTATGCAAACCTCACGTTCTCAAGAGCTATTTTATTCAGCTAGATTTCTTATTATACTGTTTAATATTCTTATTAGATTTCTTATTGCACTGTTCATTGTTTTCATTTTCTTTTTTAGGGAATGGGCCTTGTCGGAATGAATCCATTGGCCGCCGCACAAGCTCGTCAACAACCCCAACAATCCGTTCAAACAGCGCCAGCGCCTGCTCAACAAATGGCCTCGAAAAATCAACGAACTTTCATCGGAAGAGTGACAAAAATGCATGACAATTATGGTTTTGTCGATGAGGATGTTTTCTTTCAAGCAAGGTTGGGGAATTTTTTTTGTTGGACTTGTAAAAACTGGACTAAACGAAGCATTTAGTGTTGTTCGAGGAACACTTCCTCGAACTGGCGATCGAGTGATGGTTGAAGCGAGCTACAATGCAGCGATGCCCTTCAAGTGGAATGCTTATCGAGTGCAAGTGAGTACTCACAACTATCTAGAGCTAGATTGTTTCTGTAATGAGTCTATTTGATCTTTAGGTGATGAACGATGGCGTTCCACAACAACAACAACCAGTCGCTCCCGCTTTCGTCGCTCAACCACAAACATTTCCCGCAAAAAGCACACGTGAGACGACTGGAGGACGACAAACAAATTGGGGACCACCAGAAGGAGGAAGAACTTCTGTGCCACAAAGAACGAGAAGTCCTGTTCAAAGGAGAAGTTCGCCAAGAAGATCTCCACCACGAAGGACCAGTCCACGACGATCACCGCTAAGAAAGTGAGTACCGTAAATAAGCTTCAAAACATCTAGATTTAGTCGCTCACCAAAGCGATCGGAAAGAACAACTTCACCGAAGAAACGCGAGGTTTCTCGAGAGAGAAAAGAGCCACGAGAAGAAAGGAAAAGAGAAAGGGAAAGGAGTCCGCCAACAAGGACGGGAAGTGCTGTACCATCACGTCGTGATTCTACCTCTCCACCAAGACGACGGCAACGAATCATTCCGAGATATGTCTGCAATATGCCAAAGAATTCACCTATGGGTAGGTTAGATTAACTAGTTGAAAACTCTCGATTCCAGGAATGATTTCGGCGGCTTGTTTGAAGAAACGCTACGCCTCGATCTACGTTCCATCAGATTTCTGTGAAATGAGAGTCGATTGGAGTTCAATGCCACCAAACCAATACATCGATATGGCTTATCCAGCTCATTTCCATGTCCTCCCAAAAGAAGTTGATCCATTGGAAACCCTGCCGGAGCTCGAACCAAGTGATGCCGATCATCGATATCAAGTCAAGGTAACGGGAAAAGAATTGCATTTTTTTTTATAAAAACTTTAGGTACTCTTGCTCTCGCATGCTGGACGAGCTGCAATCAATCAGAAAGCGTTTGGTTTGGCAAAAGATGGGAATCTTGATGAGTCGTATGAGCCAGTGGATCTCTTCAAAACAATCAGCTTCCTCGTCGGTGAGTGCATTGTTTTCAATTAGGCATATTGTAAGGTTACTGATCCAATATTGTTAACTTCTTTATCATAAAATTACCGACTTCATTCAGGCTGTCGAAATAAAGAGATGGTGCCTCTCGGTGGAAGCTATTCCCCTTCATTGGATGGACAAGATCCCCTCTCAATGGGTACAATGATTCGCACAGCCACTCGTTGTGTCAAAGCACTCACTGGATTGGATCTCTCAAATGCTGCTCAATGGTTCGTATTTTTAAAGGGGTACATGTAAAGCGTAAATCTTGTGACTAGTAGACCATAACCATATCCACACCCAACTGGGTTTCTTTCAAAAAAGTTCTCTCTCTGGACACAATCGACTCTCCCTCTCTCGATGGGCGGCAACGAAAAATCTCTTTTCTCATATCCATTTATTTTTTTGCAATGCCAATTGAGAGCCCCCCGGGTTTTGCTCTCACCTCATTAAGTGTGGCTATCATCTCGTTTTAAATCGCAGGTTTCAACTCGGACAATTGCGGTACTACCGAGCGGACAAGGATCGCGCTGATCGGGTTACTCTGCTCATCCCATCGTCTGGCGAGCTGCAACCGACAGACGAACGTTTCGCTACGTACTGTGATGCGTTGCGCAGCCAGCTTGGTGCCAAAATGAACGCCCTGGAAGCACCAATCTCAGAAACGTTGAAGGAGATTGAGCCAACAACCGCAACAACTCCAACCGTCATCGTGCAGGAAAGTTCGGGTCCCGCCCAGCCCCTCCTGGGGAAAGGTTTAAATAATAAGTGTGTGTCAAACAACAAAACATTCTATCTTTTCAGCTTTCTGAAACCTTTCTTTCTTTCAAACTCTCAGCATGCTTAGCTCTATGTGGTGTGTTGGTCTAACTCTTGTCCGTCTCTCACTCGTTGTTTAGCCAAAAGATCTGTTTTCTGTTTGATTTTTTTAACCCTTTTTTTGAGTAAGTGGTAAGTTCGCTAAGCGGAGGTGCTGAGAAATATTAAAAAATTGAAATTTTGTTCTTTTTTGCACGAAGTTATCTTTCTGGAGCTAATGAGCTTTTTTTAGGAGTCACCAGCGCCAGCAGTGGACCCAGAAATGGAGGAGGGAGAAGAGCCGACACATTGGAGTAAATTGGATGTGAAAACGATGAAGGTTTGTGGAGATGGAAGATGAAGATAAATTTTCTTTGTTAGGTTGTTGAGTTGCGCTCGGAATTGGCGGCTCGCGGACTTGATTCGAAGGGAATTAAGACATTGCTCGTGCAACGTCTCGAAGAGGCTCTCATTAAGGAAAAGGCAAGTTTACTATTGCTAAAATGTTTTAAAAAGCAAAAGCAAGGTATATTGATTACATTGGGTTTTAAAATACCTACATATTTGTGCAAAATGAGTATGACTAAAGATCAACAATTTACGATTTATAATTTGCCTAGCTCAGTCGATCAGTTTAGTCAACTTAAATTTGAAGTAAATAAGCATTAAACTGTAACTGTAAGTTATTTAATCCTGTAATTTATTTAAATACTATAAGTTATTCAATGCAAATTTTTCTTTAGGAAGCTGATGGTGGAATGGCACCGGAAGAGCCGGCGAAGGAGGAAAAGAAAGAGAATGGAGATGAAACAAAAGCACCAACTGAGGTATTATATTATTTTTCTATTAGTAGTTCTGTTAGTATTATATTATGTATTCTATTAGCTGAATATCTTTACTTTCCTCATATTAATCAATGGTTTTTAGGAGCGTAAAGAGGGAATCAAGCCGGCTGAAGAGACTGAAGAACAGAAGAAAGCGCGCGAAGATGAGGAACGCAAGAAAAAGGAACAAGCGGTGGGGTTTTTTTAAAGAAAAATAGATTTCTGATTAGCTGAATAGCTTTATGATTAGTTTATAAGCTGTTGTAATTGTTAAAAATTGCTGATTTAAGGAAAAGGAACGCGCCGAGAAGAAAGCGAGTCTCGAGAAGAAATACGCATTGCCCACTGAGACAAAGGTTTGTCAAAAAGTTTTAGGCCTAATAATTTAACCAATAATTATGTTCCAAATGCCAGTTGTGTCTTTGTTTCCAGGCTTTCGTCTTTCCGAATCGTGATTTTAAAGCCGGCAAATTCGACTGTAAAGTGGTGAACTTGAAAACCCTGTTGGACTATCGTCAAGAGGATAATAAAGAACATCAATTCGAGGTAAGGGATAAGATAAACGCATATTTTGTGACTTTACTTCAAAAGACTACATTTTATTTCACAAAATACCATTTTATGCACATTCTCGTGCGTTGGTGAGCTTTATCTCGAGCTTAACTCTCTCTCTTTAAACAACAACAGAATGAAAATCTTTCTTTTCTCTCTTTCAAAGCGCCAAATTATCCGCATTTTAGACTGACAAAATGCAGTAGAATGTACACAAAACAATATTTCGAGTCATAATCAAGTACAAAACAATTCCAGGTTTCTCTTTACGCTGAAGCTCTTCGTGAACTCACTGAGCGTCACTATGCTTACGTGATTTCGACGGGAATCGCTCGAGCTGGAGAACGGGATGAAGAGGTTTGGAATAAAAGCTGAAATGGATTTTATGAATAACTTGATCAGCTTAACTTATGCATTTTAAAGTTTGCATAGAATTTTTTTTGAAAGCTAGGTTTCGGAACAGCTCCAAGTCTAGTCAGTTTAATGCCTGAACTCCTAGAAAATCACTATGACTCAATACTCAATTTAGAGAATCAATTTTGTCTAAACTAGTATGCCTAGCTACTGGATACTGTATACCTAATTTAGCTAAATAGCTAAATCCGACAGATCTAACAACCAGTAAAATCTTTCAGCGCAAACGTCGCGATGACGCTTACAAACCGGAGACGCAAGAAGAAGAAAAGAATGAGACAAAAATCGACACTGAAGAGAATGGACTGGTCGATTTGACGAAAGACGATGATGACAAGAAAGATGAGAAAAAGGAGAAGAAATTGGATCTCAAGGCGAACGTTCACAATACAAAGCTCTTTGAGGCTTTCGCTTTCTTCGATTCAAATTTGCTTGGGTAAAAAAAGAATTGTCAACAGATAAATTCCCATTTATCTTCAGGTATCTTCAAGAAGGCGATTTCGAGGAAATCCTCTCGATCACCCGGCTTGGTTTCAATCGATCGGTGATCAAGAAATTGTCGAGCAAATGGGCAAGACATGAGAAGATCAGCTATCGATCGTTGACTGATCAACTTTTGGATAAAGTATAGAATATTGTTTTTTTTAAATGTAATCAAAATCAAGGATGGAAATCCTCGATTTGTGCCGTCAAGCGATGAGGGATCGGCTTTGCTGTTAATGATCGGCGGATTTATCGAGCGTCTAGGCGATGAAGTGGCTCGAGGCAATGAGGTTCGGAAAAGAGACGAGAGTTCGTCAGAATTAAGCTAGATTTCCTACTCTACTGTAAATGTCGAAAAGTGTCAATAACGTTAAGTAGCGTTGACTTTGCCTTAAGAAATAAGATTAATCTAGACTCTAAGAGCTATGAATAGACTTGGCTTACCTATAAGCCTTGTACCGATGTTTTTACCAAGTCCGAAAGCTAGGCCAGTATAAATTACTAAAACGAAAAGACTTTCTGAAGCCCTAATAGACAATCAAAAACTGTATAAAACAAATTTCTTAACAAATTTTAGAGCTTTTCTGGTGATGGTGGGGTGGTGATGGTGAATGGCTGCGCTATCAATGTCGAACAGAAACTCGGCGAGATCAAGAGACTCGAGAACGAGAAGGAAGCGGCTGTCACAAAATACGCTCAAGCAGAGACAACAATCAGTGTGTTTCAAAAAGATGCTAAAAAGAGATTTCAGCAAAACCTTATCTATAAAAAAACATTTCAGAAACTTTGAAAGAGACGAGGGATCATCTCGAGAAACGCAAGAAACGCTTGGAAGATGATGTGGATCGCTATAGGAGAAAGGCACATGATGCAGAGAAGAGCTTAAAGGTTAGATAGAGAAAGCTGTTTAATAGTTTTTGTATTGAAATGAAACTTTCAGAGTGCTCACGACGATAGTGCTGGAGCTCGAACGGCGCTGATTGACGCGAAAAAAGTCGCTGAAAAGCTGCTCGATGTGATCGTTAAGGGATTACCTGAAGAGAAGAAAAAGGTAAAGGATAAAGCTAGATATTTTTGCAAATAGTATAATAATTTAGTAGAATATAACTGTTTTAGGAGGAGAAGAAGGAAGAGAAAGAGGTGAAACCAGTCGAGAATGGCACAAAGACGCCAATTTTGGTAAGATTCGATGAATCTTCTAAACTCTGAAGATATAGACAAGTTTCAGACACAAGTTTTAGACAAGAGTTATTCCAATAAAGCTATTCTTTTCAATAACCATTTCAGGTAGAAGACGAAGAAATGGAATTAGCCGATTCAGTTGGTGAAGAACTCCCCGAAAAGAAAGAGGATGAAATCGAAGAGATTCAAGAGGATGATGTCGACGAGGAATCACAACCACCTAGTGAACAAGTGCAAGAAGAAAAGCAAGAACAAGAAGAACAACAATCAATCGATGCTTAGAATTTTCCTTGACACAATTTAGTCATTATCCTCCACAGTTTCCCCTCTAAGAATTTCTCTTCTGATCTCGGAGGTTTATTTATTTTTTAGCTTTTCTCGTTTCATTTCTTTCTACCCTATCTATTGTCATTTCTGTCTTTAATGTAATTTTTATTTTATTGGGTATAAATTTTGCCAAATAAGTCCTTTGGAAAGCAATGAAATGAGTAAAGAATCAGAAGACCTTCAGATTACCGAATTCCAGTACTATTGGGTTGGGGAGAATGAGTCGGCGCCCAACTTTAAAGGGACTTTTTGCACACATAAAGCCTTCTTTAAACATACGTTTGGTTTCATCAAAAGGATCCACTATTTCTCTACAAAATCACTTTTGAGAGATTCCACAAAGCTTTTCTTTCGTGGAGTTTATGAACTTTCAAATGCAGCTGATCAAAATGGCAAAGAGTCCGACTCATCGTTTGAACAGTTTCTTCCACATAAACCTTCTTTGGTGTTTATATAAAAAAAGATAGAGCACATTCAATTACATAAGTTGCCAAATTTGCAGGAAGATCCCACCAATGGTTTTTTCTAGATCACAGTTTGTAGTTTTTGTGAAAAAATGGCTTTTTCTTGAGCGGAGGCGCTGTTTGAATTTTCTTTTAAATGTCATTTTGTAGAGAATTAGTTAACCATTCTACTCATATCAAACGCATATTATTTGACGAAGTCGAATAGAAGTTTTAGACATTTTTTTCATTTTCGGCGCCGACTCATTCTCCCCAACCCAATAGTTAGATAGGAAATTTTATGAGCTTCAAGAACGTTAACTTTAACTTTAGCTTTAACTTTAGCTTTACCTTCCTTTAACTTCCTTTACCTTCCTTTACCTTCCTTTACCTTCCTTTAACTTTCTTTAACTTCCTTTAACTTCCTTTACCTTCCTTTACCTTCCTTTACCTTCCTTTACCTTTCTTTACCTTCCTTTAACTTTCTTTAACTTTCTTTAACTTTCTTTAACTTTCTTTAACTTTCTTTAACTTCAACTTCAACAAAAGAAAGTGTTGTGTTGATTCATCAGATTCCTTTTGTCTTCCAGTCATCCAAACTCTAATTTCTTCTCCGAAAATCTTTGCATTGACTCCTGGGAAAAAATGGAGAATGGAAAGAATAGAGCTGAATCTTCAAACCATATATTTATTGGGTATGACTTGAAACGTTTTTGTTCAAATTAAATCTCCAGAAATGTAAACAAAAATGTGGGAGAAGGGTTTGTGGAAAATAGGTAAGTGAACATGAACTCTTGCGAAAACAATGGACTTTCACTTTCGATATTTTTGTTGTTTTTTTTTTGAAATTTTGCTTTACTTTATTCTAACTATTGGCAATCTATCACCTGGAAATCTGCGACACGTTATGTTGTACGGATTTCTTGAAGGACACACGGGCTTCTAGTGTTCAACTAATATTGAGAATGTTTATGTGGAAGGATCAGCTCCACTACGGACATGTGCAAACTGGTTTGTTAAATTCCCTTCTGCGAATGAATCTTCGAAGACAAAGAGAGCGGTCATCCAGCAGTCCAGCTGGATACTGCCAAGTTGTTCGAAATTCTTTTCGCGTAGTAGCAGAAACGTTATCAGTTGGTCATCCAATAATACTCGAACACTGCACATACACTTGAGTTTAAACCGTATTAGGGACTTATTACCGTATTAGGGGAAGAGGTCAAAAAAAATGGCTGACAGATTGGTTTACGTCAAAAAACGAAGATTTTACTACGAGAGCGGCTTTCGGTTTTTGCCAGTAAAATGGGCTCAATTCATTCAAAACAATGGAGAATTAAATTAGAATTATTGCATGTAAAACGTCGAATAAATGAGTTGTTTATTTCTAGCCACATTTCATACCCACAAACCCATTCGAGGCATTCAACTTCTACCAGTAAAATAAGCACAAATCATACAAAATAATGCCAAATATCTCGCATGTTTTTGAAGTTATTAAATGAAGAAAAATTTCATTTTAAAAAACATGTCAACTCATAACCACAATAGCTGTTTCAATTCTTTCAATTCTTTTCAATTCTTCAATTCTAACCCTCCATTAAGGGCATCAATTTTGCCAGAAGACAAGCCAGTTCACTTGCAACTGCCAGAAGACAAGCCAGTTCACTTGCAACTGCCAGAAGAGAAGCCAGTTCACTTGCAACTGCCAGAAGACAAGCCAGTTCACTTGCTCATAACCACAATAGCTGTTGCAATTCTTTTCAATTCTTTCAATTCTAAGCCTTCATTAAGGGCATCAATTTTGCCAGAAGACAAGCCAGTTCACTTGCAAAATTGCGTGCCGCGAAATCGAGTTGTCTGCCGAAAAATGGGAACGGTCAATTCGATCGAGTGTTTCATATGTGCATGCAAGTGTTCGAAATTGGTAACAAAATCCAGAAAAGCTATGAAAAAGGGGACCTAGGGGGCGGTGCTTGCCCCTCCAATGCAAAGAGCTGCCCCCGCCCCAGTCACTCACTCCCGGGCACCTCTCAATTGCTCCCAAAGGCAGTTTAGCGCCTCTCCACTTTCTCCACTTTCTGCACAGCCATTTTGGAGGCAATTTTCTCCCTTTTCAACACCAACCGAACCTATTTTCCGTATTTTTCAGTGTCACCACACTTCATCACTCTTCAAAAACCCAATTTTTATTCGGCTTTTTATATTCTTAATTGCAATTTTTTGTGTCCGAAAGAGATGTGATCTGAGAAAAGGCAAAGAAAAGAATGCTTTTGAGTCTAGCTAGCTTTATTTTCTTGCTATTGTTCTTCTGTTTATCGACGGCTACTCAACAAGCGCTCACCGTGCACAATGGATCGGAGGTATGTGAAAAAAAGGAATATAAAATGAGTGACAGTGACATTGTTAGCTGACAACACTCGGAAAAGATTTTTAATCTTTTCTTTACGATATTCACTAGATAAGAAACAAAAATTCGAAAGCAAATCAAAGAAATCGAATTCTACCTTTGTTTTCTTGATCGTTTGCTCCAAAATTTTGTCTACAAGCTAAAAATTGTTGATTTATATCTGTAGATAACTTTTTAAAAACATTCAGCTTACTGAAAGATAAACTCTTTAATAAATTTTGAGAGTTTTTCGTTCACTACTTGGTTTTTTAACTTGAAAATTAGCTTTAGATACGTGAAAACTTTTAGTATGACTTTTTTTTTGAGGTTCACTTGCACTGTGCCCCAGCCGAGTTGTTTGCTCGTACACATATGGCTCCGGATTTCGAGAGTCCTCAACTCATTCGCTCACTCGATTGGTTTCACGATGAGTCACTCGTTGCCTCGTTTCGGGTGAGTCAAAAAGGAGTTGGTGACAATGCTTGGCTAGAATTTGAAATTTCTAAAGGTCAACAGGTAGGAAGGAATTGCTCTTAATAGGAAGAAATTGCTCTGACAACTTACAACTTACATATTTCTCTATAATTTCCTAGATTTTTTTTATGCCGAACAACTTTTGAAGGGGAAAGAAGTGGGTGACCGATTGACGTCGAAACGGAGAAAAGAGAAGCGGGTTATCCCCCTCAAATTCATAAGAATCCATATCGCAAAAAAAAGAGTGAGAAGAGAACGGCCTGGGCCAAGAAAAAAAATAAGAGAAGCTAGCGTTTTTCGGAAGCATTAAACGTGCCTTTTTTACCTTTAGAAATGGGGTTTAGAGGAAAGGAAAGAGAAAATCGACTGAAAGAGCTCAGAGAATACTTAAAAATAAAGCTAAAGTTGATTTAAATTTCACTACTTTATTATCTAAAGTAATCTAAAGTAGTGAGTAACTTTTGTTAGTTAGTTTTGAATGTTTTGAATTAATAGATTGATGCATAAGTGTTTTTGTTCCTTTTCGTCTGCCGTTTCAAGCCAACAAATGCCAACAAATTAAACTACGGTTGATTTCATTAGAAAAAGCAATTATTTTTCTGCAAAATAACATTAAAACGGGTTTAAAAATATTTTATGCCTGGATTTTCTTGAGATTTTCACCGATTCACGACTTCTGTTACAAAAACTTAACAATAACTGGTTTTTTGATTGTTTAATTTAAATACTTTATTTAGAAAGAAATAAAGTGGGAAAACGACATGAAAAATGTAGCAAAAAGATGATAAAGTCACTTAAAATGTAGAAATAGCCCTTTTAAAATCAGACACGGTGGAGATCAAACGAAACTTGTCGGGAAGGGCATTCCAAACTTTAATCTCAAAATATTAGGTTGATGCATAAGTGTTTTTGTTCCTTTTCGTCTGCCGTTTCAAGCCAACAAATGCCAACCAATTAAACTACGGTTGATTTCATTAGAAAAAGCAATTATTTTTCTGCAAAATAACATTAAAACGGGTTTAAAAATATTTTATGCCTGGATTTTCTTGAGAGTATGAAGTCGGGTAGTCAAAAAGGGCTAACTCGATGATGCGGTTTAGACACCTTATAAAAATACCGACTGGGGCTACCAGTGGTGAATTTATCGCATACACGAAATATATCAATCACAATACAACGACACACACAATACTAGGCTATATCTTAACTTAACCCACGTCATGACAGACGGCTCCCTAACCCTAAGCTCAATGGGGAACTAAATAGCTTTTTTGGTGGTGAAGGGAAGATGACGATGAAGGAGTGGCTTGTCACTTTAAAGAACTGGGGCCACAACCACCAGACTGCCCTCCAGAAAACCTCTCAACCCGAAGGGAAAGGAAATCCGAAGGGGGTGACCATGTCGCATGTGGGGTTCGAACCCTCGACCTTCCGATTAAGATAAAAGACACTTAACCAGTCAGCCACACGTGCTCAGTCAGCCTTAGCTAAAGAAAACCTATCTTCGTGTCAATAGATAAAAGATAGAGAAAAAAAACGTTTGATATTTCGCCAAAATTTCAGAGAAATTCATTCAGCCAATTTTTCCGTAGAGTCTTTTATAGATTTTTACGAAAAAGGCGTTTTTCACTCTCGAATTTGCTTCAAAGTGAACCGAAATTCATTTAAAAAGATGCAAATTGAACAAAAAAACACTTTTTTTATAGAGCAAACTATAGATTAATTCGTGAATTTGTTACTTTTTAACAGAAGTACGAAAAAAAACGAAAAGACTTATGCATCAACCTAATAGTTTTCAAGATCCTAGTCCAGCTTCAAATAATTTCCCCCAATTGCCCATAGCTTTCATTTTTTCCATCAATTAGCACACTCAAAAATTGATGGTGAACCCACTTGAGTCATTATGCTGAATCTCTTCATTCCATCCTATTCTCTCCAGCTGACTCTTCTAGATGAATGCTCTCTCTTATCTCTTTTATCTCTTTTTCTTTTTCTCAAAAGGTCAAGGGGTATCTTCAACTCTTTTGTATTCACCAAAAAAATGCCGATTTGTCTGTCTGACGATTTGTCTGACTAAAAGCTTTGACTTTTTGAGTGGTTTAATGTGTACAAGTAGAGGTAAACGATATTAGTGAGGTAAAGTAGTAGTACAAGTAGAGGTAAACGTAGAGGTAGAGTTAAACAAGTAGAGGTAAACGATATGATGATTTATATAGTTTTTAAACGATATCATGACATAGAAAGGCATCAACTTTAGTGTAAAGTTTTAAGGAGTATGTGCAAATTGTGTAAACAACAATAAATCGAAGAAATTAAAAAGGCTGCATTAGCTTGATTAGCTAATGCAGCTAGATTAACTGCAAAATGCTAGAGAAACAAAGAGATGGATCGGGGCTCGAACACTGATCCTGTGAGCGGAGATTTGCGTTATCCACTAGGCTACCAACGTACCTTTTATCCGCTAGGAAGGAGTGTTTTAAAGCATCCATTTTTTAGCATCCGTCAAAGCATCACTTAAAGTTTTAGTTTTGAAAGTGATTTGGCAAATTTTGATTTCAGATTCGGATTCCTCATATCCGATTGTATAAAGTGTTCGATTCTAAGTGTCTAAACGAAAGCTTAGCTCTAAAATCATATAAAATCTTATAAATCCATGTAAAATCTTAGAAATTTGATTTTAAAATCGGTCCACAACTTGACCAATTTCGTTCGATCGTTAGATTTGTTTAGAGGCATATTGAGGGAGGATTTTGCTGCATGGAAATGACTATACGATAAGCTTTGATAAGCTTTCGTTCGAATATCAAGAGAATCTAAACAATCCTAGCCGTTATCCAAAACTAAAACTAACGAGTTTTGGACATTGTTTAGGACAACGGTTAGGATTGTTTAGATTCTCTTGATATTCGAACGAAATTGGTCAAGTTGTGGACCGATTTTAAAATCAAATTTCTAAGATTCAAAGCTTATCGTATAGTCATTTCCATGGAGCAAAATCCTCCCACAATATGCCTCTAAACAAATCTAACGATCATCCCCAAAAGGATTGCCACCATTTGCTCATTTGTTGGATTTCTTCTGCATCTTTCTTTTGGTCAAGCTTTAGGAAAGCGTGTGGATTGTTTGCAATAGAACAAAAGAAAACAAAGAAAAGAAAGAAAGAGGAAAGAAAGAGAAAAGAAAGAAAAGAAAGAGAAAAGACTCAGAACTAACACATCGACTCACTCACTCAAGAACACACAAACACAAACGAGCATTTACATTCCATTCCCCCTTTCCCTCCTAAAACTCTTCTTTAGATTGGGAAGCCTTTCAGAAATTGATACCACCATTTGTGTCAAGGGAAAAGATTTCGTTTGGGTTGTTCGAGAGAAACTTGTACTACTCAAATGTGGGAATTGATACCACCATTTGTGTGAAGGAAAAGAAAAGAAGAAAAGATTCAAATAGTCTTGATATAAGAAAGAGAATAAGTTTCTAAGTTTGGCTCTAATAAATTCGAACTTAACTCTAAGCTTATTGTAAATATATTGTAGACAAAAAGAAAATAGACTCTAATAGTTTTAGTTTTCTAGGTTAAACTTAAAGTTAAGTTAAAGTGAGTCAATGTGTAAGTTCTGAGTCGAAGTGTTAGTTCTGAGTCGATGTGATAGTTCTGAGTCGATGTGTTAGTTCGGAGTTGATGTGTTAGTTCGGAGTCGATGTGATAGTTCTGAGTCTTTTCTCTTGATTTTCTGAGTTCTGAGTCTTTTCTCTTGCTTATGGAAAGTCGAGATTGATAGATTGATTGCTAGATTGATTCCTTGCCCCAAAAACTTCAAACGGCTTTTGATTTCTTTGCTTTTACTTTTACAATTGCTAAGTGTTAACTCAATCTTTAGCTTTTCGCTTTTTAGCTTTAGCTTTTTGCTTTTTGCTTTCTATATCTTGTTTAATCAATGCCAATATGTCAAATGCTAGAAAAGGTTGAAAACTTTCGTGTCTCTAGCTTTTCCCTAACAAAACTAACAAAACTCGGCATATCAACTCATATATCACAAAGAATATGATAATGGCCGTTGAGAAGAAAGACGAAAAGAGCTCTTTGTCTCAAGAAGACTTCTCAAAAAGCCACCTCCTTCCTGTAATCCTCTAGTTCTTCAGTTCTTCAGTTCCCCTTTCCTTTCACCCATCCTCCCCTCTTCAATCCTTTCCCTCCGCTTCTCATTTTCCATTTTACCCTCATCTTCTTTTCTACATCCATTTTCGGGAGGCGAAAACTCGAAAAAAACTTTGACGAGAGTTGAGTTATGTGCTTCTTACTCGATAGCTCTCTTTTCTAGAGGTGGACTTGGGAGAAAAAAATAGAGGTGGACCTGGGAAGAACAAAGAAAACAATTATTAAGCTGAAAGTCAAGTGAAAGTCTTTTTCTTCCGTACTTCCGTTTAAAACAGATTTGGATTGGATTGGGTAATTCGGAAGCAAATAGATTTTGCTGATTGGCTGAATGAATTTCTCTAAAAATTTGACTATATACTACTGACCAACAAATGCCTCAATTAAACTACTGTTTCTTTCATTAGAAAGGTTAATTATTATGTAAAATAATATTAAAATGAGTTTAAAATGTTGTCTGGATTTTTGGGAGCATCGGGTAGTCAAAAATGTGGCTCGATGGCATCATCGAGCATCATCGAGCGGTTTAGACCCTTTCAGCTAAGGAAACATATCTTTGTATCAATAGGTAAAAGATAGAGCATAAAAAGTTTGATATATAGTCAAATTTTTAAAGAAATTCATTCACCCAATCAGCAAAATCTATTCGCTTCCGAATTACCCAATCCAATCCAAATCTTTTTTAGTTTAAACATCTCGTAAAACTCGTGTTTATGCAATAATACGATTTGGAAACGGGCACAAAACTAAGTATTCTTTTTATCTCAAATTATCGCAACAAAAACGGCAACAATTTTCCCATTACCGCCGGGGAATTGGATTAGAAAAAGTCTACAAAAAGAACAAGGAAACTTTTTAGAAAAAACACAGTCTTACTTTCACGCAAATATTCAGGGGACTTTTCCCCATGAATTGATTGGATAATAGGGCACATAATTGATTGGATAATAGGTGTACCCATCATTTTCCCCATCTTTTGCCCCTTCTTAAACCGAATGATCAAATTCACGCGTGCTCTCACCTCCCGCCATCTATGTGGCCCTTTCCCTTCCTTTCCATTCCCTTTCCTTCCCTTCCCTTCCCTTCCATTCGATTCCCCAAATTTCCTGTCTTCTTCTGATCGCTTTGCCCCATAAAGAGATCCGAACAATTTTACGAACACTCATCACTAGAAGAATTTCAAAGGGCAAGAAAACAAGCAAGCAAGAAAAACAAAGCCAAGGTTGCCAAAGAGCACAGATTAGACAAACTGGAAAAGTTATCGGCAACCCCAACTGTTTTCAAAACGGGAGAAACGAAAGACGAAACACAAATTATCACACTATGTGGCCCCCTCCTCCATCCCTCCCTCCCTTCCCCCACAATCCCCAAATTCTGCTTCTTCTGACGCTTTGCCCAAAAGAGACCGCAATTTTACGACCACACTAGAAGAATTGCAAAGGGCATAGATAAAACTAAAGCTAAAGCTAATATAGATAAAACTAAAGCCAAGTGTTGCCAAAGAGCTTTACTAGATCTGTATCTGATCTGGCATTACATCCAAATGTTTTCTAAAACGTGGAGAAACTTGAAAAGATCGAAACTATCAAATTATCAACACAAAGATCAACTCGAAATCTTTTTAGAGTCGAAACGGATGGGCTGGAGAGAAATGGGTGGCCGGCAGTCGATTGCAACTCGTTTCCCCGTTTTTCTCGTTGAGGTAAGTCAAAAAGGTTAATATCTAACAATATCTAAGTATATCTAAGTATCTCTAAGTTAATATCTAAGTTTAATATCTAAGTTTAACATCTAAATAAACCTCTTACCTCTTCAGACTGTCACCGGTGAAAGTCGAGGACTCAGGCCTTTACTCGTGTCGCTTCGAGACAGATCCCCTCTTCCAAGCCATTCAAAATCAAGCGCAAACACTTCTAACAGTCATTGGTAAGAGTTTCGTGAATTCATCTATCTAACAATCCATTTTCAAATCAAAATCCAAAAACAATAACTCGAACTCTCATCTCTTGTCTTGAATCATGTCTCGAACGAGCACTAACAGAAAAACTTGAAAGTTTTTTGTTTACTGTTTACTCTAGCTTTATTCATCTTCATCTTCATCTTTATATATGCGTCTAATAATCAGTTTATTAGTGTGATGGATGGTATTTTAAAGAAAAGGATGGACCCATCAAAATGAACGCTCATTTTGTCTCCTTTTTGACTCTTTTCCCTCTTTCTCAACCCCGATTCATCGAAGCGTAAAAAATCAGGCTTTCCAGCGTAAATCGACCAGAAGTCAGTGTTCGAAATGGGAAAAATGAGAACGCTGAACAACGCAATGAATGAATTTTAAAGAAAATAAAAGGAATTGCGAGTCGACTAGAGATTTTCTGAAATTAGTTGTAGAATTTAATGACCTCTAGCTTATAGCTAGCCGCCTGGGAACAAGTCTGGGAAAAATAGGGAAATCATTTGGAATTTTCGAAGAGTTTCACTAGATTTTTCGAATCTTGAGTCAAAAAGAGCAGGTAAGATCTCAAACTCGGAACCTTTCACACTTCTGGACACGATTCAAGTAGCATTTTAAATCTAACAAATGACCAAAAAGGACTTGCAGAAGAATTGGTTAGCGGAGGGTTCGAACCCGAGCCAGAGAAAGATCACCAGTTCTCTAGACTAGCACACTATCCACTACACCAAAGAGGCCGTTGGACTGTCTCCTTAAGGTGGCCTGATAAAGAGTCCAAAATTCCCTTGTAAGCTTATCTTTTGCATTCAAGTTCTTCTTCTTAAGCCCTAAAAACGGAAGAGCATTTCAAATTGAGCTTGGATCAACTCATTTGTCTCTAAAATTTTGATGAAACCATTCCCAGAAGACGAGTAAATCCCTGCTTCCTGTTTTGCGATAAGGACGAACAGGGATTTATTGAGAGTCGAAGAGAGACGCCGATCCCCTCTTCAACTCCAAGAGATTGCTTCATTTGTGGTGTTCTCATCTAATGACTCAATGGGGCTCCTCTCTTCCTCCTTTTCCTCCACTCATCCTCACAAAGGCCATCTGCCTGGGTGCTTCTACATGTCTCTTTTCATTCTTTACCGCTTTCTCCACCTCACTTCATTCATTTGGGAAGAGATTTACTCTACCCAACTAACTCAACCCGTTCGATTCTTCTTGCAATATGTTCGGGATAAACGTTGGATTAGAAGAATGTTTCTTGTTTAGATCAAAGAAATGAAGAAGAATCTAATGAATAGAAAAACCGGAAAGGATTGTATGAAAAAAGCTGTAAATTTTCCGGGGGTTTTCGTGGACGGGGAATCGATTGGCTATATTCATTTTATGAAGTCAACCAATTAAAAAGCTCAATTGTAAGTTGCTAATTAGACATCGAGAATCGAGAGGATCTAATGTCCAATTTGTAAGTTATAATTTGTACATTAGAGATCTAATGATCTAATGTACATTAGAGATCTAATGTCCAATTGTAAGTTGTACATTAGACAAGCAACTTCACCTACTTGATTTAAGATTCTGTGAGATCTCTTTCGGGCAAAAACCCCCATCCTCATCCGCCATTTACCGCGAATCGTTCAGAATGGCGAAAGAAGATAATTGTGGTCGTCTTTTCACCCTTTTTTTCCCTCATCTAAGCCTTCGAAAAAAGCGTAAAAACAAAAAGTGAATGCTTTACGAAAAGTGGGTGCAATCATCTTGTGCTAAGTTTGAATGAATGTAAATATATTGGGTTGGTGAATTGAAAACTGCCGGCTATTTCGCGGGACTCGCAGATAAAAAAACAACAGCATTGAACCAGCTGAAAGGGGGTTTGGTTACTTCAACATTTCCTCAAATTATTTCGAAAAAATTATGCTTCCAGCTTTTTATTTTTTGGTATTTTTCTTCACTTCTTCTATTGCACTCGACAATCTGCCACCGGGACATATTCGTCGTGTCATGCTTCATGAGTTCCTACAAGAGCACAGTGCAGGCTTGGCACCTGCTAATATTAAAAAGATATATGGGGAGGACTCACCTTCCGAAAGAACGTGTCGAGTATGGTTTGCCAAGTTTCGATCTGGGGACAAATCTTTGAAAGTGCAGAGGGCCGTGGAGCGGCACCCCAACTGGATGATTCCAAATTACTCGAACTCATTACCAACGATGAATGGAAAACCGTATAGACTACCATATAGATGAATGAAAAACCGGCAAAACAATTCAAAATACGAAATATCAGAGGCGAAATCAATACTAAAACATACTTTTCAACAATTTATCTAACTTTCAGTTCGTCCCGTACCTCCATCGGCTCCAATGGTCAAATCATCTTCCCCCTCATCAGCCACTCTCTCATGGACCCATTCAACCACTCAAGCTCATCGACCAATCCTCAGATATTCAGTTGTCGTTAGGTAAGTTCAGATGATTTGAAAATGGGAATGATTTGGCTTTTTGAAGAGATTAGTTAGAGTTGAGGGAAGAAAATGGTTAGGGGAAGGTTTGAATCGAAGCTAAGAAAAGTTCACAAGTTCTGTAGACTAGCAGACTATTCACTAGACCATAGAGATCGTTAGATAATTGGATAGAAAGTCGCAAGATCTACCAATGAAATCTTTAGATCCGTCACTGATGGCGCTCGTTTTGTAATCGCGGCTCCATCAAACGCGACAACGGTGATTGTTGATAATCTCACGCCTGATACTGGTAAGTAAAATAAAGCTTTATCAATTGAGCTTATCAATTGAATATCTTATAAAGCTAATAAACTATAAATTTATTATTTCTATTTCTTCAGAATATGCCTTCTCGGTTCGCGGAGAAAATGCGGCCGGTAGCGGGGAGTTTGGGCCAGAGACCAACTTTGTTACGCTTGGAATTCGTGGGTTTTTTTTTGAAAACTCATCTACAATACGCTGCTATTTTACTGTAGACTATCTTATCTTCTTTCAGCTCCATCAACCCCACCAACAGCTCGTGTTGGCAATTCGACATCGCGATGTGTTTCCCTCGTTCTCACCGGCCCACTCCCCGCCTCAACCCAACATCTCCTTCTCTCACTACGGCATCCCAATGAAACACTTTTTAAAGAAACCAGGTAATAAAGACTTTTCTGCTTTAAAAACCCTTGTCTTAGGCTTGATAAAACCATTCGACATCATCAAATTTGCCAACTTCACCCCTTTTCCATCTACAATCTCTCCCTAGTTTCGGTGTCTCCGCACGGTTCATCGCCGCCATTCTCGGCTAATTTCGAAACAGATCAAGAAGGTGAAGAGAAGAGAAGAATTCCTTCTTTAACCATTTACTTTCCAGTGCCCGGTAGTGCTCCACGAGAACTACGGGTGGAGGGAGTGTATGGTCGTCCATCTCTCATAGTCTCATGGGCTCCTCCTCTACATCCAAATGGTGTTCTCACCACGTATCATATTTATCAAAAAGTGGCTGCAACTGGGAAATGGAAGGTTCAGCGATTATCTTTTCGATTCTAATTATCTTCAGGCGGATGTCTTAAAGATCAAAGGCCGCGAGGAGAAGCAACGATATCGGATTGAGATCAAAGGGCTTTTACCGGCTACGAGGTGAAAAGACAAGACGAGACAAGACTGTAACTTAAGCTTTTAACTATAGATTAGACAAAAATACTGTTTTCTTGTTTAGATACTCGATTCGAGTGAGTGCTTCAACAATCAAAGGAGAGGGTGAGAAAAGCCCCGAGAAAGGAGCCACCACAGATGTCGCAGGTTTGAAATAAAGAAAAGTGACACTTAAGCTTAGGCTTTAGATTCAAATAAATTGCAATTTCTTTGATAAAATAAAACAAACACAATGCAACTTTGCAGCTCCTGATGTCAGCAAAATTGAGCACATTTCGTGGGACACTTGTGGAGACTCTGTGGTCACGTTTTTCTGGAGTGATGGACCGAAAGAGGCTTTCTATGCAGTAGAGGTTTGAGAAAATGATCGAATTCTTGCAATTGTTTATACTTTTCCATACATAATTATTCAAAATTTAGCTAGAAAGCGAGGAAAAAGTCACTCGATACAACTCAACAAATCCTAAGGTTGGTATTTAATGCTTTTTCAAGTGGCCTGGAAACAAGCAGTCATGGACAAGTGGCTAAGAGCCTTGTATTATAATCCAGAGGTCGAGGGTTCAATCCTAGGCTGGGTTGTTTTTTCCTTGGTTATTTTTTTATAGGGTTTTCTTCCCTAGATTTTAGGCTCTGCTTGTGTATTGTTTATATCACATTATTCATGAATAAATGTATAAAAAAACGACATCTTTTTTTACAGTTACAAGTGACCGGTATCCGCCAGATGCGAGAGTATTCGGTGAAGGTGAAAACCTCTTTGAAAAGCCTTGTCTCTCCACACAAAACCGTGGACGGAGATTGGAGTCGCACTGAACGTTTCTCATTGAATCGTTTGTTTTTAAATAATTTTCAAATCTTCAAAAAGAAAATATTGCTTACTATACATAGTAAACATAGATTTCTACTTAAATAAACAAAAAAAACAGCTTCGTTTTTCTTTTAAAAGCCTCCAATTGCAGCTGATTGTGCCATTTATTCGACGGTATGCCCAGCGACGAGTCGTCTTCGCTGTCTTCCACTAGCACAGGTTCCAACCTTTATTTAGATTCAAATAGAGGATTTATATCAGCATCTAGTTCTTAAGATCAATATGTTATTGTATTTTGAAATGAATCCTTAATCTCATCGATCTGATCGATCTGATCAATCAAATCCCATCTCCTCCAGTCCCTCCCCAGCACCTCTCAGCCATTCTCCCCGGTGATCGTCTTCTCTTCGATTCTCTTCTTTTTACTCCTCATCCTGTTGACCGTGTTTTTCTTGAAAAGGTACAAAGATTTATGTGCAAGAATCGAGAATTATTGTATTCCAAAAAAAACCAGCCAACTACTCAGCTTCGATTTAGATTCCATCGATGTTTTGGCGTCAAGCGATTATTAAAAAAACGAGAAAAGAGTATTTACGTCGAGGAATTAAATCCATTAGTTTATGGTAAGCTTTCAATTTCTCAATGAATTCCAAAAAAAAGTAGATTCGATTGGTTGCGAGAAGATTCCGGTGGAGCTTTTCTATGGATATTGCGAGGATTTAGCGAGAGAAGATGGACTAAAATATCGAGGGCAGTTTGAGGTGTGTTAAAGCAAAAGCAATTGAACTTTTTAGCAAAGGCAAAAGAAATGAACTGTTAGAAGCAAAACCAAGATTGATTTACAATTGTGCAAAGTGAGAAACTTTGATTTTTAGCAAATCGAACGCATGACTGCCGACTGTGGAGTGACCAGGGAGAGCCTAGTGAAATATGCCGACAAAAATAGGTAAACAAATGATTTATTCAATCAAATTTCAAATCAAAAAAAGCTTTCAAATTTCTAAAGGAATGGATTTCTGTTTAAATTTGGAATGGATTTCTGTTTTCTAGATACGCAAATATTGGAGCGCTTGAAACGAGTCGAGTTCGGCTGACGGGGGCAACGAGTGACTACATCAATGCTAATTATGTGGATGTGAGTTCTGAGAAAAAGTACTGCTACAAGGGGCTTAGGAAAAGCTTTTATCAGGAAAAGCTAGGAAAAGGGAAGCTTAGAAAAAGCTTTTATCAGGAAAAACTTTTTCAGGAAAAACTTTTTCAGGAAAAACTTTTCAGGAAAAGCTTTTTCAGGAAAAGCTTTTTCAGGAAACAGCTTGTTTCTTTCTGGAAAAAAGCTTTCCCTCATTAAAAGTTCATTCATTTCAGAGTTGCGAAAAGAAAAACGCCTACATCGCCACACAAGCTCCACTCGCGTCGACGATCGGCGATTTCTATCAAATGCTTTGGCAAGAGCGCTCAAATATCGTTCTCATGATTGCCAATATTGAAGAGAATGGACTAGTTTGTGACAAGTTGAATTTCATCTTCTAGAAATTTCTAGAAAAAATGCGATCAATACTGGCCGACGTCCTCTCATTCCACTGAATCCTATGGAAACTTTCAGGTACACAATTCTTCAGTGCAACTCTTCAAGAAAAACGATTTCCAGGTCTCGTTGATCTCTCAAACATCATGTGCTCATTTCGTGCACCGTATACTCTCGGTGAAGATCTCGAAATGTGTACCACAGGTTAGCTAGTCATATTGTGCCAAAAAAAAGATTAGATTGGGTATTCAGTATAGATTAGCTGGATTACGGTATTTAGTCTAGATTGGGTATTCAGTCTATCATCATTTCATCATTTCCAGACCGAACGCCGGCTTCATCAACTACAATTCTTTGGCTGGCCCGATCACGGAGTTCCCACATCTCCATTCCCATTGCTCTCCTTTGTGCACGCTGTCGCTCAAATTCACTCCACTGGGCCAATCGTTGTCCATTGCAGGTAATCGAAGATGAAAGTAAAGTAAAGGGGAGTAACCCAAACGCCCAAAGTATTGCCCAATAATTCAGTGCGGGTGTCGGTCGCTCAGGCTCTTTCATCGTGATCGACTCGATGCGTCGTCGCCTTTTATCGAATCGTTCGCTCAACCTCATGGGCCATCTTGCACACATCAGAAAACAACGAGAGAGATTGGTGCAAAATGTGGTAATATTTTCAAAGCCAAAGGGTCAAACTCACAACAAAATCCAGGAGCAATACATGTTCTGTCATGAAGCAGTGCGGCAATTGATCCGACACGGGATCACTCGCATTCAAGCCTCTCTCTTTACAAAGTGAGTAACGAAAGAATACCCAAAATAAAAGAATACCCCACTTCTAGATATGTTCGCTACTTAGCCGAAGCGAACGCGAATGGTCGCTCGCGAATTCTCGCACAATTTGAGGTTAACAAAAGGGATTACAGCAAAAAGTCACATTATGTTTGCTCGCCAAACTCTGCGAGTTTTTACTCGCTATAAACATAATAACATTTTTCTCATAAGCTTTTCCGATATGATGTATTGTCCACCAATTTTGAGGTCGGACAATTTATTCAAAAACCAGCTATAAACTAAATTACGCTATTGAAAATTGTCCAGAATGAAAATTTTTGTCAAAAATTTTCCTTTTAAACACGATTGACCACGAACTAGCCTTTGACGGGTTACGGTAAACAGCTTATAAGAAAAATACCATTTTCAGGATCTCTGCAAGTGTTCTCATTCACCACACTGTCCACCATCAGCAGACTATCTCATTCTTCCAGTAAAATCTAAAAAAAAGTCCTTCTCAAGAAAAACGTAATTAGGGTTTTCATCGACTCGACGAGTTTCTTGTCGGTGGATGGTCGAACGAGTGTGACGATTTGTGGAGAAACGTTTGGAAGCACGCCGTACACACAATTCTTCTAATTGGTTTGAAAAGAAAGACAATTAAGGTTTTTAGAAAGCAATTAAAGGTAACGAGAAAGATTTCTGGAAAGGTCAAGAGAAATTCGATGACATATCGCTAGTGCGTGATGACGACACAATGCTGCTATCGGATGGAGAGCAACAGGTGAGGCGATGGGATTCATTTGAAGTAGAATTAAGAGAATAGCTTGAATATCTCTTGAATTTGAGCTCTTGAAAATGAATTTGAGCGCCTTTGAAAAATCTTAGACTATTCAAGAACGTCGGCCCTTTTTTGCTGTTGACAATTGAAGGTTTCTCGTGTTTTCCTCAGCACCGACCCTTCGATTTTGACTATTTTGACTATCATTCGATGCAGAATAAAATTGCGCGTCAAATGATAGCAAAGTTAATTTAAAATGTAATATTCATGCAAAGTTATTGTCTAAAAACCTAAACCCCGCTCATTATGGACGGAGGACTTAACCATTTGCCTTATAAATTTGCGTGGAGATTACATTTTAAACTAAGTTTGGTATCATATTCTGCATCGAATGATAGTCAAAATAGTCAAAGTCAAAGGGTCGGGCTGAGAAAAACACGAGAAACCCCAGATTGTCAACAGCAAAAAAAAGGGCCGACAGGTGTTTTCGTTACAAGTCTAGTGGGTACCGTTAAGAACCGTTAAGGGACTGATAACCGTTAAGAACGGTTAAGCAATTCTAAGAATTACCGTAACCAGAAAGTATTCAGTTAAAAGTCCGACTGTTATGTATCGAAAAGGAAGATTTCGATGCCGACACATGGGGTCGAATAGAAGCTGGTGAGAGATTTACGATTTAAATTCGATTAATACACATCGATTAGTTCAATCGGAACGGCTCTGCTCACATCATCGACCATTGATGGTGGTTGCACCGAGTGAAGAGAAAGAGGAAGAGAAAGGAGAGGGGAAAAGTGAGGAAACTTAAATAAGAATAAGAAATTCTTGCATTTCTACAGAATAAACTACTTAAGCAAACATTTGTTTAACTGAAAATCTATATCTTTATGCATAAACACCATTGCTTTCAGAGTTGGCCGACTCCCGAGCTTTTCTCTTTTGTGCCCTCACCGGATTGGCTTGTCAATTTGAGCAACAGGTAACTCTAATAACAAAACGCATAAATATTACCATTATCAACGTTTCAGGGATGTCTTGACATCATTCAAATGATCACTTTATACTCTCATGCACAATGCGGAATTTGGAAATCCTCTGTAAGAGTTCACAAGTCAACGCAAAATCAAATAAACTTTTCAGAAAGACATCGAGTTCATCTATGAGCGAGCTCTTCAGTTAATTATGTTAGCCAATTCCTGAATAGTTTCCTATTAGAGAAAATTTATGGTAGAATCCTTTGTGTGCTATAATATTTTGACGGGTGCTCAGCCAGAGCTTTCATCCAACCTCACTTTATCCGTGATCTCTTATAAATTTTTTACCGCATTATTATATCCTCACAAATGTTTATTTTCACAAGCAAATTTGTACGTATAAATCGTCGTTAATTTTTTGTCGCACAAAGAATCGCTGGCAGTAGTAGGCTCAAACAATAGGATGAACGGGTTTATTCCTGAAAAGTTGAAGGTTACATTATAAAAATGTGATTACTTACGAAAATTGACGACCAAAAGTAAACGGAGGAATGATTCTGGAGATCAATTGATAAATGGCTGGTGGTCCGTCAGCTTCTCGAGCAACAGTCACCACACATCCAGGAGGGTAACTAAAACAGCAGTGTTTTAATATGAAATTTTAGTCGCATTACCGGATTCCAAGCTCGGTCGTGTTCAGTGCTTCATCTTCGGAGATCGAATCCCATTGCTCATCCGTAGAGGTGACATCAAGCTCGTTGTAATTTGGATCGTCTGGATCTTCGGGTGGCTGACACCTACCTAAATTCTCAATATGTTGCAATTAACAATAGAGAAAATACCCATCAAAAACGCAGTATGAAGTGTAACGGCATGACCCACAATCAACAAAGGACCTTCCAAATATGACAGACTAAGATTTCTAAAAGCAAAATAATAAAGTAAATCTTTTGCAAAACAACCTAAGCACAAGATCGATTCGTTGACGAGCCTCCAATTCCGTCTCATTACGTGCAAAATATGTGTCACGCACAATTGGCATGCTGAATCGGTCATCAATAATTGAAAAAATCATGTAACCTACTAATCCTGATCAATCGGATATCCGAGGCCGACAAAAGTCGACATTTTCGAAGGAGGTAGAATTTGCATCCCATTCCCTCGGTACCATCCGAAAGGCTCAAAAAGTCCAGGCTCGACCTGAAAAACTTCCATTAAATCTTGTCTTAAACTATATCTAATTCTTAGCTCTCTGTTAAGTTGTTTATAATAAAAACAAACTCACGCAAACTTTTGCACCTATGCCATTAGCATAGGTAGCCATTGCACAAGCAGTTTGAACGCAACGCAAAGCCGGGCTACAAATAATCTAAAAACGAAATAATAAAACATATAAATAAAGCCCACCTTTTTTGGCCTCAAACCACGTAGCATGATAGCGCGCATCACCAATTGGGATTGATAACGTCCTAAAACCGAGAGTCATTTCAACGTCTTCGATTTTCCATAATTTTTTTAACCAACCAAGCTTTGTGATAGGAGGGTTGTTGCTAAACGGAAATTTTTGAGTCACTAACGGCAATAGCTTCCGGTCGGATTTAGGCTAATAATAAAATGAAGTGATTAAGCAAAATCGAAACTTACCCATCCATTAACGATTTCGGTCGACATCCACTTCTCTCCATGTACACGATCCATTCTCTCAACCGATCGCATGACAATCAACAGGCGTTCTGAATTTAGTGAGATTAGGTTCAGGGTTTAAAAAAATATTTACTACGCGCAATCGAACGTCCAGCCGACATCCATAAACCGCGGAGATGTGGCAGTGATGTAATTGGTGGTCCAAGAGGGATGTTCGTGTCCATCAACTAAATAAAGTCATAATAAAAAGCTCAAAGTAGTCCACGAACCGCCTTAGCCGTGATAACCTTTCCCGATACGTCTGGTCCAGCTTAAATATTTTATTTACTGTAAAACTAGACGCTACTTTTTGATTCGAATGGAACTTCTGTAGTGCATTTAGCGAGCGAAAGAACGTGAAATGAACGATTCTTCTCCGGTGATTGACCTGAAGCATGAGGACCTCTCGAACTCTAAAAGGAAATAATGAAATGCTACAACAAATGTCCAATACCTTGCTTTTAGCCGTTACTTCCTTGTGTTTTGACTTATGGCTCAATGATGATGATTTGCTATTACGATCACGAGAGTCCTAAAAACTTTCATTACAATACTGCTTTAAAAAACAACCTTCGACTTAAGGACGACAAGAGGTTTCGATCGGTGGCTGCTTTTAGATCGAACATCTTTATTTGAAACGTTGCCCGGTTTCTTTGGTTTAGACCAAAGCAATACATTGTAATTTAAAACTATAAACTAAAATACCTTTACCGATTTACTTCGCTGTGAGTTGTCTTTATTGCACTGGCTAGCATCGAAACGACGATTTGGTTTGTGGATCGACTGTGCAGGTTTATCCAAAGACGACACCCTCTTTTGTTCTTTCGGCTCTCGTGAACTAAATGAATAAGTGTTGATTGCCAGAAGTTTGCCATTAAAATTTAGAAGCGTAAGGGTTAAATCAACTAAAAACGAATGACAAAACATTTTAAAAATGAAATACTAAAAAAAATACCTGGATCTTGATGAACCAACCATTGCAGCAAGTAAGAAAAATGAACGCACTAGTGAGTGCATAATTTTTTGAAAATGACAATTAAATGCAAACCGGGTCTTTGGTGCTAATTGACTGTCTCAAATTTGGCTGCGTTTGAATTGATGTTTGCTTTCCAAATAACGGTGTCAAATTAATACCTAGCGAAATTAAAAAATAATTTATTGGTAGTTGGATGAACGCGTGTAGCTACACAAAACCGGACATATAGTAGCACACTCGCTCAAAATAATAAACACAAGGCACGAACCAAAACACAAAACAGAATAATTAATACCCCGAATCAAAACAAGAAACAATCAAATGTTAGGATGTTGATTTGGATATTACTGCTGTTCGCCAAGAGGAATCGTTAGCTTGGGTTTCACGGTTGAGCCAGACTTCTAAATAGAAATATTGCTTTTGTTAAGCTTAAGAGGTTTACAGGGTAATGTTAACAACCTCTATTGACGTTCGGTAAAAATGGTGCTTAGCAAAAATAATATCCTTTTAGCTACTTATCACTAGGTTTTAAGCAAGTAGCAAAAGGAGATTGCCAACCTTTTGACACGAAGCATGGTCCTCGTAACGAAGCACGTCGGCAAGTGGGAAATGACCCTGTAAAAACCAATTTAAGAAGAAAAAACCAATACACACCTTGAGTTGCTCGGGAACCTCAGCAGTCATAAGTGTTCGTGCGATTACTTTTCCAATCCTCATGTTACTGTCATCGTCGTTGTGATTTCTAGTCCACATCGAAATCTTGAAAGGATTGGATTATATACATAAATGGTTCAAAACTTGCCTTTGAACCCTTAGCTCGAACGTTGCAAACTAAGCCGCAGATGTTCTCCATGTCATCACCATATTGCTCGCCAATCATCGACAAGATCACTTCCAGCCAGATCAGATCCATGATTCCGCCAGGCTTCCCCTTTTCAATCTAAAAACAAAACGTGTTTCACTTCCTTGGTTTGTTGTACTAAATATCCCAAAAAATTCCTACATTGATTAGCCAACGTCCTCCATTGTTGTTTTCTGGAACTTCCCACATCGGCTGAATTTCATTCTTGAAGAAGTTGTAATCACAAGAGTGGGCGAGCGACGATGGAGGCCGAATGTTGTTCTGGAGGCTAAAAGATTCCATAAAACCATTGATGAAACTTTTTACTAATCGGATCAGTACGGCTCGGTGTTCACGAATCATTAGCTCTAGAGAAATTTCTCAATCTCAAAGTTATTTAAGGTTCGCAAGTGCGACTAGCTTCTTGCTGCTTTGCTAGTTGAGGGCAAAGTGATGCAGCTCTAGATCGAAATCGTCAGAGACGAATAATGCAATTCCAATAAAAGGACATCACAATTTTACATTTTCCGAAAAGTGACTTTCGACTGGGAAAGTTTCCAGGGAACAACGGGCTCAGATTGACGCATGGCCAAACCAATTTATACATCAAGACTATAATACCAAGTTAGTAAACTAGTAAGAAAACTTACGCCCAAAACTCTTCGACAGTCTTCACGGCGCACACCTTCTTCAAACGCTGCTCCCAATCTGCTTGACGATCATCGTTCAAGTACCAATAGGTCCACGTGTTCTTCAAAGGGTGTTGACGATGCTAAACAATACATAAATCAACAAGTAGACAAAGAACCCTTACCACAACTCCTTCCTCTTGCTGATCCTCAGTCATTTTCCAATGTGAGAAGCCTAAACCAAAACATTTTTTCTTAAAAACCAGAGAAAACAAAAAATTAAACAAATTCAATTAAAGGATCTAGCTGTGCTAAAATAAACTCGAATTCGAGCAACTTTGGCTGTTTTTCACGCATCTAAGCTCTGCAATTGCGAAACTTTGGAACGCGAGCAACTGAGCTTTAAAAAATATTTGCAAACCGTAAACAATCTAACAAATGTTTTGGTACTAATAAACTTGTTCAAAATATTCTAAAAATATCACCAATCGATTAAGCGTATTTGATTACCCTAGGAAATTCAAAACAAAACTAGAAAAAACACGCCCAGGATAGGGTCTGACCAAACGGGGTCAAAGTGGCCACCCTGAAGTTTATTAGTACCAATGCTTTTCGAGAAAAATGGGATTTACCCAATCGTACCCATACGGCGGGACTTGGTAAAAAGTTTCTGGCGACCACTTTGAAACTCAATGCGGCAAACTGGCTTTCCTTTTCTTTGAGAGCTTTTTTGCTTGTCGAGTCTTTTAATTACGGTAGACAATGTTCAAGAGCACCTTTTAAGCACACCACTTTTAGCAAATTTTCTATTTAACAGCAGCAGACACGCAAAATAAACCATTTCTCTCATTTCTCTTCAAAACATTTATCACGTCCCCTGTTTTTCTGTTTTTGTTCTTAACTTTAACTTATTAACTTATTTATTGCTCTAGGGACTGAGCATGCCTGCTAACGGTGACTTGGGTCAATTGTTGCAAATGGGTGATGATTCGGACCCTTGTGCGGAATTCCTGAAAGAGCTGCCCAAAGACATCAAGCGACGCATCTGCGCCCTCAAGAAGCTTCAGCTCCAATCTCTTGAAGTAAATAGCGATACGAAATGTTTAATTTCTTTTTTTAGGTTGAGAGCGAGTTTTTTCAACGTGTTCATCAGCTTGAGAAGGAATTTGAAAGCAAATTCAACAAGCTCTATGACTTGGTACGTTTTGGTCTTGTGGCTGATCAATTCATTGTGTGTTTTTAGCGCCGCAAGGTTGTGACTGGCGAAAAGGAGCCAACTGATGAGGAAGCCAATGCTCCATTGCTGCATGGTGCTACTCCTGAAGAGCTAGCTGTAAGTTTATCATCATGTATGTAGAAGCGGTTACTTTGGTACGACCTGATTTGTTGGCAAGTTGTATAAATCAAATTTAGGCCCTCAATGAAACTGCTCCTGAGACATCTGACAAGAAGGGAGTGCCAAACTTTTGGAGTCATGTCTTCGAGAATTGTGAAACGATTTCTGAAATGATTCAAGAGCACGACAAAGATATTCTCAACTATTTGATCGATGTCACAACTACTGTCGAAACCGCTCCAGAAGAGGTATTGTAAACCATGCTAAGGGTATATTTTTTTTCTATTTTAGGGCTTCTCATTGGCTTTCTACTTTGCTGCAAATCCTTATTTCAAAAACTCGGTGCTCACCAAGAGATACTTCCTTCAAATGAAGCCTGAGGAAGATAACCCGTTTGAGTTTGATGGGCCATCGGTGATTCGCACAACTGGGTAGGGCTGTTTGGCTAAAGCACATATTACTCTTTTTTAGTGATCAAATCCAATGGGAAGATGGCAAGGATCTGACCAAAAAAATCATCAAGAAGAAGTCGAAGAAGGGTGCAAATGCTGGAAAGTTCTTGACAAAGACTGTAAGCCTCTAGAAACAGGCTCTTATTATTTTATTTCTAGATCAAAGCTGATTCATTTTTCAATTTCTTTGATCCGCCCGCTTGCGATCATGATCACCAAAATGAGGACGACGATGACTTGGAAGTTTGCTTTGCTGTGCTTTTAGTAGTAGAAATTTTTTGGCTGTTTAAGCATATTGGTAATCGCCTTTGCATGCTAATGCATTTTTAAAAACTCTGAATTGTTATGTTTCCCTTTTCATAGATATAATTTATCTTATACGCAAAAACTTTCACTAAAGCCAGCTCTAAACTTATTATTTTTGTTTAGGAAGAGCGCGAACTCTTGCGTGCAGACTTCGAGCTTGGCCAGTTGATGCGGAGTGTTGTTATCCCAAGGGCTGTGCTTTTCTACACTGGCGAGCAGACTGACGATGATTTCTTCGACGACGCTGATTTTGAGGTTTGTTTGCTTTTCAGAAACTTAGCAGTTGGAATAAAATCATGATGATGGACTTTAGGATGACGACGATATGGAAGATGAGGATGATGATTGAGCTTTCCCTCTACAACATACCGGTGATTCCTCTCATTGTTTTTGTTACGTTGATTTGTGGCCTTCAGCTGTTACTTTGTTTTGATAAAAGTTTATTTTTTGTCGGAGATAAAATTCAAAAAATGCGAGTCATTCCCGCACTTTGGTATCATTGTATCTACAACTGCAAGACGGTTTAGCTTGTAAATTTATCTTAAACGGTCTTACTTTTAGAGATGAATCAGCAGCTACAAAATTTGTCAAGTTCTAATGCTTTAAAAGTGTATCAAGCGTGTAATTTTCTTGAGAGTGCAACTAAATCTCTTTGGGTGGATGGTCAGCTGGCGTCCCCAAATTCTCAATTAAATGTTGATCAGCAAAAACTTTGGGAAAGTCTTTTGAAAAGAATTTTGGATAAAACGATAACAAGTAAAACCCCATGTTTCTGAGATTCTAATACTAAATCTGTTTAGCAAGCACTTTTTGGTTTGGAGGTGCTCTAAATGGCTACTCAGGGGACAATGTCTATGATCGTTTGCTGTCAATAGGACTTTATCTAATAGAAGTGCTCTCCTTGCAAGGTTTGGTTGGAATTGTGTATTGTATGAACTGTAACGTAGATACAAATGCTATTGCTTTCTTCTTGAATATCTCCAAATTTTACCGGCATCCAGGAGAATTTGCTGCTCGTCTTCTCGCGAATGACGAACGCTGTATTAATGTGCTTTTTATTTTATTGAAACGCTCAGAATTTGTCGAAAAATTGGAGACCCCACTATGGCAGGTTAGAGAAGTGTTTTCATCTCTTGTAGATAGAGTTTTTATAGGACGTCCGCTTGCTTTTTGTAGAGGTTTTTGCACAAATTAGATTCGATGCCTTGGTAATTGATTAAAGAATTCATCAGATAACATTTTCTTTTAGGTTCTCTTGGAATGGATGCAGTCTGAAGTCATTGCACTAGCTCTCATCAATCGAATACTCAATGATGTGAAGCAAGAAAAGAATTGGACTCTTTGGAAGAAGGCTTTCGAAAAATCAAAGTTTTTTGGCAGTATTTGTAAAATTTGCTTGAATTTAGGTTTGCCGAACTGAGCCATGCTAATACGTATGCTATGATTGAACCGGAACCTCAAAGAGATGATGTTGTCTTGAAGGTAAAAATTAGTTTATAAAGATTATAAAGATTGAAGTTATCCTCAAAACGGGAACTTTTAGATTAGCGAACTCGCGGTGGATATTGTTTATGACAAAGAGATTCGATTCAATGATCGAGAAAATGTACGGATTATTTTAAAACCCAAATCACTTATTTAATTTTTAGATCAATCGTAAAATACCTCAAGTTTGCCCGGAAATCGCTTCAAAGGAGGCTTTTGTAAAGATGTTTTCTGAATTGAGGGTCAGTTCGATTGAGAAAAAATAATTTGAAGCTTTAGAGTAAATTAGCAAGAGGAGATCAAATTGTTCATTTCAAGACGGAAAAACTCTTGGGGAAAATTGATGAATTTCTACGGATGATTAAATAAGAATATTGTTTAGCTTCCGTAGATGTATGTTGTAAAATTTGTAACAAATAAATTTATTGAATTCAGAAATTTCAGAGAATGCTAAGATATTGTGGCATTTTTCGCTGAAGATCTCAGACTTACTATTTTAAGCATTTTAAACTTAATTTTTTTCCTGGAAAAGCTCCAATTACCTTTTCAAGTCGTACTCATCCTTGAAATTAATGCTACCCTCACAATTTGAAAGCTGAGAGAAAAAGTGAGAGTGGAAAAAAGAGAAAGGTCAAGAGATTTCGCATCAAAAGAAGATTTGATCTCTCTTTTACTCAAATTGTCATTGTGTTGCTCTTTTCTCTCTCAACGTGAAATGATTCAACCATTTTTCAATTTGGCATGAAAAGTAGAGAGAAAACAAAGCTATTTCTCTAGAATTTTCCATATGTGAATATCCGTTTTATTATTTGATCCAAAAAGAGATAGTGCATAAACTGCCATTTCGTTGGAAATGAGAAAATTTTATAGGAAGTTTACGCTCACAAAGAAAACTATGAAAGTTGCAGCAATTGGAGGAACAAAACAGCGACAATTTCCAATTTCTGGAATTTCAGATGATGAGAACTTCTCGGTGTTGAACATCAATGTCTTGCGTGTCTTGAAATCGCTGAGTTTATCTAAGTTCTCAACGAACACCGACTTTGATCGACATCTTTTTGATTTTCGAAACGAAAACTCGATTGGCATGTGCAAATTGAATCTTTCGTTCGCACTTTCCCTCCTTTCACACACACTTCCCTCTTTTTTGTTCACCTTGCATTGGAATTCGTCGATCGTCGATTCCTTGAGGGGTTTCACTGGCTACATAAGTGAGAGGGACAAAAGAGAACTCGTTTTTCTTTCCGAGAAACCCCCAGAAACTACGAATATCGAAGAGGAATGGGCAAAAGCGCAAATTACTACCTTTCCAAAGAACTTGACGATTAAATCGATGTTTTTGTGAGTGAGGCGGTGCGGTTGAAAAGTTTTCGTGGCTAAATGGTAGTGAAAGTCTGAAATCGGATGTCTGCTTCGAAATGCTTAACTGTCCTTGTTTATGTGTGCTCGTAAACCTCTACGAGTCTTAGTCGCTTTACACATAATCGCATTTTTCGTATAATCTAAAAAAAAAGGTAGAGTGTAGTTAATGTTATTTGAGGTTTTGGACAATTTATCGTGTCCACTTTAAAATCACTTTAAAAAGCGGTTACACTTTTCTTAAAATTGTCCAGAAGCAGAAATTTTTTTTGCGCACCTCGCCATAACTTTCTTCTAAGTGGGGCAATCTTTATGATACACTGTTACACTTGTTGAAATCTACAAAATGATACCAAAATCATAAAGATTGGCCCACTTAGAAGAAAGTTATGGCGAGTTGCGCAAAATATCCAATTGCGCAAAAAAAATTTGGCCCAAAGTAACCAGCCACAAATTTTGCCAACAAGTTTTCTTAAATATAAATTTTGGGTCACGCTTTAACAAAAGTTGGGTTACGGTATAAAGGGCACGCTCACAATCAGTAGAGTAATATGGAAATTAACCTACAACACATGTGTCAAGTATTCAAGTTTATACCGAATAGCAATAAAAGTTTCCGAACACTGCAAAAACATCGTACTATAGGTTTAAATGGTTTAGCAGTGTTTTGCAACATTTGGCGTACATAATAACACTAATTCAAAGTTACAGCAACCTTCTTACTTTCCCTTCCTGGTCAGTGCATTGAACTCACCCCGTTCCCCCAAAATTCTTTCACTGTACACCCTAATTGTGAATCCATGGGTGTTGCTGTATGCTTGTGGAGGGCAAGTTTTGCCCTTGGCATGACAGTCACTGAAAAAGAGGGAAATAGCTTGACTCTTTCCTTTCAAGCATCCCTTTCCTTCTCTTCACTCTCATCGTCTACCTCAATATCTCTTCTCGATTGCTCACTCAAACCATTTCCTACCCTTCAATTGTGAGCAGAGATGGGCGGATCGTCCTCTCCTCAACTGTATAAAAGCGCATCTCAAGCTCGCATCCGCAGAGCACCTCGACTCGTTGGTTGTAGGGACTCCCGCTGTTTGAAATGGATCTAGAAACCAGAATCAAGGTTGGTTACTGTAGCTTTACTTTTGAACATTCTTTTGGAAAGATTTAAACAGACTTTCTTAACCCCATCACCTTCTAGGCCTATCGCTTTGTCGCCTACTCGGCGGTGACCTTTTCGGTCGTTGCTGTTCTCTCTGTTTGTGTCACCCTTCCCATGGTGTACAATTATGTGAGCCATGTGAAGCGATCCATGCAAAATGAAATCACTTTCTGCAAGGGATCCGCGAAAGACATCTGGAGTGAGGTGATAAAAGCGTCTCTTTCATTTAATGCCATTTATTTACAGGTGAATCACCTCAAGAATTTGCCCACCGGCAACCGTACTGCCCGTCAAGCTGGATACGGAGATGCGGCTGTTGGAGGAAGTCAAGCATCCGCCGGAAGCTGCGACTCTTGCTGCCTTCCTGGACCAGCTGGACCTGCTGGAACCCCTGGAAAGCCTGGACGCCCTGGAAAGGTAGAAATTTGAGAAGAGTGAATGGTTTTAACCTTCAAGTATTCAGCCCGGAGCTCCTGGACTCCCTGGAAACCCTGGACGTCCACCACAGCAGCCATGTGAGCCAGTCACTCCACCACCATGCAAACCATGCCCACAAGGTGAGTAACAAAGCCAACAGGCTATAGGCTACGAGGCTACAAAATAACAAACTCAATACAAACAAATTCATTGCAGGACCACCCGGACCACCTGGACCCCCAGGACCCGCCGGAGATGCTGGAGCCCCTGGACAGCCTGGACAACCTGGACAAGATGCCGCTCCAGGAGAACCTGGACCAAAGGGACCACCTGGACCACCTGGAAACCCTGGAGCTCCCGGAGCCCCTGGAGAGCCTGGAGCCCCAGCTGTCAGCGAGCCGCTCATCCCCGGAGAGCCCGGACAACCAGGAGAGCCAGGACCTCAAGGACCACCCGGACCACCCGGACAACCTGGACAAGACGGAGCCCCAGGACAGCCCGGACCCAAGGGACCACCCGGACCCGACGGACAGCCCGGACAAGACGGAAACCCTGGTGAGCTGAATTCTAGGAGGTAGAGAATATTTTAAACTTTCAGGAGCCCCCGGACAACCTGGACAGCCAGGACAAGCAGGAGAGAAGGGAATCTGTCCCAAGTATTGCGCCATCGATGGAGGAGTCTTCTTCGAGGATGGAACTCGCCGTTAAGCTCCAAGAATTGTACAGAGCGAAAAAAACATTCTCACCATCGCACTGTAATAAAGGTTCTAGAAAAATTTGTGTTGCATGGCAAAGATTTAAATTCAAAATAATATTCAAGACATTGTCTTCGATGGGCTCAAATTGAAACTTGTTTTCTTGTTTGACTCAAACTTTAAATGAAAAAAGCTTACAGCTATGGCTAGATCAAAAACAAGCCTTGAAAATCTACTCAGAATTTTGCACAAGTTCAAAACCACTAAAGCTACACTCTGTCAAAAAAATTATAGACGCACCCTGTTTTTTGCTAGTTTAGAGCCGGATATAAGTGCTAGTCCAGTGAAAAGTATTTTTTAGTTTCTTTAATGTAAAAAACAACCCATGCAAAATTTCAAGTCATTTCACTCATCCAAAGTATTTTATCGTACAAAAAACGTTTTATCAGCTGTCAAAAAATTATAGACGCACTTTTATTTGACGATTTATTCTATCGATAATTGTTAATTTTTTCTCATTTTTTTTGCTTATTAGTTATGTTTATAAATGTTTTTACATTTTCAGATATGCCACTTGGAAAACAACTGGATATGGTGGAAAAAACGCGTACCGATGTGCTCCACACGCTTGGTCACTCAAACAGGGACATTGCTCGTCGCATCGAACGTTCTGAGAAGTGTATTCGCACGTATCTCAAGACCAGAGTGACTCCTAAGAAGAAAGAAACACGGGGCCGGAAGAAAAAGTTGACCGATCAAGACGAACGCGCAATTACGAGACGTCTTTCCAACACGACGACATCACTCGAAGAGGTTCGCAAGGAGATGAAGCTTCCGGTCACTCGCCAAACCGTGCACAACGTTGTCAAACGATCTACAATACTCAAATACAAACTCATGAAGCAAGCTCCACGACTCACAAAGGACCATAAAGCCGCCCGTATCAATTTCGCTCAAAAGAACCAGAAGACCAAATGGGAGGAAGTTGGTTTACTAGTATCTCTTATATATTTGATGTTTAGATCATTTGGAGTGACGAAAGGAAGTACAACCTTGATGGTGCTGATGGTTTTCGAGGATATTGGAAGGATTCACGAAAGCCGGGCATGGTCTTCAGCACGAGGCACTTTGGAGGTGGATCATGTATGGTATGGGCTTAGGCGGCGAGACGGCGAACTGGTCGGCTTAGAGTTTATTTCGACCCGGATGACGCTTGACTATCAACAAGTGTTGGACAAACATCTAGCCGTCTATCTGAACAACAATCCGGGCAATAACTTTACTTTTCTGCACGATAACGCGAGTATTCATGCAAGTTGCTCCACAAGAGATTGGCTGACAGCGCACAAAATCGGCACTGTCGCTTGGCCCGCTTGCAGCCCAGACTTGAACCCGATTGAGAATGTGTGGGGGACACTCGTTCGAGATGTCTACAAGGGAAACAAGCAATATTCGAGCGAGAACTCAAGAAAGCCATTCAAGTAGCCTGGAATCAGCTCCAGCCAACAGCGCTCCATGACCTTGTCTCTTCGATGCCGAGACGTCCTTTTGAAGTTGGACTAAAGCAAGGAGGTGCCACACATTATTTATTTATTTGGTTTGTGTTGTTATTTTTATTTCTGTTAACTTTTTCTTGATAAAATAAAAGTGCGTCTATAATTTTTTGACAGCTGATAAAACGTTTTTTGTACGATAAAATACTTTGGATGAGTGAAATGACTTGAAATTTTGCATGGGTTGTTTTTTTACATTAAAGAAACTAAAAAATACTTTTCACTGGACTAGCACTTATATCCGGCTCTAAACTAGCAAAAAACAGGGTGCGTCTATAATTTTTTGACAGAGTGTACATCAATTTTTGAGCTATATTTTAGCTACCTATAAAATATAAACAATTTAAATGACTCTTTCGTATTTTTTTCTTTTCATAGGACAATTGAGGGTGGAACGGGGGGAAAAGGATGAATGGGCGACACATCCCGAGTGATGGCATTCAAAGATTCGCGGCTGAAGATATGGGCAAGAGAAAGGGAATTTCCATGCAAGCCCTTATTCTTCTTCTTCTTCTTTTCAGACTAGGACCCACGACACGCCAACTCATTTTTCATAATAAATCCCAGATAGACGAGGGAAAGCCATCTCCTCCCAACAAGGCCTGTCCCCCGGGAAAACCCCCCGAGGCCTCCTAAAGAGGACCCAGGAATAGAGATGAACCGGAAAAGTTGAAGAAATCCTTAAAATATCCAACGGATTAGAGACTCAGAAAAGATTTTGGGTTTATGTTTGGTGTTTCATAAAGATCCTCTGCTAGAGAGACTTTCACTCCTTGCGTAACGATGGCCATTGATGGCCTTTTATTGACGACTATGAGTCCCAAGAAACTCGTTTTTTAGAATTTTATCCATTTCATGCGATTTTATTTTGAGTTTAAACAAAATTTGAAAGATTTTAGTGTATTTGAAAGCATTATTGGTTTTTCAAGGGTGCTCGGATTGAGGATTGAAAAATTGAGATTGTCACTCAAAAGACTGGCTTGATTACTCGATTAACTCTCATAGAACATTCTTTCAAGGTTTAAAGACTCCTCCTTTTTTAACTGAATATCCTTTTGATATGTTCATTGTTGTTTTTGAGCGAATAGACGAACTCCGGATGAACTCCGGATCTCGGATCCAATTTTGGCGATATTGTTTCTTCTCTTTCACCCCAAAAAAAGGAGTACTGGATGGGCAAAAAAAGAGCAATCTATCAAAAGATGCTCATAGAACATTCTTTCAAGGTTTAAAGACTCCTTTTTTTAAGCATTATTAGTTTTTCAAGGGTGCTCGGATTGTGGATTGCAAAATTGAGATTGTCACTCAAAAGAGTGGCTTGATTACTCGATTAACTCTCATAGAACATTCTTTCAAGGTTTAAGGACTACTCTTTTTTAACTGAATATCCTTTTGATATGTTCATTGTTGTTTTTGAACGAATAGACGAACTCCGGATGTGAGCGAGTCTCGGATCCAATTTTGGCGATATTGTTTCTTCTCTTTCACCCCCAAAAAAAGGAGTACTGGATGGGCAAAAAAAAGAGCAATCTATCAAAAGATGCGCTTTTTTCATTTTTTCCCAATGGTCGGTCATTTTTTAGCTTTTGAATTTAAAAGCAATACATTTATCTTCCTTGGGATCTTTTTTTGAATCAAAAAGCTTTACTTGTCATTGTTGGAAGGTAAGAATGAAACTTTGCTCCTATTTTTGAATCCTCTTATTGTACAGTCCTTGAAATCCTTCAAGTACTGTACAAGAAGTACATTGAAAGCTGATAAGTACTGATAAGTACATTAAAAGTATAGTACTTATCAAGTTCAGACTTTGGACTTTATCAGGAAGTACAAATATTTGACTTTCCTTCATTTTAAAACCAAACCACATTCACTCATCAAATAGGCCGAGATTTTGTTTAAAAGTAAATCGACTTGTTGCAAAATCGCTCTGCCACTCAAACTTATTGGAGTGGAAGTAAATGGACTGCCGCTAGAATTTTGTAGAACATATGGTGGAGGAAAAGAGAAAAACGAGAAAGAGTCACTCTTCCCATTTCCTTTCCACAAACACAACATACAGATTCACTCAGACTCACGGTTATTTTTCATGATCACGCTAGATCGCTTCTATGTAAAGACAAATAATTGAATTGGCAATAGGTTTTTGCAGAAATCTCTACTCTAACAAGCTTTTGAAGTCTTTTGGAGTCTTTTTGAAGCTTTTGAAGTCTTTTGTAGTCTTTTGGAGTCTTTTGGAGTCTTTTTTGAAGTCTTTGAAGTCTTTGGAGTCTTTTGGAGTCTTTTTGAAGTCTTTTGAAGTCTTTTTGAAGCTTTTGAAGTCTTTTTGAGTCTTTTGGAGTCTTTTTGAAGTCTTTTGTAGTCTTATGAAGTCTTTTTGAAGTCTTTTGAAGTCTTTTGGAGTCTTTTGAAGTCTTTTTAAACGTTAAACTGATCATCTTTTAGCTATTTCAAACAATCTACTACTGTATGTCAATAGCCAAGCTGAAAAACTTTTAATTCAGATGGAGTACTTGTCTGTTGAGTATTCTAACGTTGGTTACTATCTCTAGACAATAGGCTAGACTTTAAATTCTCTTTAACATCAAAAGGCATGTCGCATTTTATTAACCCAAACTCGTTTTCTTTTCTTTCTTTTTGTATTTTTGTCTACTTTCCCCCATACGCACTCAGCTGAATATCTTCTAGTTTTGTGGGGAATTTTAAACCAAAAGGCCAGCTATGAAAAATCTACGCAGAAAAAGAGACAGGCCTTCGTAGCTGTCCCGCAAAATAAAGATATTCAACTAGAAGGGAACTTTGATTTAACTTTGCTTCAACTTTGCTTCAACTTTGCTTTAACTTTAAAAGTATAACCCTAGTATAACCCTCAATTATCCCTTTTTTTTCAGTTCGCGTGCCACTTGCTCATCAGTAATGAAATGCCCAATCGATGAAGAAGAAATTGTTCCAGGATGACCCACCAATCGATCTCATTTCTAGTTTTTCTTTCATTACTTAAGATCATCACTTCTTCACAACCGGTTTCTTGGTTTGATTGCCCGCATCGGTGTCAGTGCTATGAGGATCCCGAAGATCACACGCATTCAGTGCATTTGATTTGTAAATGGGAACAGGTTTTACTTAAATTTTCCGCAAACATATGCAAACATAAGATTTTTAGTTAAATCAAACAAATTTGCGAACGCTAGCTCGTCCGGAATATGTGAGAACACTGACGATTCGATGTCCCCATTTATCGAAGACAAAAAGTCGCCCGGCAGCTGGGCTTTTTGCGGTATTATTACTTTTAAAAGCATACAAACTGTTCTAAGAACAGTTCTATCTCATGATTTAACAAGAAACCATTTAATTTTGTTATTCAGGGTCTCCGGAATCTTGACAGACTGGAGATCGATCGATGTCTTCTCGACGAACTCCCAGCTGACCTTTTTGCGGTTTGAGAAAAGAAAACCCGAATTGAGATCAATATTTTTGATCAATTCAGGGTCTCACTCAACTCTATTCATTGATCATTCGAAATGCTCGATTGGACGATCTCCCTGCTTCCATTTTTGATCATCTCCCTAATTTGATGACCCTTGATTTGACAGGGAATGCGCTAAAGATTGAGCCGTATGCGTTGAGAGCGTTGAGGTAAACAAGTTTAGACTTCATATTTCAGTTTATTTTAAAAATACACATGAATCATATGTGACAAACAAGACAGAAGCCAATCCCTAAGCCCTAAATGTAGCGAGGAAAACCAATATATAAAGAACCAAAGTCGGCGGGATTGAAGTCGGCGGGATTGAAGTCGGCGGGATTGAAGTCGGCGGGATTGAAGTCGGCGGGATTGAAGTCGGCGGGATTGAAGTCGGCGGGATTGAAGTCGGCAGGATTGAAGCCGGCAGGATTGAAGCCTTGACCTGCTGACTAAGTCCAGAGCTCTTAGCCAGTCGGCTATGAAGGCTATTTGTCATGACGGTCATTTGATAGTTTTAAAGTAAATCTGTAAATCAACTCAATAAAGCTAAGTCCCATTTCCAGAAACGTGATTCATGTCGATCTCTCGAATAACTCGATCGCTTTCCTCGGTGAGTACAATTGACAGCCTCGTGAGCGCTCAATTTTTTTTTACAATTTTCAGCAAACACACTCATCTCAATGCCCAAACTACGGGTTTTAACAATCGATCATAATCGACTCACAAATATTGATTTCAGACGGTTTATTGAACTTGAAAGTTTTCTGTTGTAGCTCTGTAATTCTTAGGCTACCAGATGAGTTGACGGATCTCTCATTGCGACACAATTTCATTTCGACACTTCACTATACACCACCAAGTGCACAGTGAGTTGTAAAACTCTTTTGAGTCTAATAGTAAAGGGATTAAGGTATTCAGCCTAGAATAAGGTATTCAGTCTACATTAGCTGGATTACGGTGTTTAGTCTGGATTCAGTCTAGATTAGCTGGTTCACGGTATTTCGTCTAGATTAAGGGATTCAGTCTGGATTAGCAGGATTACGGTATTTAGTCTAGGTTGAGGTATTCATGTGCTTTTAGAAATTTGAAGCGACTTGATCTTTCGCACAATCACTTGGATTTTGCATCGGGTACCGGAACGGTAGGTTGCATCGGTAAAATGTAATCAAATCAAATTCATTCTTTTTTTCAGGTAAATGTACTACCGAAAGGCTTAAAAACGGTGGATCTCTCGCACAATCGGATAGCTTTCATTCAAGATGGAACATTGGAACGATTAGAAGATCTCATTTTATTTGATCTCAAGTGGGTCCAAACAAAAGCATCTTAAAGAGGACATTTAAGGCTTTCAATCAGATCTAACTATATGATAAATTTCTAAGAATAGATAAATATAAACTTATGCGTATTATATAACATTTGGAAGTTGCAAATCTGTTCATAAAAATGGGCAAATACGTTTCCGAGTTTCTTTAAAACGTTAGATCAAGGCTCATAACTTTAACCAAGAGGTTAACTATTGGATTGGTGAATTGAAAACTGCGGGCTATTGTCTTATGTGACAGTTTGAGCACTTTCTTCAAAAGGAACCCATTTTGGTGTCAATGGAAAAGTTGTAGAGAACCAAAAATGAAGCTTATATCCAAATTTTCAGAACGATTCAAAAACTGGTTTTCAAGAAATGCCAAATTTACGAATTTTCACAAATGAAATGGCGGAAAAGGAGGGAGAGGGGAGGGGGTGGGGGTTACGGTATCTGCCTGTCTTTCTGTCTGTCTTTCTGTCTGCCTTACTGTACGGGCATTTTTCCGGGGGGTAGTCAAAACAGCGCCATAATAGAAAACGTTCAAAACAGCGCCGTCAAATTTCTCAAAATCCAAAAAACCAAGCCGGTTCAAGTTTTATATCAAAAAATTCCTTGCGTTCTTGGCTACATGATGGGTGAAACAGTTTTTAAAAAAAGTTAATATTTCATAGATAAAAAGAGCACTCAAAATGGGTCTCTAAAGATATTCAGTTAACCAACTGAGTATCACTCGACGCACATTTTGAGTGCTCTTTTTATCTATGAAATATTAACTTTTTTTAAAAACTGTTTCACCCATCATGTAGCCAAGAACGCAAGGAATTTTTTGATATAAAACTTGAACCGGCTTGGTTTTTTGGATTTTGAGAAATTTGACGGCGCTGTTTTGAACGTTTTCTATTATGGCGCTGTTTTGACTACCCCCGATTTTTGGGGGGTAGTCAAAACCAGCCATATTTTGACCAATATTTCATTTTTCATTTTGGTTTTCAAGAAATGCCAAATTTACGAATTTTCACAAAACTTGCATTTTAAGCGAAACTACTAAGTGTATCTTTTTGGAAATTTGGCTATAAGCCTAATTTTTGATTCTCTACAACTTTTCTATTAACACCAAAATGAGTTTCTTTTGAAGAAAGTGCTCAAACTGGGATATCTCCAGTCCTCCATTTTTGAGTCTCACACTTTTCTCAGACACAAACCAAAATCCTACGAAGAAAGAGGAATCCACAAATTGCCTGTAAAATGGGCACAAGTCGTCAATAATAATGGAAATTATTTGGAATGAATTCATGGTTTTATGTCGAATAAATTTTAGTTCAAAGTCCGGCAGTTTTCAATTCACCAACCCAATACAAGACTCATAACTTTCAACCAAATAAATCCCTTATTATTTGAAAAACTCGAGTATTTAAATAGTCTTTAAGAGTAAAACTTTTAAACAACGACTAATACTATCGACTATCAACACGTGAATCTAGAAAATTGAAAGTAAACATTCAGAAACAACTCATTGGGTGAACTCCGGGAATCCTCCCTAACCGGCCCCAAAAACCGCCTCCGTCTTCTCATCTCTCAAAATCCTTTTGTGTGCAATTGTGGCCTAAAATGGATGGTTCATCCAACTACTAAGGTGAATAAAATCAAAATTTCCATTAAATATCAAATCTTTCAAGTCCACCCCAACCGTTCTTGATCTGGATTCGGTGCAATGTTCCCATCTCCTGCATCCTGAATCTCTCTATAATCTCACGGCGGCTGATCGCAAAAATGAGCTTCTCTGTAAATATGAAAACGTTAGTGTTTATAATTGAAATTTAACAGCAGATAAAAAAGATTAATCTTTATATTCTAGCAATGTCCCGGCTCTTGTTCTTGCTGTCGTTTGCCTCTTTGTGAGTGTCGAATCGAGTGTCCGAAGGGGTGTCAATGTTATCGAAGCTCTCGAGATGATAATGAAAATGTTTGGATTTGATTTGAAAGATTTGAAAGATTTCTATTATTTTGAAAAACATTGACAGTTTTCTTGTACTTTCAGCTTCTACAAAATATTATTCGATGCGAGGGACTTCGATTGGACAAAATTGATGAGGTGATTGCATTGTTTGATTGAAAGATTGATTGATTGAAAGATTGATTGATTGATTGATTGAAAGATTGAAGATGAGGTGATTGCATTGTTTGTTCAATCAAACAATGCAATCACCTCATCTTCAATCTTTGATTGATTGATTGAAAGTTTGAAAGATTGAAATAAGTTGATCACTTAAAAGTCTAACAAGCATTGATTATTTTAAAACAATAAAAACATGTCAAGGATCTAAAAAGATCTCAAGATCTCAAGATTTCTAGATCCCAAACTCGGTGACCGAGCTGCAATTATCGGGAGACTGGCGAGACTGGTCGCCGGAGAAATTGGGGCGTTTGGAGAGGATGAAGCTTTTGAATCTCTCATCCACGCATCTCAAAGCAATTGAATCGGTTAGTTTTAAAGAAGTAAAGCATAGGAACAAGAAGACAAAACCTAGAAATTTGATCAAGTAATCGATCAAGCACGAAATTTCAGTCTCAACTCGAGACATTCCCTCGCTTGTCAGCAATCGACTTGAGTTCGAATGATTTCTCGCAAATGCCTCATCTCCTCCCAGGGATCACGCAACTTTATATGTCAAATAATCCATTGAAAGTGAGTTTCTTAAACAAAATCGACAGCCATTGGGTTATTGAGTGCGTCACTGATTCCCGATTCTCTACAAAGTTAAGCCATAACCCAGCTAAGCCACTTTTTCTGAAACTTTTTTTGCTTATAACAAGTAAAGAGCCTTTTTCAAAAATTTCATCTAGATCTGATGCTTTGTTTTTGAGTCAAATGTATAGAAAAGTCAGATTTCTGTACTAAATTTGAACGCATCGAAATTTGCTATCCAAAAATGCTATCAGAATCCAAAAACAACTTATAGACAAGCAAAAAAATAAAATAAAAATCAAATAAGAACAAATACTCTTTAGAATTCTCTTTTAAATGTAAAGAAACGAAAATTAGGTTGATGTTGATGTTGTTTCCTTTCAGGAATTGACCCCAAAAGATCTTCTAATGTTTGATGGATTACGCAAAGTGGCGCTAGGAGGAGATCGGACTGGGTAAGTCCTGTAAAATCTTACAATTGGCCTTACAATCTTACAATCTTACAATTACAATCTTACAATCTTACAATTACAATCTTACAATTACAATCTTACAATAGACTTCAAATGCTAATGCTAATATGCTAATATGCTAATTAAAATCTTGTTTTATAAGTTAATTTAGAAATCTAATCAAAAAGTTATTCTAATTTCAGTTGGGAATGCGACTGTGACGCCCCGTCTCCGCTTCAGCGATGGCTTCGAGATCAAGGGAATCGAGAAAAGGTGATGGCTTGGATAAGTTTAGAGATAACCTTAGAGATAACCTTAGAGATAACCTTATAGATAACCTTATAGATAACCTTAGAGATAACCTTAGAGATAACCTTAGAGATAACCTTAGAGATAACCTTAGAGATAACCTTATAGATAACCTTATAGATAACCTTAGAGATAACCTTAGAGATAACCTTATAGATAACCTTATAGATAACCTTATAGATAACCTTATAGATAACCTTATACATAGATATAGACAGTAAAGCTAAAGTTTAACTCGATTTGATGTCTAGGTGAAAGATTTGGCGTCAATCTATTGTGCTTTGCCTCTTCATGGCCGAGTTCCAATCGAGAAGACTTTACCCGATACGAATGAGACACTTTGTGCAAAAGAAGAGCCTGTAGGATTTTAAAGAATCAATAGTTTACGTAAAGCTTTTCATGTTTTAAGGTTTTGCAATTTTAGGAAACGTCAAGTTGGGTGAAAATGATGAAGAATCTTGAGGATCGGACATCGACAATTGTGATTGGAGTGTTTGAGGTATTTACATTTATTTTACAAGCGATTTTAACCACAAAGTCAACATATGGCCAAAAGTGTTTCTCGATAAATGAAACTATTGGCTTTAGGGTAACTTAAGAGTTCGTATAGGATGATCGCAAATTATCGTGACAACTTTTTGAAAAGTATCTGGCAAATGCCTAACTGATTTCAAATGTGGCAAGTGTGATATAAAGAATTGTAGCCCTAATTCTCTGTAACATTTATCTACCAAAAACTTCCTGATTTGACTCATACAATTCATCTAATAAGCGCTTGAATGAGCGCTAGTCGAAATATCTCCGGCGAATCTGTCATTCAGCATTTGGCCACTTTTCTCTATTAGAAATTGTTAAGAAAAGCTTTTCAATATTTCTTCAGTACAAAAATAGCGTTTAATATCACTTATTGGAGGGTTTGAGGTATGTTTTTGAAAAAAAAAAACTAGACTATTGTAAGCATCGTAATCTATCGTAATCTATCTAGATGCTTTTTAGAATTTAGCATTATTTCAGTTCTCAACCACCGCGCAACCAGCTATCACAAATGTCGACTCGAGCAGTCGCACTCCGTTTCTCTGGCTTGATGGGTGGGTTTTATATTCTAAAACACTAACAAATTAATATATATTTGTAGAATTAGTATAGTAAATGAATATAGAATTAAGAATATAGAATTAAGTTTCAATTTTAATCGTCAAAAGTTCGAATGGACGAATGGAATTGGACTGATTCTCAATAGAACCAAATTTTCGGCAGATAGGTCAGCTGATTTCGCTACTTTTAACATCACGAGTCTTTTTCGAGTCAATTTTTGCTTTAAATTCGCCTATATTATTGCCAAAAATTGTACATCTAAGATAATTTGATTTAAGTGTAAATCGATCCCAATTCGTATCCACTCTTCAAACCTAAATCCATCTGTAATCGAATTCCAGAAAAGGAGTGCCAACTCATCGCTACTCCCCACAACGCACCACTTGGAAACCACCAAAAAGAAAAGCACGGTAAAATGCTAAAAGTATAAAGATTTAGAAGTAGATTTAGAACCTATCTTTATTGTTAAAACAAAACTTTATAACATCGAAGATCTATTGAAGTCTATCAGATTGACCCTCTAGGTCCCTGAAAGTCTCTAGGTCCCTGAAAGCCTATCAGATCGGCCTATCAGCTCAAATTTCATACACTGACCGAAAAGAAATGCTCCCTTTTCTTACATAATTTTCAGCTTTCTTCTTTTATTATATGGGATTAATGTAAGTATTTCATGATAAGAAAAGAATAGAATATAGAATATAAGAATATATTTTAGAGAAGATCCCGATGACTCTCATCGCTTTCTCAATGCCCTCATTTTTGTGCTCTTCTTAGCGGTGATCTTGCTGATCATTGCTGTGGGAATCACTTTGTATTTCAGGTTCGTCAATCTGATAATAATTTTGTTTTAAGTTTTTAGCTATTATATCTTTCCTTTCAGATTCACTCGAACTGATGTCTATATTGGGAGTCAACACAAAGTGTCCAGTGAACAGCGGCCACTCAATGCATAAAGAAAAAGAAAACCTTGAAAAGTCTTTCGAAAAAATGATTGATAACGTGAAATTTAATCATATGAATAAGAATTTCAAATAAATATTATCATTTTTGTGAAGACTCATGAGGATTAAAGACTCATGAGGATTTCTAGAGCACAGAAAGTCAAATTGATCGCAAGGGATCGCAGTTTGGTTCTGAAACTGAAGTCATTTGATTGAAATTGATAGATTTTAATTAGATTTTGATTAGATTTTGTTTAGATTTTGTTTAGATTTTGATTAGATTTTGATTAGATTTTGATTAGATTTTGATTAGATTTTGATTAGATTTTGTTTAGATTTTGATTAGAGTTTGATTAGATTTTGATTAGATTTTGATTAGATTTTGCTTAGATTTTGTTTAGATTTTGATTAGATTTTGTTTAGATTTTGTTTAGATTTTGTTTAGATTTTGTTTAGATTTTGATTAGATTTTGATTAGATTTTGAGTAGATTTTAATCAGCTTTAAAAATTAACTTTATCTTTGATCAGTTTAAACTCATCTAACGGATTAGACTTGTCAAATCTCCCAACTTCTAACTCTCACTGTTAGCTTCTTAGCATAAGTTCTTAGCAAAATTTTCTTGTTAGAAAGATTTAAAAAAGGTTTCAAGATATTTCAGATATTTCAGATATTCCAAATTATTGTTCTGTCTTCATAAAACAATCAAAAAAGCTACGTAAGGGATTATCCCACCATATCAAAACTGGCAATGAACTGGGAAATGAACTGGCAACAGATGGGTGTATCCAAAAGGATCAACTCGTGTCTCTTCCTCCGTCTCTTTTCCTTTTATGCAAATCTCTTGCACCCTTGAATTGGAAATTAGTTAACGCTTGGATAAATATTTGCGGTAAATTGTAGCTGGTAGCTTTTAGCTTATAGCTTATAGCTTTTATGTAGCTGGTAGCTTTCAAAAATCATCTTTGTTATTTTCGTTCAGCTGTATAGAATTAGTGTTACTGAATAATGGATGAGATGAAAGAGTTGAAAGCAAAGTTTTCTGATTTTATGCTTTTCCTTTAGAAAACTTTCCTTTTTACGAATTTTATTAAATTTTCCTTGCTAATCTAAAAAAGAACTAATTGTAAGTGTTAAAAGAATGTTAACATTAACTGAAAATCTTCAGCCAATGAAGCTTTCTTGAAAAGTTCAGAAAAAAATTAAATTATTCTTTGCTAAATGAAAACTTTTTTGAATAAAATGGGGAGTGGGACAAATGCGACCTTTTTTTTGCGCACCCGGACATTTGCGCACCTTTTTTCCCGCACCTTGCCCATTTTTCCCGCACCTTGCCCATCGTGTTTTAAAAAAAGCTCTAAAAAGCTAATATTAACCAATTTCTATTCAAAAAGTGGTTTTTCTAGGTAATTTTAGGGCGTAGAATCGAAATTTTGACATATCAGAGCTTGTGGAAACAAACGGACGGAGTTATACAAAGAGTTCAAAAATACAAAAATCGACAATTTTCTGTAATTTGATCTAGCCGTTTTGTCTTTCAAATTGGTTCAAATTGGTTTCTCTGTTATGTCAAAAATTTCGACTCTACGCCCTCAAATTACCTAGAAAAACAACATTTGGAATCGAAATTGGTTAATATTAGCTTTTTAGAGCTTTTTTAAAACGCGAAAAAAGGTGCGCTAATGGGCAAGGTGCGCAAAAAAAAGGTCGCATTTGTCCCACTCCCCTTTCTTGAAAAGTCCAGACAAAAATGAGATTATTCTTTGCTAAATGAAAACTTTTTTGAATAAAATGAGAAAAATGCCTTTATTTCTTGTTTTAAAAGCCCTAATGGATAAAAGTATTCAGCTAACAAAGCTAAATATTATATTCTGTCTTGAGTACTTTTATTTCATCCTACTGTAGCGTCCATCCATCCATCCACAACTATTACAGCTTCCCTAAATCAATTCATTTCTTTAACTGTTGTAAATCAATTGAGTATTTGTTTATTTTGAATAGAATAGATACTTATCCAAAGTCCCATCGAGCTGAGAAGGATGGGATGTTGTCATCTCACATTGTTTCCCTTGTCATTCATCACTCTTCTCCATTCTATTGACCTCTTCCCCTTCTTTCAGTCAAAAGTCTTCATTCAATCCTTCTCCCAGCTTCTAGGTTTACGGTAACTAAGAATTTTTACTTATTTGTCGTATATTTTGAGAAATATTTCTATTTGTATCACTCAATTGAAATGAATTCTATTGATTTCTATTGATCTACAGAATGGAGGATTCGTCGACTATTCGCATGTCAATAAATCATCGAGAACGATGTCGAATGCATGATTTAAACGAGGCTCTTGATGATCTCAGGTACTTTTAATCCCAGCTGCTTACGGGAATCAATTACCCAGTCGGGAGCGCGCACAATTCTTAGTTACAGCTCACACCATCCGGGTTCGACGCCCCTTCCTGCCATTCTTTAACTTTTGAATTTTTTTATTTGAAATGCCACAACTAAATGATACTTTAAGGCTTTTTATATAGTAGATTAGTTATAAACCTTTTAGTTACAAACCTTTTAGTTACAAACCTTTTAGTTACAAACCTTTTAGTTATAAACCTTTTAGTTATAAACCTTTTAGTTATAAACCTTTTAGTTATAAACCTTTTAGTTATAAACCTTTTAGTTATAAACCTTAACAAAGTTTCAGAGCTGTGATCCCCTATGCGCACGGAACTTCGGTGAGAAAATTGAGCAAGATTGCCACTCTTCTCTTGGCAAAGAATCACATTCTCATGCAGGTGCATTTTAAAATAAAAGTGATAAGGTTTACCTAAAAATTGACCTAAGTATTGATTAGTATACAAAAATCAATATAGAGGCATCAATATAGGAATATAGAGGTTTTTAAAAACTCTCGTCTCCGATTCAGGCAAACGCTATCGATGAACTACAAGTGATTGTTGGAAAGCTTCGAAAAGAGCTCGATTCACACAGGGAAAAGAATAATCAAAACAAAAGTGAACAAAGTGATTCGTGAAAGTTTGAATTTATGTCCATAAAAAATAAACTTTCAACCAGTTCAAGAAAAAACAGATTTTTATGAGTTCAAGTTTCAGTTTGAAAAGGAACTCTGATTGAGATCTTTCTTGAGATCTTTCTTCAACAAGATCAACTCTTTTAAATGTACTCTTATTGAGTCAATTTGAACTCTGATTGAGATCTTTCTTCAGATCTTTCATGAGATCTTTCTTCAACAAGATCAACTCTTTTAAATGTACTCTTATTGAGTCAATTTGAACTCTGATTGAGATCTTTCTTCAGATCTTTCATGAGATCTTTCTTCAACAAGATCAACTCTTTTAAATGTACTCTTATTGAGTCAATTCGAACTCTGATTGAGATCTTTCTTCAGATCTTTCTTCAGATCTTTCTTCAGACCTTTCTTCAACAAGATCAATCCTTTTAAATGTAATTCTCTTTCATCAATGATCTTCAAATGCACACATTCAATTCAAGAATTTCGACTCATAAAAGCCCCAAACCCCAATGTTTACGCAAAAAAGCAAAAACATTTTCGTCTTTCCGATTTTTACACGTAAATGGGTAATTTCCGAGTGAAAAGATAGGGATTTTTACGAGTTTTCTCTCCTTTTTTTACCATTACTTGGATCTATTTTTTCGTGACTGATAAAGGTCGAGAGATCGAGGCAATTTGTTATGGCTCCGATTGGGATGGGTGAAAGGGTTGATGGGTTCAAAAAGTGACCTTGCCTTCTTCCGAAACGTTTTTTGCTGTGGAAAGCTCAATGAACGATCGGGGAAAAGAAATACGAAAAACACGAGTTTTAAAGGGAAGATTTCAGTGTAGCTTTTTCAGGAAAGAACTTTGATCAGAGATATTAGGCTGTCTAGAATTGTCAGGCTTTATTGTCAGGCTTTATTGTCAGGCTTTATTGTCAGGCTTTATTGTCAGACTTCGATGTACAAACAGATTGAACAGATTGAGCGTAAGGTCAATTTTGTAGTCTCTGACTCCCTCATACTCTAGACATTAAGTTATCCTCTATTGTAGTTAATTGTGATGAGTTTTGGTGAGGTTACTAAAGTGTACAAGTGTCTAATTGAACTTTGTCTAGTTGTCTAGTCTAGTGCATACAAGTTAGTTCACTAGTTAGACAGAATTGTCTGTCTAACTAGTGAACTAACTTGTGTGCTGATTGATTCTAGGTCTTCAGTTTTTCAATTTAAAACAAAACGCACAAGCTACCTATTCATATTATTAGAATTTCAATTATTGGCATTGTCTCAAAAAGAGATGAGTTAATCAACTCATCTCTTTTTGAGATGAAAACCATTCTTATCCCAAAGCAAATCTCCATTTTCTTATCTCAGAACTAATTAGGGGAAAGTCACGTTTGTTTAAAAACAAACTGAATTCTTTGACTCAAAGATAAAGCTGTTATTTGACTTTCTGTCACATGTTTCCCTATCCATCTATTGTACTCAAGTCACAAATTTAACCAAAACCTTTTTGGTACAGCCAACGGCCTTCAAGTTTAAAAGAAAATCCAAAAAAATATTTACCAAATCGAAATTTATCCTAAAAGTTCATATTCTATAAATATTTGGGATCAATTTTTTCAATCCCCAATTGGGTGGTTAGATCAAAATGTGTCGGCTCTATCAGTAAAAGTTCTCCATTTTTCCCAAATATCTTTTCTTTTCTCGCACTTTGCCTGCTCATAAAATTGACTGTAAAGAAAAGATTTTTTTCAATCAATAGCAGAAATGGATAAAAAAACATTTGAGAGGCGAGCCTTTAAAGTGGGCCATGTGTTGGTCACTAAGGCTTTTTGTGATTTCAAGGAGTAGAGAGGAAGTGTAAAGTTCGAAAAAGTTCGTGTCAAAGTGGAAAACAACAGGAGGAAACTTTTTGAACTCTTTGACTCTGAAGGTTATAAGCTGAAAGTTATAAGCTGAAGGTTATAAGCCGAAGGTTATAAGCTGAAGGTTATAAGCTGAAGGTTATAAGCTGAAGGTTATAAGCTGAACGTTATAAGCTGAAGGTTATAAGCTGAAGGCTTAGGCTTAGGCTTAGGCTTAGGCTTAGGATCTTATTGTATCCCCTAAATCAATCAATTTGCACAATTTTTTACACAATCATAAGTTTTATCGTACAAATTTTTAATCATTTACTTGTTCTTTTTTGAAAGATTTTTAAAATAGTCATTTTGGCATTTTCTTTTGGGAATTTGCTAAGAGAAGTTGTGCCATTTTTTAAGCAAAACGGTAAACAGAGAAACCTCGGAATCCCATCATCAAGGACATCGTGAGGTCAGAAAACAAAAAATAATTGATAGTAAAGGGTTTAGTCAACTGACTTTTAGTTCGTTATATGCTCATTACACTGTATGCAATTTGTGTGCAATTTTTGAAACTAGAGTACTCTAAATACTCAAAGGTTTTTCAAGCTTTTCATGAGTTTTCCGAAATTTATTCTGGAGATTGACCGATCGACAATCACCCGAGACTAATCTCTAAATTCAATGGAAACGCTGAGCGAAAAATAAACAACGCGAATTGGGGAGAGGAGAATTTTCTGGGAGAAAACGAGCCATCCATTTCCCTGATAAGCGCCCGCTCACACAAGCACAACCACGAAAAAATGCAATTTCTATGCCCGTTGGTAGATATGAGAAATGGGGGATAGAGGGAATGGATATGGGGAGGGGACAGCTATGGCACTAGATAATGAACGAAAACAAGGCACTGGCACTGGGAACTGTTCTCATTTTTGATCTGTTATCGAATGTTAAGAAGCAAGCTCGAAAATAGTTAATTGGATAAAATTCCCTATCAAGCCACCTTAAATGGCTTTGACTCTTTGTGTTCGACATAGAAATTTCTTTATAGAATTTTAATAGCCTTTTACGCATTTCCTAGGCAATTTCGAAAAGAGCATTCGGATGCTCATTTCGAAATTCGAAATTTGAAATTCGAAAACGGGATGCATCCCGTTTTCGGTTTCTAAATTTCCGTTCATCCGTACCTTTTTTGTTTATCCTACATATTACTCACAATTTGCAATGTTTGCGAAAACTCGCTTATTTTTATAGTTAGAAAGGGCAACTTTTCACTTTTCTTTTGATGAGAATAGGGATAACAATGCCTTGATCACAATAATGACTCTTGTCTGTAATTTTCCGACCGGCGATTTCACCCATTTTCTACCGAATACAGGTAAATCTTTGTTTAACTGGTTTAGTCAGAGTAATTTCTGATTTGAAATTGTTAATTCTAAACTTGGAATCACATTTCCTTTCCCCTGTCAAATATCAATAGCTGAATCAGAGGGAGCAACGGGGGCATTTTCGCACATTTCTTCCCTCTCTTCCTCATTCTTTTCGTGACTGCCCAACGAAAAGCGGTGCCCCAATGTGCGATGTGATGAATCGTAAACAGCATTCGATTCTCTTACACATACAGAAAATGCACCCAAATGAGAAATTTTGGTTTTATTGTGCATTTGACTTAAAAAAAAACCAAAATTTGACTCTTGCATCCAATTACCCTAGACAGACCCTAGACAAAACCCATTTGAAAGAACCACTTTGACCCGAGTCTGTAAAATTGAATAAATTTTGTGCGTTGCGGAAGCTCTTGACTAGAAGACCCTGCTTTAAAACACAAAACACACCACTAATGCCATAGCTTTGATTGCGTATTTTGTGCAACGCATCCATTTTAGGCCATGTGGTTAAAGATTGTTTCAAGTACATCCTGAGAATTTTATCATTGAGCTTTTCCATTGGTTTTTTCAAGGACATTCTCTTTTTTTCTCCCGTCCAATCTCGGATCAAAAAGTGTCTTTCTTCCTTTCCCAACTAACCAAAAATCGTTTCTGATAAGCTCCGCCCCTTCCACTCAGGCCATCTTTTTTGATCGTTCATCTATAAAATGTGGAGAACTCAAAAAATTCCTTAAAACTTTCGACCTTGTCTTGTTTTTAATATTTCCGGATAGTTTAAAAGCCCCGAAATTAGTTCAACTGATAAATTTGGTAATTTAAAGATTTTGTATGGAAAAACAAAGCTAGGCAAACTTGTCTTATACCAAAAAGTGAAAGTATTCTTGACCAGTGAAAGATATTTAATCAATAGGTGAAAATCCCATTTTTCTTGATTGATCACTTCGCAGTTTTGGCAGAATTTTTATTCTCTCGAAAAACGTTCCCCTGTTTTTTCATTTCTCTTCATTCCTGAAATTTGCCCCCCTAAGCCAAAGCCCGCTTTCTGATAAGTAATTTTCATTCATTAACTATTCCTCTGTTTTCCAAAACTGTGCTTCTGGATAGTTGATTTCACGATTGTTTCATTTTAGTAATGTCGACAAATATTCGTCAACAATTCGCTTGTGATAAGGCTGTCGCCGATCGATTCAACTCGTTGGATCAACGCAACATTGTACAAGTAAGAAAGCTTGCTTTCTTCTATCTCTATTTTTTTTTCTATAGTGCCAATACATCTGGATTGATGGAACTGGGGAGAATCTTCGTTGCAAGACGCGATCGATTGACTTTGTGCCTCAACACCCTGATGGTTGGTTGCTTTTTTAGTTTCTTCGAAAAAGGTGTTTATTTAGAATTGCCAGTCTGGAATTTTGACGGCTCATCAACTGGACAAGCTCACGGAGCCGATTCGGATGTGTACATCAAGCCTGTCGCCATTTACCCTGATCCCTTCCGCCGTGGAAACAACAAGCTCGTGATGTGTGAGACTTTGGACAACAAGAAGCAACCAACTGGTAAATTGTTTTCTAAAGTTTGGAAAAAATCCGTACAAATGGACTTTGCATTGTTAGTCAATACATGACTTGATTAACAAGAAAAGTTTTAGAGCTTAAGTTTTAGCTCAGGCTCAATTTTTGAGTCATTCATGGGTTTCATGGGTTTAACTTGATATTTTATGTCCAAGGTGCTGTAATTAAAAGTAGTTAGCGGTATGCAGCGTTGCAAGTGATTCCACGCTCCCTTTGCATCAAAATTTTGCCGCATTAGCACAACTTTTGGGATAACTTTTGAGAAACAATTTTGGAAACGTTCTATTTAGCTACCAATCATCGGCGCAGGTGCAACGAAATGATGGAGAAGTGCAAGGATCAGCACCCATGGTTTGGAATGGAACAGGAATACACGCTGTGTGACATCGATGGACACCCATTCGGCTGGCCCAAGAATGGTTTCCCCGGACCACAAGGACCCTACTACTGCGGAGTTGGCGCCAACAAAGTCTACGGACGGGATATCGTCGAAGCCCACTACCGAGCGTGCATTTATGCTGGAATCCAGATCTCGGGAGAAAACGCTGAAGTGATGCCTGGACAATGGGAGTTTCAAGTGAGTTAATTCCATAGTTTAGCTTTATAATGTTTGATAAAACTTTTTATGCTCTTTTGTTACAGGTTGGCCCCTCCGAGGGAATTCAAATGGGTGATCAGCTCTGGATTGCTCGCTTCCTCTTGCATCGTGTCGCTGAAGAATTCGGGGTTCTTGCCAACCTCGACCCAAAGCCTATTAAGGGAGACTGGAACGGTGGGTAGAGTGGTTCAAACGTTTAACCAATAAATTTAGGTGCTGGTTGCCACACCAACTTCTCCACTCAAGCCATGCGAGAAGAAGGAGGAATCAACGAGATCATGGAAGCCATCAATCGCCTGTCGCTTGTTCACAATCAGCACATCGCTTATTACGATCCACAGGTTTTGTTTTAATTTATTTTCATTTACTAATTGAGGTTTAGGAAGGCCGAGACAATGAGCGTCGCTTGACTGGACATCACGAAACGGCCTCCATCACCCAATTTTCGCACGGTGTCGCATCACGTGCCTGCTCCATCCGCATTCCTCGTCAAACCGATGATGAGGGCAAGGGCTACTTTGAAGATCGTCGACCATCATCAAACTGTGATCCATACAAGGTAAGCATAATGTTTTTGACTACATCCAAAGTTTCTTTTTTTAGGTGACTGCTGCTTTGGTTCGTACATGCTGTCTAGAGGGAGCCGAACGCAAGCTTTCGATGATGTATGTCCCGTCGCAAGGGAAAAATTAAACGATGCTCAAATTGCTTCTTGTCGGTCTCTAAACTTAATGTCTTCTGTGAACTTTTAATCTGTAAATTCGCGCATGTTTAAGTTGTGATTTTGTGCCTTTGTGCATTTCATTTTGTTTAGCTTGGAGATAGTGCTTAACTTTTTGTGTGCCATAGAGATAAAATTTATAAAAGATCAGCACAAAAGTTACCCGTAAATTGTAAATCATACATAAATTATGTAGTTGCCTGGAAAGAAAGGTATCTGCTTACTTTGTTTTGTACCAGCTATTAACAATTTGACCGCTTTCGTCAAACCATGCAATGTAACCACATGTAGCCTTCCCTCGAAGTCCAAAAAGATTAAGTCTATCGCACCGTTCTCCAACGATATCGCTTGCATTTTGAGCTTTGAATTGTTCGTGATTGATAGCACAATCAAGCGCTCCACATTGCCCAATAGCGTTATCGTATCTGAAAGTTGCTTCTATCTCAAAAATTACATAACTGCATCATAATTGGGTCTTTAATCTAGCAAAAGATGAAAAAATATCGTCCTTGCCTGCAATAGATGTTATGAGCTGTATTCGCACCCATCCACCTTCCACTCCAAGTACATTCCATAGGGTCGGACCTAGAGCTTATTACTATGTAAAAGTCATCTGAACCTTTTTGGAAATCTGATACCCACTTGCAACAAAATCGCTTCCGGAAATAATCGCCGAGAACTGTTGAGCATGGCTTACCGAAACTTTCATCTAAACAAGACTCGATGAGGTTCCGCCAGCTGCTTTCCGAAAATCACCTGGAACACAGAACCCAGAAAGCCACCAGTTTGAACATCTGAAATTTAGAGAGCTTGATTTTTCGATTTTTGTGTTTTATACCTTCCAGTGTGTGCTCGAATGTAATCGTAATCGGATGGGCACGGGTAGTTGCACATAGGAGCCGTTCCAAACCATCTAAACAAAGCTACTTTGGAAAGGAATTTGTAAGTATGTAAAAATTTTTGTCTAGTAAGGTTTCCGAGCACACCTTTTTTTTTCACTTACTCAACCCACAAACAACTCAACAAATTTGTGAGAAAGGGAGCCTTTATTTTGGTGACTCTCTAGTCACACGCTCGTCTCTCCTTTCGAGAATAATTAGTTTTTTTTTAGTCTCCAGACTCTAATAAAGTGTGTTGTTGTTTTTGTGAATTGCGAAAAGTTGAAGTATACTTTTCACTTACGCGCATCCTCCACTTGATACGCTATATTGGGCATTCACGAGATCCTGTACGGTTTTTGTGGTCATTCCTAAAAATCTATATTATTTGCTCTTATTTTCATGGCACTGTTTTCATTTTTTTTATCAAAAAACTAACCAATCATTCCGGTAACGATAGCGGTCGCGATTGGGACACTCAACGAGCCTCCATCTCTCTTCTCTCGTTTCCGTTGTCTGAAACGTTTCAGAAATTCGAGCAAAATGTCATCAAATGAAGGAATTTTCACGGAAAAAGACTCAAGAAATTTACATTTCTTTGTGATCATCGATGCTCCAATGATGAGATCCTTTAGCGAATTTCTCCTTTGCATAAAGGGCCATTCGATCTCGCATCTGGGCCTCATCTTCCCACGATGTCGGTCCCTCGGGAATGCCGAGCACTGTGAATTGGGGAATAGATTGCTCTCTTTAGTTTATGAAGTGTTTTCAGGATTTCTGGGTATTCCTGTGCTAATCTTGTGTTCTAAAAGGATTGAATGCACAATGAGAATGCATTTTTTAAAGCTTGAGCAGCACATCTCTTTTTGCTATTTATTGAGTGTTTTCTACATTAAAATCGTAATTTTCTAACATTTTTACAATTTCCAATACAGCTTTTAATCCCAAACTACTTACAATTCGCATGTTAAATCCTGATTTATAAGCGCTACTACAGTTTTTGAAGTCCCAACCACTAAATGAAAGCTATTTTTGTCAGCATGTCAACAATATTACCCCTATTTTTGTCAAATCTCAAACATCACCTAATGTGTTTCGTAAGAATTGTAAAGTTTTCAACAATTTCAACAATTTCTGGGGATTTTTGTGCATTTTGAGAGGATCCCCTCAAAATAGTCATAATCCGGGCGGTGGAGAGGCAAATTCCTCGTGATTTCTGGAGTTGGAAAGGTCATTTCGTGAAAATCCGGCCCATTTACATTTGTTTTTTTCTACTTCAATTTTTAGCTCTCATTTTAATCGTTTTGGGGCTTTCCATTTCGAAAACTCACCTGTTACATTGCCGATAACTCGATGAAAAGCCGATGAGATTGTGGCGATTTGCGTGGGATGAGTGGTGATGGGTTGATGGAGTAGTGATAGGAATAGTAGAATCATTTTTGAGCTGAATGGATTTATATTTAAAAGTAGTAGTATTGAAATATTGAATGAAATTGAAATGAAATATGTATTGAAAGTTGAAAGTGAATGGAATTGGATAGTTTTGAAAAAGTAAAACAAAAAAAACAAAAAAAAACCATTTGCTTAGCTCAGATTTTGGCGCTAGGGAATCGGATTTGAGAATGAATATTGTAGCTTAAGAAGATCCATTTAATAAGCAAAAGTTATTCGTTTAATTCATAATCGCGTTTAATTCCTAATCCAAAAGTTATTCGCAAAGTTATTCGCAAAGTTATTCGCAAAGTTATTTGCAAAAGTTATTCGTTTAATTCCTAATCCTAAACCTAATCCGTTTAATTCCTAATTCAAAAGTTATTCGCAAAGTTATTCGCAAAAGTTATTCGTTTAATTCCTAATCCTAACCCTAATCCGTTTAATTCCTAATCTAAAAGTTATTCGTTTAATTCCTAATCGCAAAAGTAGCCAACTTATATGAAAAGAAAGTCAAAACTCTCAAAAAAATAGATTTAAATTAATCAAAAAGATAGATAGATGCGTACACTTGTACAACAATGAAAATCTAGGAGGGTTGACGTTTTTCTGGAGGACTGGTCGTGGAAAAATGGATTATAACGGAAAAGTGAGTCAAGTATTGCAAAAGAGCAATTGAAAAGAGAGCACCGAATGGTTCAGAGAATACCCAAGCGAGAATTTGAAAGAGAATGCCTCTCTCGCAATTTCCTAACCATTGTCTGACTCATCCACCATCCATCCCGTCAACCCAAAATTTTCTGTCGAGATGGGCTCAAAGCTTCTCCCATTCTTTCCCATTCTTTCCCATTCTCTCAAATGTCTCTTTTTCCTGAAATATCCACCTTTTCTCTTCTCTTTAATCATTGTGAATGTTCAGCATTTGTTCAATCACACTCTTTTTTTTCTTTTCCAGATTTCCGAAAAGAGGAATGGATCGTTTTTCAAAGATCCACAAAACTCCACAAGGCTCTTAGGGATTTTTGAGGTGAGATAATGATTTATCTTCTTGTTTTCCATTAAGCTAGATTGTTGGAAAATGAAATGAATCAACACAGATGAATCAAAGTTGTTAAGTCGGTTTAGGGTCAGCTCTTTTAGTTTCGCAGATTCTTCACTAAAATATACCGGAGTTAAAAGTATTCTGGCAATTGAAATAAAAAGTCTGGCTATCGACGTCTTATCGACTGGCTTCCAGAGTTGGAACTAGGGCAGCTTAAAAAGTTGTGCGCCGCCGGGACTCGAAGCCGCGACGCTTCCCTTACCGGGCAACTGTGCTAACCAATACACCACAAATCACTTGATCCCCTTGCCTCTAGAGGGACTTAAGTTTCAGTACTTTCAAAAAACCTGAGTTTTTACAACATCTTTAAGAAGTCAGAATGAGAAACTAAACTATAAGTATAAAGTATAAAGCTAAGTATAAGTATAAGTATGTAAGTATAAAGTATAAAGCTAATAATAGAAAATTCTAAAAATCTAAGAAACTAGAGAAATTGCCTTGAGATTCCTAGCTAGTAGAAAGTAGAAAAAGTAGAGAAAGTAGAAAAACTCCACCCGATTTCAGATCTTTGAGGTTTTTGGTGAAAATGACTCCTCCAACAAGGTCATCCAGTGAATTAGCCTCACATTTCCTCGTCCACTTTCCTCACTTTGAGAATTTTCCTTCTAAGTTCAAATTTTGTTCTCTGGTTTTGAAATAGTGAACTGATTTACAGCTAAAATGAAACTCTAGCCAAAACCCATTTTGATTCATTGATGTGATTGACAAAACCCATTTTGATCATTGACAAAACCCATTTTGATTCATTGATTCATTCATGTGCACTCTGTTTCACTTCTTTTTCCAGATTATAGCGGAAGTGAGGTGAGAAAAGATGCACTGAATGGATGCAATTGATGCACTCAATGGGAACAGAAATCGCTGGCACACTGGCACCGTGTTGACCAATTGTGTGTTTGTTCAGAATTGTGTCTTTTCACTAACAAACTAATAACTGTTATCGGATTTTTGTTGTTTTTCTGCGGCTTTCTTTTTTCTCTTAGTTTTCGATTTCAGAGAAAAGTTTTTGAACAAAAGTCAGAGCAATTTGCTGCCTCATTGCTGCCTCATTGCTGCCTAATTGCTGCCTAAACTCTTGCATCAACAGATCTCATTAAAGATCTTACAAATTGAAAAATGAATCAGAAATGTGTCAAAAGAACTTCGCCGATTCTCAGTAATCTAAAAGTTATTGATAAGCCGATCTACTTCAGTCATTCCTTCATCAAAAGATATTTTTCAAAATGATGACTTCCCCACAATCTCTGTCTTGATCATTTCTTTCATCGGAACTCTTTACAACCTTCTAAACTTTATATTCCCTTCTTTATATTCCATTCTTTTCAATCAAAATTTGTTCAATAATAATCTTTCTCGAGGTTAATCCCTTTCACTAATTATTTCAAGTAAATTCAAAGGTTTCCCCGCCTCCTCTCTTTTCTTTTCAACTTTTGGAGTCTTTCTGCTTCCTCTATTCCTTTATGAATCCCTTGTAGTTTCCATTTCGAGTTTTGAAACTTGGATAGATATTTAATACTCGTCTACAACTTTAACTGAATCTTATTCTACTGCTCATTTTGCCCATAGATGCTTACCATACAGTACTTATCTTTTAGAGTTCTACAAAACGATGGAGGTTGCCGTGATCACTGAACCGAGCAGTTTAGTCGATAATTTATTATTGATTGTAGCTATTTTCTATATTCTTTGTTTCCTCGTCGGTCTTCTTCTCAATTCACTCCTTGCCAAAGCTGCGTTCACATCAAAGTGAGTCAGAGTTTTGTTTATAAGCAAAAAAAAAGGAAACAAGCGAGTGAATAGCTACAGCTGTATTAGAGCTAACATTTAAAACAATAGCTTCTACAGTGTACTTACTTGTGCAAAAATATTGGGCTGTTTAGAAAGACTTTTTGTCCGATATTTCTAAGCAATTTTGAACAGCATAATATTTATAAGGGATCCAAACTGATGAGAGTTTATCTCAAAGAACTTTCAGAGAACTTTCAGAGAGCTTTCAGAGAGCTTTCAGAGAACTTTCAGAGAACTTTCAGAGAACTTTTAGAGAACTCCGCGGTGTCCCTCACACATTAATCGGGATCCGATCCGTTTGCGACATTTTACATCAAGTAAAGCTTTAAATGAAGAACAAATTTGGTTAGACATGGGCTTTTTAAAAAAGAGTGACTCGAGTCGAGCCACGAATCGCTTTAAATTAAGAACTTTCAGTCTGGCCATTTACCCCTTCTTTACTCATTCGTTAAAGAAGACTCAATCACACAAAAACAGTGCTATTATTTACAGGTTAGCTTTTCAGATAAACTCTAACTCTAAGAAGGAAATTCTAGTTTATTTCAAAAATTCTAGTTTATTCCGATTCTCGCGATTCTCGTTGGTGGAGCTGCCGTTTTTCTGTTGTGCATTGACCGGGTGACGGCGGTTTTGTGGCCGTTGAGGTAATAGATTGATAACTCTTTGATATTCTAGATATTCTAGATATTCTAGATATTCTAGATACAATAGATTGTTAGATACGTCTTTTACTATTGACTTTTCTAGGTACCGAACCGCGCAAAGCCGTTCGACTGTGCGCACCATGTTGAAGCTGGGCGTTGCTGGGGCAATAGCCGCCGCAGGACTTGTTTTAGCCTATGAAGATACACACTCTGACAAGTAAGCTTTAAAATCTTTGAGTATTTAAAATGTGAATCCTTTTTAGAAAAGTGGTCTGCAGTATCCCAGCCGGTTTGGGTCCTCGTCCTCGACTGATCTTTGTGCTCACTCTCTTCGTTGTCGCTTTTCTCATGGCGATTCTTTATCTAATCTCAGCTGGTGTCCTTAAAAAGCATACATGTCCAAGTGAGTGTCAATTTCTATTTTCCAGCATGGAAAGGACTGAAGATTAGGCATTGGAGTTGCTTATCAATTGCTTATCAGTTGCTTATCAGTTGCTTATCAGTTGTTTATCAAAGTCTTTAGGTAAACGTCGTCGTTGCATCTTTCGATCGGTTCTCTGGTGTGCATTGATCTCGTTGGTTGGTTGGGTCCTCACCGCTCTTCTCAATCTCATTCTCATGGTGCACGCCGAGTTCTGGATGAGAAAGAATCAACCAGAAGGTGATTAAAAGTTTAAAAAAATAAGAATCAACAATGATTTCAGCAATCACTCTTGATGGTGGCTTCCTTTTCCTTTCTCAGGCTACAATCGAGTTGTTGACCCAGCCGACTCCTCGGTGTCTTCTTCTGCAAATTGCTTCTGGAATCATTCTCAATCTCCTTTGCACAATGACATATTTTGCTTATTTTTGTTTGAGGTGCGTTTTTGACTTTAATATAGCCTAAGAAAAACGCAAAATCTCATCTATAAATCTCAGTCTTTAAATCAAAAGCTATAGTTCAAGCCCAAATCTAAAATCCCAATGAAAATCGAAAGTATTCAGCTGTGACTATCGGCGAGCTCTTCGAAGTCAATGGGCAACAATTGGATGGCATCCATTCCAATCACTTTCCGAGACTGACTCAACCGAAGTGAAGCCAGCATTGGTGTAGAAAAACACAAAAATTGCTCTCGATTTGAAGCATCGATACTCAATAATTTATACATATCAAAATAAATCTGTAAATAGCTATAAAGAAACTCGATTTGATCGAAGCATTTTCTCGAGAATTGGGGTTGGAGTAGTGGCATTGCATTTGTTGAATTGTGTGGGGATCGATTTAAAGGTGTTGAAGAGATCCGAGTCCCGAAGGCACAAAGAGCCACCACCACGAACCATTTGATGGGTCTGCAAAGTGGAAAGGATTTAAAAAGGTATAGGTAATCAGTTTTTGAACTGCTTTGGATATTTGAGCGTTGTGGATTTTCGAACTATTTTGGATAGAAAATTGTGCTACTGTGATTTTAGACAAATGACGGATATTAGGAATCCTCTACCTGTCTATTGATATCCCCAATGCACACCCATGGCGGTGTTGGTCCCTGATTGGGCTTTTCCGTCACAGCAATCGCGTATTTTGAGTGATCCGACCTGAAGAGGCAAATTTTGATTAGAAAGGCGATGTTTATCTTTATTTTATTATTTTATTTTTATCTTTATTATTGCTGTTCTTACACATTGACTTCTAGCTATTGGGTTGGTGAATTGAAAACTGCCGGACTTTGAACTAAAATTTATTCAACATAAAACCATCAATTGATTCCAAATAATTTCCATTATTATTGACGACTTCTGCCCATTCTACAGGCAATTTGCGGATTCCTCTTTCGTAGTAGGATTTTGGTTTGTGCATGAGACAAGTGTGAGACTCAAAAATCGAGGACTAGAGATGTCCTCCAGTTGTCCAGTTTGAGGACTTTCTTCAAAAGAAACCCATTTTGGTGTCAATAGAAAAGTTGTAGAGAATCAAAAATTAGGCTTATAGCTAAATTTCCAAAAAGATACACTTATTAGTTTCGCTTAAAATGCAAGTTTTGTGAAAATTCGTAAATTTGGCATTTCTTGAAAACCAGTTTTTGAATCGTTCTGAAAATTTGGATATAAGCTTCATTTTTGATTCTCTACAAGTTTTCCATTGACACCAATATAGGTTTCTTTTGAAAAAACCCATTTTGAAGTGCTCAAAGAAGTGCTCAAACTATCACATATGACAATAGCCGGCAGTTTTCAATTCACCAACCCAATATTTACCAATTCTCGAAGTTGAATCCAAACGGCAGATTTACCCACGTGATGTCAAGAATCTACAAGATGGACTTGATTTTCGGAAAGCTCAGCGATTTCACGTTATTTATATATGTTACGTCCGAATCCTCGGATTTGAACGTCCGAATCGAAGCAGATCAATTGATGTGCTCGAATCCGGATAACATATACATTTAGTGTGGATAATTTACTTTAAGTTTGATTTCCAAACTCACCTCATATCTCCCCATACACCAATCACCCATATTTCCCGGTTCGTGTTGCCACGTCTCAGCAAAGAGATCCGTATTCAAGTATGGTGCTATTAGTCCTCCATAGATATCTAAAAAAAACATCTAACTGTAGAAAATTGCGCTCAAACCATCCTTGAATCCTTTTGCTTTGGCAAAGTGAACAAATTGAGTCCCTCCGGCTGTGGTGATTGGTTTCACGCTTGAGAATGGGGCTGCTTTCTGATAGTTTCCCTGAAAGGTTTTAATGTTATTGTTGTTTATTGTTTATTGTTTATTGTTTATTGTTTATTTATTAGATTATTACTATTATTACTCTTATTATTGAGCATTGTCCAACCTTTTTCACATCAGCGAGTTTTGGATAAAGGCTCGCGAATTGAGGCGGCAGATCGAAACGGTAAATGAATGGTTGAGTAAAGAAAAGTTGATTGGCTAAAGTGAAATGAAAAACTCGAGACAAATGCATGAAATTTGACTTTGAATTTGGCAAAGCCTCTGGATTTATTTGTGTTCAATCTCATAAAAACAAACCGATATCATTAAGGCCTTTATTCGGCAGCGTCACACAAATCCCCATTTGCCCGTACGAGTGCGCGTTCGGTGGATAGACATAGCTCGTGTTTTCGGGGAATTTCGGAATCGAGTGAATCAACCAGAAGCCAGAGATCGCGTCAAAGGCGACAACGCCTAGAGAAGTCGCTGTCAATAACAAATCTTTGCAGAATTTCAAAATTTGCATTAAAGTGAAGCTTATTCATAAGGTCGCATCCGTTCCCTTCCTTTTTGCGTTCCTATTTTGCAATTATTTGCGTCGCATTTTTTCGTCTTTTTTCTCTCTTCCCGAAATTATTTTGATTGGACTCCTCCAATCAAAATTTTTTTTGTGTTTTTTTGGCAGAGCTTCTGGCTCTTTTTGGGGTTGGGGTTTTTGCCTTCGTTCTTGGGGGACTTTGATGTTTCTATTCATGCGAATGTTGTTTTTGTAATGGGTATCGTTGCATTTTTGGTTCTGTACTAATAAACAGTAAAATTATAAATTCAATTTACTTTATGCTACCCTTCAGGTTTTAAATCCTGTTTATATAACTGGTTTAACATTGTAGAAAGAACTTACTAACATTTGTGTCCCCGTCGACGAAGTATCAATACGTTCTGTACTCTTATCACGAGTATTAACCCCTTATGTTGGATGCTGCGTGTTCTTGTTATGTTGTAAGCGTCTTGTTATGTTGAAAGCGGGGAAACCCTTTTAACCTTTTTGTGCTACTCGGCTATTCTGAATCAAAGTCATCCCCGATGATAAGGTTAAAGCACCGCAAACTATAAGTCCAGCTGGATATTTCTAGAATAATGTAAACTAAATTTTCAAAGCCGTCTAAGAACTCATTTTGTGACGAGTGAGTGATTTGTCAGTGCTTTAACAAAGATTATAGATTACAGAACATTTTTGATGTCATTAAATTTCAAAAATTCGTAAGCTTCCCTTTTCTATATTGTGCTCAATCCTTTTCAGTTTCTTATCACCAATTTTCTCTTTTTTTTCTCCGATACACAAACCTTTTTGATGTCCCAAACTAGAAGAAGTGATGTTATCTGGGTGTTCGTCATTGTAGAAAATCGACATAATCTATAAAATTGATGTTTTAAAGGTGAATCGATAAAGTTTATGTGTATTTTTTCAAAGCTTATTCACCATCGAGTCATCTTGTCGATCGTAGTATTGTTGCAGAGTGTAGGCGATAGCGTGATTCCCATCTAACATGTTCATGGTTGGGTAAACCTAAAATATTCTTCAAGCTGAAGTTTCGGCATTAGTTCCAGCTTGCGCTTACTACAGTATACCTGAAGAAGTACTCAGAAATCAAGGCTGACATCCTGGACTTCTGTTAAAGAACTAAAAAGAGAAACAACCTGTCTGGCTGAATATCTTTGGTATATTATTATTATTATTGGGAATGTATGCTTATTCCCAAAGATTTGTGTTGACCGCGTTTTTTAAACCGCGCCCTTTCGCATTTTTGTCTCGGCGTTTAAAGGAGCGTTGTGTAGTCGTTAAATTATCACTTGTTTCGCACAACATTTTTCTTTGGTCTATTTCTTCTTCTATTTCAAGTTTTGCTGTTTTAAATAAATTTAACTGTTATTCTATTCTCTATCAATCGCACATCAATTGGATCTACCAAACAAACATATTAACGGATGCACAAGGGTACAACAATTATAACCATGAGCTTAGCCATGATCTTAGCCATGATCTTAGCCATGATCTTAGCCATGATCTTAGCCATAAGACAGCTCTAAATCTTGTAACTTGTCAAAATCCATACCCATTGCTTATTGTTTTTGTCGAGGTACAAAAAAGCGGTCCCATCCGCCACTGCGTCACTCGGCGAGCCCTTGACTTTAGGCAATTTGTAGAAAACAAACCTGAATCTATTCATTTCACTAGTCACTTAGTAGTTTCCCCTTTAAAATGTAACTAAAATGATTGCAAACACTCCACCAACCAATCAACATTTTGATTTTTCATGTCTTTGCATTGAAATTGACCGGCAACTCGTCCCGATTGAGAAACACATAACAAAAGAAGCACAAAAATACTCAAATATCGAAGAATCATGCTAAACTGGGCAATTAAATGATCGGCTTTAAATTAGAATCAATTCGATGAAATTTGAGTGAACAAAAGCTGCATGCCAACCAAAATGTTTAAACTGGACTAGAGCCAACGCTCTATATCTATATTGAGATCAAGGATGGTCAAAAATAACTGAGCGATTGTTTTTGAAAAGATAAAGAATAGATCATAAGGGTCTAGGGTTGTGTGGCACAATTTTCAAAAAGAGGGAATCTTTTGGTGCGCCCAATTTTTTGTCACCCGCAAAAATTAATGATAAGAAGCTCCTGGAAATCTGAGCGAAATTCTTTGTTAGGTTTGGTTTGCGTCTGAAATTTCTACGAATTGAACAAGTTGTGGATGGATTTTTGGGTACAATAAACATGTTGAAAAGTGCTATAGCTTCTGTTTAAATGGTAAAATTGAACCTACGAAACGAAACGATGCCAAATTGAACTTGGGGCTTAGTAAACGTTAGTTCTTTCTTTATGAGTCCGCAAAATTACATGTTTTCTCGTAACCGTTTAGAAAAATTAGCACATAGAGTGAATACAAAAGTATCGACTTGGATTCAAAAGTGTGCAGTGTCACTCCTCTTTGATTCACTCACCCAATCACTCCTTTCTTTTCTCCTTTTGTCACCTCAACTGTTCCTTGGGAAACGTTTCATTTTTTCTCAATCTTGTGAAATTTCCACAAAACTAACTGATCTTACTTCACAAGTAAAAAAAAGTATTTACGAGTAGGCTATCGAATATTTAAAAGGAAAGCGGAAAAGTACAGCCTACTTCAATAGGTTCAATAGTAAACAAGAAGTGACAGGTTGACTTTCCTCTACCCAAAACTACCGTCAAAAAGCGACTCAAAGATTTTGAAGTGGATATCTTAAAAGCCCAATCTAGTCCATCTTCTTGCTAACTCTTGTCATCGTGTCTTTCTTCATTCCTGTACTTTTTACATTTTATGAAATGACTCCTAAAAGCCTTGTCATTCAAAATCTTGATTCTAGCGATATGGCATGGTCATGGAGAACACAGAGAATAAATAGAATACATCAAATCACAATGAAAAAGTGGGTGTTATAAAAAAAACCATGAAGTTCATTTACGCATTTCCAACAAAGTTCTTTTTTCTTTATAGTCTCGAGTTTGCTGCCCACATATACCATCCGGGAAGACGGACCCAATGGGGAACCCAATCAGAGAGACCCTTCCAACCACCGTAGTTCAACAAACGAGACACCGAGCGAAGGTTTGGTGGAGTACGGCCTGAAGTTTCTTTTCCACTAGGTTTTTCTATCAATCTACAAATTAAGGCTTAATGTTGTAAAGCTCGGAATTCAACACAAGAAGCTACATATATTTGTATTTAGCTTGTTTATCTCTCTTGCTGATTTAAATCCAAACCAGTTTTAGTGTTTTCAACTATCAAGTACTATGTGATCTTGGAATTCGATAAATTTTGCTAAGCCTTTGACTTTCATTACTATCATATTAGATTACACTTCTTGTTCTACTATTAGACATGAAAAAAGTTGTCCAAATTGGTTCTTTGTGTCATCCTTATATGCAATAGTCATCTTTTACCCACCATCAATATCCACGAATCCATATTTATCGCCCAGATCCGCTGTGAGAAGGGTTCTCCCCGTGAGCAGCATCTTATCCTTATCCCCGGCCAAGCGAACCACCGCGATTCCTGGGTATTCGATCGTCTCACCATCGGCGAACATCTTTGCTGTCTGAAAATGTAATTTAACCTTTTTTCTAAAGTGCAATAGTCGGTTTAAATGCTCTTTAAGAGCCTTTTAAAGCTTATTAATGTCCTTTAACACTTTAAAAAACTTAAAAATGAGTTTTCGCAGCTTAACAAAGAAAGAATTGACGGTGAAGGGATTCGAACCAGGGAGAAAAAGCGTGAAAGACGAGCACTATCCGTTACGCCACCGGTTGCTTTTCGACAGCTAGTAATTCTCGTCCATTCTCGTCCATATCCTTTTCCAAAAAATGCGCAAACTTGGAACGAGTTTTTCTCGAAAACTGTATGCCATGGAGTAGAAATAAAAACACGTATATCTTAGAATGTCAAAAGAGAGTTTTTACAATAGGTTACAATCTTAAATCGATGCCGAGTTGACGTAGTTTCCTAGTCAACTTCTGCCTTACCTCCGAGTGCGCTCCACTCTGGTCGGCTTGTTGCATGCCAGTGACGAGCTCCGTTCGCACTGCTCCCGGCCACAAACTGATCACCGTCACCTGGAACATTAACATTGTTATTACCCAACTCTTTGATCTTTAGATCTATCCATTATTCATCTATTCGCATATTATTTAGCTATTAATTCAAAACAAACCCCATCCGGTCGCAACTCTTTCGACATATCAGCCGACATTCTATCCAAAGCCTCTTTCCCGACACCGTAAGGGATGTTGAAGAGATATCTGAAAATGACTATCTTGGAAACCAAATACAGTGCCCTACTTACCGTAATCCACCCGGAGAGCTGATATTGATGATGAGACCTTTCTTGTTTTTCACCATCATTCGCGAACCATACACACAGCAGTAGTAGTGATTCCGGAGACCCACGTTGTTCACCTGGGAATGCATTGGCTCAAGAAAAGGAGATATTCTATTATAGCTATACCTATTTTAACATAGTTACTTTACTGTACTATAGATATATCCTAATATATCTATCGTAGAGCATTCTTGCAAATTAGAGCGGTATGGTCTGGTTTTAGCAATTTTAGTCTTGCCTTGTTCCACTCGGTGTTTTACAAGTGAAAAGCTCACAAATTTTAGCTTAGTGTTGAACAATCTGTCAGAAAGAGTGCGTTTCCATTTCTGAGCACAAAGAACACCAAGTGGCAATAAGTCAACCGTCTGGTTGTAGATACAAAATTCAGAAAAACTCCATCACTCACCTCATCCCAAACTTCAGCCTCTTGTTGATAGAATTTCTTTCCAGTGCCTTCGAAGATTGCCTAGAAGCATTTGAATCTCAACACTTTTCACCCCTTCACTTACCGTAACTGCCGAGTAAGCGTTATTCACGAGAATGTCCAGTTTTCCGTTGTTTTCCTTGTCGATTCTTTCAAAGAGATCCTATAATTGAATTTTCAGTATCACATACAAATCAAATATTATTTGAGTAAAAATTCACCTTGACATTGTCCATATTTCCGTGATCACAGTAAACGACGATTCCTTTCCCTCCACGCTCTGTGACTTCTGGAATAAGAACTCTATGAGGTGATGAATTGTTAAAATATTTCAACGGATATCTTAAATGCTAATTGTTATTTTTGTTATATTTTTCATAATATTTACCCTTAGCCGTTTTTTCCAATGATGGTAGAGAGTAGGAGTCCAATTTTGTGGCATCGCTCTCTTTTGGCTGACGTCCTGTCACATACACGGTGGCTCCAGCCTGGAAAGAGATCGGTAAAGAAGCTGATATGTTTAAAAATACATTATTTTATCATTTTTAGCTGGAAATCTTTAGTTTTAGCTTTACTTCAATGTCTCTTTAGGCTAACTTTATCCTAAAACAGTTTTTGCTACTGGTTGATAAGGATCCCAGTTTCTATTTATGCATCTCTTCTTACTACCATTTTATCAATTCGTACCCAGTTCCAACTAATTCCAGCTCAGCTATTCATTCGTCTATGCATTAAATATCTAACCTGTCCAAGTTGCAAGGCGATCCCTCTCCCGATCCCCCTCGAAGCACCAGTTACAAGGGCCACCTGACCGGCTAACGACATGTTCTGAATGAGATTTTTACAGTAAAAGATGAAATTTGAAAAATACAGAGTATAAAAATGTTTCAACAATTTCAACAATATTTCAACAACGTTCTAAACATCCAAATTCTGGATCGAAATCCTAACCAAACTGCTAAATCTTTTAACCCAGAAACACAATTCCAAATGCCAAAACAAGAGGAATAGCAAAAGATTCGCGGCCGGGTTAGATTGGCGTTTATAGAGAAAATTTGTTTAGTTATGAACTTTATCGGCGATATGAAAGGTTGGGAACCACAGTTCAACAAAATAAAACAGAAAACAAAAAGTGTAACAAAGTGGAAAGAACGAGAAAAGTACAGAAACTTTAACAATTTTAAAAGAAGGGGTGAAAACAATAAATGGAGGAGGGGAAATTGGGGTATGTAGATCTCAATAAGTGCAACAAAATGACACCAAAATCATAAAGATTGGCCCACTTAGAAGGAAGTTATGATGAGGTGCGCCAAAGATCCAGTTGCGCAAATAAAATGGCGGAAATTAGCCTACCCCGGGAAATTTTAAGAATAAACATAATTTTATAAGAGGATAGAGAAACATATACACGGAAAATACCTGGCGAAGCCCCGGACCGGGCAACGATTCTATAAAAGAATGAATTTTGAAGGGATGGAACTTCCTTGGACAGGGAGATGCCGTCTCGAGTACGGTAGCTTAGGTGTATTTTAGAATTTAGGGTTGGAAAGTTGCCAACTCGAACTGCGGGCATTGGGGTTTTACTATACAGTATTGTTAGAGTATGAAAGTGTTTCAACAATGGTGAAAAGTAATCTGTAGTATCGAAATATCGAAGTACCAAAGTATAAGAATCTCATAAAATGGTTCAACTCCTATCAAGTTTACCCAGCAGCCACAGTGATGCTGTTTAAAGGATTTTTTAAGTTTTTAAATTTACATAATTCTTTGATTATAAAGATTTAGAAATGGTAAAAATCAGTATTTCCTTTTGAAAGAGCCAATTTTTGAAAGAGAACGGAGTAAACAACTCGAAAATGGAATGGATTTTTAACGACCAAAAGTGCCAAACAACGATTCCTTTCCCAAAGATTTTCATCAAAAAAGAGTTCACTTTAAACTTGTTTTGGTCTCTATGGGAATCGCGTTTCTTGTAAAATATTTTGGGCAATCAAAATAATGAATTCTGTGAGTGGGAAAGGGAAAAGAGACTTTGATATGGAGAAGGGAGAAAAGAAAATGGAGAAGAGATTCGTGGAAATCTTTGGCAATCTTTTTTTTCTGCAATTTTATTTCTCTCATTCCTTTCTAATTCTTCTTTTCTTCGATTTCTCTCATATTGACTTGTTTTTCTCAGTTTTTTTGGGGGTTTTGCGTTTTTTTTCTGTGGAAAAATCCGTTGCTCTTTCCTCTTTTTCTAATCGTTTCTTATCGTGCTTAGAGTGCTTGGAGTAGTGAATTTTTTCAAAAAAGAAAATAAAAATTGAAATGCAATGGTGAAATCGACACTTTTCTTACATAGGAATGTAAAATTTGAGGTTTAAAATTTCATGAAATTGACCAAAACGACAGTGTTACCAGCATTGATTCATTCACAGATTTCTCATTGCTTCAAATAAGTTCAAAAAGAAATGCAATTTGCAAATAGTGCTTGGAAATCTTTCTAGAAATAGTTGGAAAAAAGTTTTGGCTTTCAAAAAATGGTTTTTGGGACAAAAACGTCTCTGTTAACAGCCTTGGAAATTAAATTCTCAAATAAGTCAAACATTCTAGAGAAATTTCAAAGAGTTTGACAATTCCTATTATGATATTGACATCTGAAATAAAAGAAATTCCTAATTTTAGTCAAAAAAAGAGTTTAGTTTTGAACCGAAAATGAATCAAATCAAAAAGGAAAAGAGATCATTTAAAAGCAAAAACTCACTCATTGATATAAAACCAAGTTTCCTGAAAAATCCTAGTTTTCAGCTTTTAAATAGTGACTTTTGTAAGCTTGCCAAGCACGGAAACTCGAAATAGCACAAAGGGAAAACCCTGCTTTGAGTGGAGAAATGAAAGAGAAAGGGTAAATAAAAAAAGAAAGGCGATTTGAACATTCACCCCCAGCAACAAGCAAACTACAAAAAGACCCTTTTTCTTGTAGTTTAAAAATACACATTAAGGAAAAGGATCAAAAAGTGAAATTTGACTGTTTTTATGAAGTAAACTCGTGGAATTTGAGAAAAATGATCATCTAAAAGAACAACTAAATACTGAATATCAATGTCGAGAAGTGAAAGTTGGGTTTGGAAAGGGATGGCTAAGAGGAGAGACACGAGATGGCGCGAGCAATGCGTACCTTTCATGCCGCTCGTACGAAAAAGCGGTATCTGGCACACTGGCTGAGCCGAAAGCGTGCCAGAAACAGCCTTCCTCGGTTTAATTACCCAAGTTTGAGGTTAGCATTAACCCCGAGACCGTTCCAAGAGTGTTTCGAAAAAATTTTGGAACGTGTCGCCGTTTAGGGGATGCACAAATGATTCGAAAAGTTTCAGAGACACGATCCGTGTTGTTGCTACTTATCTTGGAATGGTTCGCTTTTCCATCTCAGTTAGCATCTCGCTGAACGTTCGCCCAGTCTTTAACGATTTTGAAGTGTTTCAATGAGTGAAACACCGTGAAACAATGGTACGAAATCGGGGCTTCGTTTGTCCACTGTGGAGAAAATTTTGGAAAAATATATGTTGTTACTTGGGGGAAATGGCACTCGTTGATGAGGGAACAATTTCCGATAGACTTTCCAAGAATCGAGACGAAATTGAGGTGAAAATGGGAAGCCATGGTGTGTTTTTTGTTGGCGGACACAATCGTCTCCTTTCTGGCACACTGTCCAGATAGATACGACGACAGAAACGGTTCTCTTCGGTTTAATTACCCAAATTTAAGGTTAGTACTAACCCCGAGACGCAAAGAGTCTCGGAAATTTTGGAAAGGATTCCCGTTTGAGGGAATCCACAAATCATTGCGCAATTTCAGATACGACTGCGAGTTATTTGTGATTCTATACACGTTGGTGCACCCTGTATTACAACCATAGATTTAAGATTAATACATATGAATTCATAGACATAACATGAAAAGGGCCGATAAAGCAACACGATATAATGTATGTGATGGATAGCACAGATCACGTTAGGGCAAGAAGGGGCAAGAAGTTGAGGAAGCAAAAATGATGAACACTTGATGAAGCTATTTGAGCACTTTCTTCCACATAAACCGATTTTAATGTTAGTAGGAAAAAGATAGAGAATGGAAAGTTGCCTAACGCCTAGGCAATATAGCTGAAATAAACAGCCTTCTCAAACGTTTGTGTTTCAAAATTCAATCAAGATTTCTGCTTTGAGCACACTCAAAACAGCTTCCTAACTTCGAAATTAACAAGAAAAACTATTTTTTCGTTGTCCGTTGAACAACTTCCCATATTTTCTTCAAAACAAACGTTTCAGTGTCATTTCGGGCAACAATGGCCGTCGCTTGAATCTATTGTCCCATCATAGCTTAATTCTTGCTGGATTTCGTGAAATATCTTTTGTTAAGTACAAAAAAAAATGTTCAATATCGAACAAAAAAATCAAGTTTTCAAGGATAGACTTTAAGCTTTAGCTCAGCCTGCACACTAAAGAAATAAAAAAAAACTAGACTGGCTTTGCTTCTATTTTTCTTTAACCTTTAACCTTTCTAGATTTATTATCGTACATAATTTCAAATGCAAGAGGTCTTCTTCGCATCATCGACACATTTGATTGGTGATAAAATGAAAATGTTGAAATCAAAACAGATGAAATTGATCGGTCGAATCACGGACACGTTCACGAATGATCTATTAAACGCGAAACGTTTCGTGGCAGATTGCAGAAGCCGCCACGTTTGTTGGGTTCGGGGAGAAGAATCAAGAGTTGAGTGTTACTCATTGAAATTTTTTTTTCAAGACATTTCCTTCCCAGAGCTCACCAACGAACTCTCGTGTTCGAAACAAGAGCTCAAAGAAATCATTCACTAATAGGTCATTCCAATAACGCGGAAACAACTTCTCAAATGTACAGAGTGCGTGAAAATTATTGACGGGCGGTATAAGCCTTGTAATTTTCTTGAAAACTTATCTTGAAAAGATAAATTTCATTGTAAAACAATAAAAATAATCCACAAAAACAAAAAAAAAAGTTAATAAAACTCAGTTTGACCTTCTTCTGCTCGAATGAACTCGTGAAGACTACCTGGAAAAAGATCGACCGTGCCGCAAGCAATCTTCCTCAAAATCGCCTCAATCTTTCAATTTTGTGATTTATTTTGGAAAAATTCTCGCCAACAAAGAATTACTCTCAGGACCGTGCACCGCAAGCAATCTTCATCAAAATCGCTACACTAAAGGATTCTTTGTTGATAAGCCTTAATGAAAAATGTGCAAGGCTTATATGCGTATTCTTTTCTTTAATTTATACTGTTTTTAGAGATAGAATCTGGCCATTTTCAATGGAGAATAGATGTGGCTGCCGGAGTGCTTTGAGATTTGCTGCTGACTCTACTCATAAGTCATCTTCGTTCTCTTGTATTTTGTTACTAATCTATCTGACTTTGATGATTTTTAATGTAGTTTATTGTTGTTAACCTGTTGTTACTTCTTTTTATCTTTCACTTTTGTTTAAGAATAAATGTTATAATTACTGAATAAAGTTGATAATTTGCATTTTCACCAATTTGCATCTGACTCGATACAACTGACTCGACTTGTCCTGAAATCAGACTCGTCCTGGAATCAGACTTGTCCTGGAATTAGACTCGTCCTGGAATCAGACTCCTCCTGGAATCAGACTCGTCCTGGAATCAGACTCGTCCTGGAATCAGACTCAGTTATCAAATTGAGCAACAAGTAAACAAAATTGAGCTTAAATTCACGGCTTTTTTAGATATATCTCAGATTCCGATACCACTTTGGTGTCGTTGTTGGGGTTGAAGTAAATGAAGGGCTCCTAGCTTTCCGATAGATAAATATAGTGACTCGTTGTCGTCAACGCAAACTAAATTTGGGTTGATTTTAAGTATTAACCTAGAAACACATCACTTCTAGTGCACTGATTTGTTTGCTAAAGTGTTTGTTTGTTTGTTTGTTTTTTATGTTAAAGTGCCAGAAAAAAGTGTTTCCCAAAAAAAAAACAGCTTAACTCAGCTCACTTGTGCTTCCTGTTGACCTTTTCCCCACAAAATTCGACAACAGCTTGATGATAGTTTTCCCGGTTTTTTTTTTTGAAAAGATTTCTTTTGCAAGATCTACGCGATCTTTTGATTAGAAAGAAAAAAAAGGTCAAAAAGAAAATGTTAAGGCAAGAAAATGCGGACAGTTGACTGGCAATTTCCTTGCAATTCGTTCTCTTTCAGCCGCTTTGATAAGCGTTTTTGACTCAAAAAAAAGCCCTTGTCTATATATATTTTTCGACAAGCTTTAAACATTGATTTGTTTCTAAATGGCGGAAAGAGTGATCATTGGAAGAGGAAATTTCGGCTTTGTTGAGCTACTCGATCGCGAACAGTAAGTTTTAAAAGTGTTTTCAATTTTTCAAAAATGATAGTACAAGAAAAGAACTGAACAATTTCCTTCTATTTCTTCTGAACAACTTCTTTCAACTTCCTTCTTCCTTCTATGCTTTTGACATTGTACAGAAAATAAAAACAACAACTCTAGTCACTCAAAAGTCACTCAAAAACATTCATAAACTCTTTGAATTCAGTAAAATCGCCGCAAAATGGATTCAACGCACATGGAATGAGGAAGAGGATGAAAAGTTGAAACGAGAATGGCTAGCAATGAAGCGGCTATCGCATTCAAACATTGTACAATTTTATGCGCTAACAGAGATCCACGAAGATGTCATTTCATATTTTGTAATCAAGATGGAATATTGTGAAAGGAAATCATTGCGTCAGGGTGAGTTTATTTTCAAAATTAGTTTTAGTTTTAGTTTTTGAAAGGGAGCTGATTTTTTTGAAAGCTTCATTGATGAGGTGGTTGACACCAACAATGGCATTGATTAGTGAAATTCTAAAGGTTTATATAAGATAATTAAGGAATGGCATTGTAAGAATATACAAGATTAAGTTAACTTCCTCTGGAGTAAGGGAGATCAGGTGAGTTGTGGTGTAATGGTTAGCAGAGTTGCCCGGTAAGTGAAAGGTCACGGGTTTGAGTCCCGATGGCGCACAAGTTTTGATGATTCCTCTGCCCTAGTTCCAACTATTATATTCAGTGATCAACGATACAACAATAGTTTACAATCAAAAAACGATGATCTGTTGGGCCGAACATCTCTTCCGTGCACTTCAATGTTTACAAGAGAACCACATCGTGCATCGAGACTTAAAGCCAGAAAAGTAATCAAGCACTCTTTTTCTTTTTATCTTTTCTTTTATTTTTAGTGTGCTTGTGACAGGGGACTTTATTTTGAAATTTTGCGATTTCGGTTGTGTGAGAGAGCTGAATAACACAGGAACAGTGACAATGATTGGCACTTATCGATACATGAGTCCGGAGATGGCAACGAAAAGTTGGGTAAGAGATTGAGAGCAGCTTACCCAACTTTTACCCAACTGTATTACTAAACTAGAATAATAATGAAAATATTTTCTAGTTTACTCACCAAAGCGACGTGTATTCGATTGGATTAGTGCTTTGGGAGATATCTGAGCGAGAGTTCGTGAAACTTCATTATAACCTCAGCTCATAGTTGTCGTGACAAGGTTTTTGAAAGTAATAAGTGCTTGATGGTGGCGAAATGATAAGGGCCATATACTGGCTGACGTAGAATTTTGCGCTGATTCCGAATCTGTTTTCTGTTTCTGCTATGGAGCACTCTGTCAAAAGTTATAAGCACTCAAAGTTTTGTATGGAATTCTAAAAAGCATCCCTCGAGTTTACCAGCGGATTTTCCCGGACGTCCTGGAAAGCAGTGATGGCCGAGTGGTAGTCGGCTAGCATACGAGGCAAACCCTGTGGGGTTCGAGTCCGTATTTTGACTTTTTCTTGCTTTTTTAGAGGTAATTGATTGGTAATTGATAATTTGACAACAAATGCCAAATCGACGAATATTGGACCAATTCTCATAATTGAGGTATCATTCTTGTAGCAAAGAATCTTTATTTTTAAAATAAAGAAAATATATTCAATATTAATGTAAATCAGGCACTTATTGCTTTCAAAAACATTGTCACGATAATTATGGGCCAATTCGATATGGCCAGCTTGATCAAGCGTTTAGAGTTGTTTATGCTGAATATGGAGTGAGGCAATTTGATCATTTCACCTTTTTCCCCGATTTTCAACTTGGAAATGTTCAATTGCCATCGCCACACTGTGACGAAACTCTCAAACAAATGATACTAGAGTGAGTTCTGAGTTCATCGTTGTTCAGCTAGACGAGTTTTTCAAGGAAAGTTTAAGAAGCTGTAATAAACGATCCGAATTTGCCATTCGGAACAAAAAGCAGAACTTTTGATTTAACTTTTGATTTTGAATCTTATTTAGTTGCACAGTTTTTGATCACACAGCTCGACCTGCTATTCACAAATGCTTGACTCAAATTGACGATTTACAAAAGGTTAGCCACAATATAATCATGTGCAAAAGTCTTTTAACACTCAATTTTCTTTGATAAAGTTCATGGCGCTCTTTAAGCTATTAATAGTTTTAGTTACACAAATATATGTACAATTTATTTACACAAACGCTGTCGCTATACAAAACTTAGTGTTAAGCATTCATCGAGAAAAAATATAATTGTCAAAACATCCCTGAAAATCGTGGTGCAAAAGTCTTTTAACACAAGGCGAAATTAAGCTATAAACAATATTTTCTCGGTCCTCCTTTTGACAAAAGTGCTTCTTTAACACGAGTAGGCATCGATCTAATTAATTCATCAAAAATTCCAGGTCCAATCGTCCTCCAAATTTTTCTGATGTAAAAACATAGCTCGACTTTAGAATTGAAACGTTTTCCTCGCAATTTCGATTTCAAATAGGCCCATAAATTCTCGATAACATTTAAATCCGGTGAGAATGGTGGAGCTTTGATCAAAGAAACGTGATTGATCCCAAACCATCCCGGTAAATGTGCTTTTCCTCCATTCGAGAGAGTCACAACGCGGTCCATCAAAAATTTGCTTTTGTGTACTGGCGAATTATCTTGATAAAGAAACCATCATGGATTCATCGAAGCAAATGGAAGTAGACATCTGTCCAATATCTCTACATTGGCGGGAATCCATTGTTGACTTTACGAGGACAAGCGGACCTGTTGAACTTTTACACATCGCACCTAAAGAAATCACGTTGGGCTGCATAAAAAGAAAATTATGCTTACCGAAACACATAATTGATCCTCCGCCTCTTTTCACCGTAGGTTGCAAGTACTTGAGTTGATATCGCTTTCTGACTGGACGTCGGATCAGGTGATTTCGATTTGAAGGAAAAATATCGAGCAAATTGAAGGCGTTGCTTCCAGTGTTTGGCTGTCATCTAGGTTGCGTTCTTTTTTTTTTTTTTTTTTTTTTTTTTTTTTTTTTTTTTTTTTTTTTTTTTTTTTTTTTTTTTTTTTTTTTTTTTTTTTTTTTTTTTTGTTTTTTTTTTTTTTTTTTTTTTTTTTGTTTTTTTTTTTTTTTTTTTTTTTTTTTTTTTTGGGTGTGTTTTTTGTTTTTTTTTTTTTTTGTTTTTTAAAATGTTAATTTTAAAATTTTATTTTTTTTTTTTTTTTTTTTTTTTTTTTTTTTTTTTTTTTTTTTTTTTTTTTTTTTTTTTGGGGGGGAGAGTTTTTTTTTTTTTTTTTTTGGGTGTGGTTGGTTTTTTTTTTGGTTTTTTTTTGTTTTTTTTTTTGTGATTTGGGGGGGGGTTTTTTTTTTTTTTTTTTTTTTTTTTTTTTTTATTTTTAAGATTATTAAAGGAAAAGGGGGAGAGGGGGGCCAAATAGGCTTGCGAGCAGGTCTTCTAGTATGCAATGCTGATTGAAGCAAGCGTCGATGCAAGGTCCAGCGGGGAATATTCTTGTTTGAAGTTTGCTTGAAAAGAATGGCTCCATCGTTCAACGTCAAATTCGGATCCTTCTTGAAAGCTTCCGTAAGGAATCGGTCTTCATTCTTTGTTGTAATCCTCGGTCGTCCCTTTTTCCTACATCTGTGCACATTTCCAGACGCATTCATTTTTGCCATAACAAGAAAAACTGTTGTGGGCGTACATCCTAAGAGGCGAGCAACGTCTTGTCGTGACATCCCTTGTTTCCTTGCCTTGACGATCATTTCTTTATCCGGAGTTGACAAATACGCTCCTGGCATCTAAAAAAAATAAATTAGTACCAGTAAACAAGAAGCGAACGAAAATAATCAAAAATTTTTCCAGGTGTTAAAAGACTTTTGCACCACGATTTTCAGGGGTGTTTTGAAAATTATATTTTTTTCTCGATGAATAAGTTTTGTATAGCGACAGCGTTTGTGTAAATAAATTGTACATATATTTGTGTAACTAAAATTATTAATAGCTTAAAGAGCGCCATGAAATTTATCAAAGAAAATCGATGTAACTTTTTCGAAAATTGGTGTTAAGAGACTTTTGCACATGACTGTAGTTGTGAATCGAAAAACCTTTAGCGATACGTTGATTTGGACTTTTCGCCGTTAATCAGCCCCAATCGAAAGTGTCTTCTCCGATTGGATCAAACAACAATTGCTGACAATAACAGTCAATCCTCAGACATTCCTTTTCTTTCCTCCATCGAATCTCCAGACGAGTCACCATCGACTGAGTTTGAGCATAAAAACGAATCAGATTTCAATCGAATACTTCGCAGATCTCATGAGATAAGTGATAAACTAAAGAAAGCAACAGTAATGCCGATAACGAAATTGATGCGTGAGAATCGACTAAGCCACGGTGGATTGCGTGCATTACGGAAGAAACTAGATGAAGATATTATCGATATGCCTGTGAGTGATCCCCTTTGTGAACATCGAGACTTTCTCCAAAAAACCGTTTTCGATTATGAGTTCACTTTTGACTCTCTACCACTTTTCCCCGAACCCGTCAACGAAAATTTTTTAAAGTTTCTGTTAAAAAGTGGGCTTGACACGGAAGTGATTGAAGATTTGATGACTGAAAGTATAACTTGGTATTTATTGAGGATTGATGACTTCAAAAAGTATCGTGCCACTTTGATTAAATGCTTTCGAGCTTTATCCGACTTTTACGAGACAAACGATGCCGAGTTATTCCGCGAACAAATTGCTGCATTTCAAACTGCTTTCAAAAGAAATCCTTGGTCAGGCGATATCGCTGACTCACCGACACATCTACGCTTGGTTGTTTATAAAAATGAGAAAACGGTGCCAGATGCATGGTATTTACTTTCAAGAAAAGAATCACTTTTTGTTCGATGCGATTACTCTGAATTTCGCAAGTTTTCTCCATTTCTTGAATCGTCCAAAAATCTCGATAACATCTCGTTTTTCGATGTTGAATCACCAAACGATCCATTGAGGAAAGTGGAGAATCGGTTGCTGATTCATCCTAGTCAACCCACTTACAGCCATTACTGCCATTATATCACCAAAAACTTCATGATTGGCTCCGATCAGTTTCTCCCCGCTATGCATTGCTCTTTAGAACGATATGAGAAAAATGCAAAGGCTTTCTCGTTGCTCGAAATTCTTCGGAAATTTTCTCATTTATATTCAAAAAGCACTCATTCATTTGATAATTATTTGTTTGATCTGCATGCAACTTATGATAATGTAATGGTAACAGCGCAGATGAGAAAAATCGATCTCTACTCAAACGAACAGCTGAACATCGAACAGCTGAACAACCGCAGTGCATTACAAAAAGTGTACAGTGATTTTTTCTGGACTATTGATAGAGAAATTGCAAACATAAAGGAGATTTATCATAAGCTTTCCAGGCTTGAATCTTGTAGAAAAAATTTGTGTGAATGGAAGCAATCAGCACAATATTTTTACTTTTTACAAACGAAAAAAACGGGCACTTTGTCGGAGTTTATTCTATTAACAATGCCAACTTGGATAAGCAATGAAACAAACGAAACGGATTTGATTAAATGCATTGATGTGATGAATGGTTGTATTACTAAAAGAAGCTTCAAATATGAGCAAATTGACGATGAAAATCTTGCTCGGATCACGGTTGATCGATTGCTTTTTGTTGTTGAGGAATTCATTGGATTCATGGAGAAATTGGGTAATTACATTTCCAATCACAATTAGAGTGTGTTCCTTGCAGACAACGTGTTTTCTAAAAACAAAAGATTTTCCAAACGATAGATTATAGCTTTTCTTCAACGTTTTGGTAGCTTGCAAATCCTAGCTTGCAAATCCTAGCCTACCAATCCTAGCCTACCAATCCTAGCTTACCAATCCTAGCTTACCAATCCTAGCTTACCAATCCTAGCTTACCAATCCTAGCTTACCAATCCTAGCTTACCAATCCTAGCTTATCAATCCTAGCTTACCAATCCTAGCTTACCAATCCTAGCTTATCAATCCTAGCTTATCAATCCTAGCTTACCAATCCTAGCTTACCAATCCTAGCTTGCCAATCCTAGCCTACCAATTCTAGCTTGCCAATTCTAGCTTGCCAATCCTAGCTTGTCAATCCTGGTTTACCAATCCAAATGCGCCAAATATAAGCTACCGTAAACCTATGTTTTGCATAAGCAAACTTTTTAAGATCTAAATTGAAAAATTAAAATGTAATTAAATGTTTTGCGCTTTTTTTTCTCCTACTCTTTCCATAACTTTTTGTTTTTTTTTCTCTTTTTCAAACAGGTTATATTGGTAATTCCTACTATTTAGAGTAGCGCATAGAAAAGAAAAGTGTGATTGTGAGAGAAAAATGGATGCTTTTCTCCCAGTAATAGGGTAAATTCTAGTGATAATTGCCTCTACGCTTTATAAATCATTTTTTTTTTGAGTTCCGCAACTCCTTCGCGTAGACCTAAAATGCCCTCACTAGGCTGGGAATTTTATGTCAAAGTATGTAGATGTGAGCAGCAAAGAGACTCGAGCACAGTGCAATCTATGCCCAATTGCAAAATCCAATCTAAAACCCAATTGCAAACTATTTTAAAATGCTGTGTAAAATTTAAAGAAAACATTTAAAACAGAAAAAGTTAAGAAACTCTATTAAAAACTTATATGTTTTACGAATTTACTAGGCTACTAATGTCTACATTTGCACTAGAACGATTCAAAAACAAATTCCACGCCCTAAAAAAACCTAAATTCTTAAATAAAACTATCCATTACTACAGTTTAAGAAAATTTTGCACATTTTTTCGCCCGGCCTTTTTATAGCTTTGCTTAAAGAGCGCACCTTTTAGAAAATGCGTTGTCGGAAGTTTGTCGGATGAATTGTTTGACAAAAAAGTTGTCAATGCAAATTTGTCTGACAACAAGGAGCACACTCTAGTCACAATTATGGAGTATCGAAAAACAAACAATTGAAAACAATTTAGTGAGAAGAATCGATGAAGCAGAGGAAAACGGCTTTGATCCCCAGAAAAAATTGTAAGTTTTTAAATGATAAGCGTGCTTGACATCTCAAAAAGTAAACCATTCTAAGTACCGTATTTCCTCTAATAGTAGTGCACCCCACCGAGCCGAGTTGGTGACTATTTTACGGTTTTCAAGCTTTCACAGAAGCTTAACAATATTACGGTAATAGCCTATTGTGCTACTTCTTGCATTATCTAGGGCAGAGGACTGACGTCATAACAACAAATACCGCATTTCTCTAATAGTGCACCCCACCGAGCCGAGTTGGTGACTATTTTACGGTTTCCAAAGTTTTCCCAGAAGCTCAGCACTCTAATCCCCCACTAGATCTCATCATCAGCTACATTTTCCGATCCCACATCGATGGGTTCTGATAAGGGGTTCTCGAGATTTCGACCAATTTTGGCAAAGCTTAGGGTGCACTACTATTAGAGAAAATACGGTAAACTAATTAAGATGGGAATCAAAGGCAGACTATCCATCGATTTTGCAACAACGATTTTGCAGAGAAGTTTTCCCGAAAATAGCAGCATGATGTAGAGACTTTTTATATTTCATATATTGCATATCTTTTCTATTTTAAAATGTCGCTATGACAAATAAAAGGTTGAGTCACTCGTTCAATGAATGAACTTCTTTTCTGAAGCCGCAATTTTTAATGTTTTCTTCAAGTAATCGCATAAATTGATGTATTCAACAAGTCAAATACCGAGTAAAGAATAAAGAAGAAAGTTTTGAGCTCTTACAAGCTTCCAATTAGAGCTCCAGTTAGAGCTCCAGTTAGAGCTCCAGTTAGATAGCTCCAGCTCCAGTTTCTCTCCTTTTTGTTTTTCTCAAACATGACCAACCATCAAACTTGTACTCCAAACAGGTTACCAACCCCCTTTGCCATCTCGAAGCTCTCCTTTAGGCTGATCCCTTCTAATATTCGCAGATTGACGAGAATAATGAAGTTGAATATTGAAGAGAAGGTGCTCTGAGAATTTTGATAACTTGCTGGCTTTTAGTTCCATTTGTGAGCAAGGGTTACGTTTCAAAAGCATGGCTAGCAACTCAAATATATTATATTCTACCTCTGTCAATCTTTCAAATCATCAAGTACTGAGTGTTTGTGCCCTGCTTATCTTACTGTTCCAATTTTGATCGATCACCTAATCGATCAACATTCTCTTTAACGGGACGAGCTTCGGGTTGCCTCTCTTCACCAGTTTGAGCACAGGAAACGATCGATTGACAACGGGAGCCTGAACTTATTGATACTTGTTGAGTTGACTTTGAAGTCTTTTCGCATTTCACTCTCTAAACTTACAATAAAGAAGTCAGCCAACAGAAGCATCCCGTTCTGATCGGATCATATTATTTCCATGATCGTTTCTCGATGAACTTCTGACAATTCTGACAAATGAAATCACGACTGAGGTTGGAAAAATGAAAGTTTTTTCGATTTCTAGCATAAAAATTTGAATCCAAAACTTTTAATGCAGCTACAGAGTTGAAAATTTATTTTGGAAATGGTATCACTGCTTATTTTGTTTTTATTTGCTACCAACGTTTCAAATAAGCAAGTTTACTTCATGGAGAAGCATCAAATTTCAAAATCCATCTTTCAACTTTTTTAAAAGCGCTTAAACAAGTCCCAAAAAAACATTTCAATAAACAAATAACACTAACCTGATATGGCCATCTCTGTTAGCAATGGGCGTCGACTCATCAGTGCCATATAGCGTTATAAAATGAGGTAAATCAACATCTTTGCATAGTGATTATCAGTAGCCTAGGTCCTCTCATGCAACGCCATTCATCATAAAAATCCAGCGGTCAACATGCGCTCGAATTTGATCGAATTGATCGTTTCATCCAGAAGTGTCGTTATTTTTTGCAATGAATGCAATCACTTTCACTTTCATTGTCAGAGGAATCGGATCTGGATAACTCTTGCATATCCTCCTCTTGATCTGATCCATCGCTGTCTTCACTATCGAGTAATAGCACGTTTCCAAATTTGAATCCATTTGTAGAACACTCATCATCATGAAAAGAAAATAATATTGTAAATAATTTTATGGAAAAAGAAAGAAATCACAAATTGAATAAGTATAGTAATCGATTTTTGTTCTGTCAATATGATGCATGTCTGTTGACAAGCTTAGGATATTTTGGATTGAGTTTTGATCTGTCAAAACAATGTTATATTCAAAACTGTCTCAAAATTTGAGAGTCTCCTTTGAAAACCCTAAATAGCGTCTTTTCAACTTTATCATTTTTTAGGTCACTGTGAGACGGCAGTCCACTCGGGGGTCACCGGTGACCCACTTTGTCCCAGACGACATTCCACTGGGGCGGCACCGGTGGCCCACTTTGTCCCCACTGGGTCACTGGTGGGTCACGTCGTCGTCAATGTGTTAAATAATATTAGAAGTTTTTGTAAATTTGGGAATACTGTAGACATATTCACTGACAGTTCACTGTAGATAAAAAAGGAGACTAGAACTAAAATCTTTCGATTTATTGACAGAGTGGTCCAAGCTTGCGTTAAAAACCTTATTGTAAGTCAAAAACTCAGAAAACCTTCAGCTTTCTCTTCTTTGATGGCGCCTCATCCATAGAAAATCCCGAAAAATCTCGAGATCCCAAGTGACGACGAAAATGACAATGATTTTGAAATTATTGAATTCATTAGTTAAGGGTATTTTGTGGAAATCTTATGGTCAATTCAAAAGTTTTCCCAGTTCTCAAAAGCCAAAAGCCAAAATTATCTCTTCTCATCTTGTTGCTTGTTGTTGTCAATTTTGTTATAAATTGTTATTTATTTTTACAAATAAAACAGACCATAGGTAGCTTTTAATCAGAAAATTGATTTCTTTTCCTTTCCTTTGATCTCTTCACAAAATGTCATTGAATTGCTCAATGTACATTTAAATGTAAACACGATCGAACTTTGACATTTATGCGTTTTGTCTTTATCTTTATCAATTTGTTCAATTGGGATCCGTTCATTTTCCTTCCATTTCTCTCAATAATAGTTCTTACGCTAGGAAAATGGGAAACAACGCCGTTGGGGGAACGAAAAATGCCGTTGGGAGAACGATCTGTTCTGGGCAACCATTCCCAATCAATCGATACTTGCTTTAACCGCATCTCTTTTCGAACATTTACTATTCATATTGTTCTATTCTTTTTGCTGAACACTTTTGCAGTTAAGTAAAGCTTTTTCCAGCTTTTTCGCACCTCAAACGATGTCGGCCCAAATCGAGGAAATCTTTGTCTGCAAAGGGTTGAATTGTGCGTTCTGCAATTCGCCGTGTGAGTTGAACAAACTTTTATTAGGTTTTAAACTAAGTCTTGAACCTCAAATTGAAAACAAAATTCATTGACAACCGAGTTAATCGTCTCCATTGTTTGCGATGACTTTCGTTCATTTTACTGGCAATTGGCGAATTCCCCTCTAATAGAAATTTTTTTTTATTATCATTTCTAGCAATAAATCTCACAAATAAACACGAAATAAATGAATTTTCTTGAAAAAATTTTTTCTAGTGAGAATAGGCCATGATTATTATCCCTGCCCCTTTAAGAACGGCCAGACCAGACTAGAGTGTGTTCTCCGCGATTAATTACCGTATTTTATCTAATAGTAGTGCACCCTGAGCGTAGCCTAAATTCCTCGAAATCTCGAGAACCGCTTATGAGAACCTATCGATGTGGGGGCGGAAAATGTAGCTGACGATGAGATCTAGTGGGGGATTTGAGTATTGAGCTTTTGGAAAAGCTTGGAAACTGTAAAATAGTGACCAACTCGACTCGCTTTTTAAAGTTGGGAGAAAAAAATTTAAATAGATAAATTTTTTTTTTAAAAACGCCTCGGGGTGCACTACTATTTAGCCAAGTTAAAATAAGGTAATTACAGCCTCTCAAGGATTAAATTCTTAAGCAGTTTACTCAAAAAATCCAGCCTGTGATAGTTTTGACATTTCTTTTAATATCTCGCATCTTGATAGGCAATTAATAGCAACTATCTACAGTAGATCCTATCAACCTATCAAGATTTTCTAAATTTAGTCGCACCAACGCCGAACGACTTGAAATCACCGACGAGACTTCTGTGCGGCGTTGGGATCTGCAAGGAGTGCTTCGATCGGAAAAGGGGAGAAAATGAGAATGATGAGAGATTGATGAGTGACCAAATGATAGATTCGGTGAGAGAAATGACTCAGGCTCAGGCTCAGGAGTGGCAGAAGCGAGCCAAGCGAGTAGAAGAAGCAATTATCGATGGAACCAACTGGGAGCACTTTTGCTAGCCCACCGACACAAGCTAGTGGGTTTTAGCATCAGGTTTTAGCATCGCCAAAAACCTAGTAGGTCAACTAGATCACAACTACGAAGAGTGTTACTTAGAAACTAAAGTAGAGACTGGAATTGCTGGGTTTGCTTCATTTGTAGGGATAAGCGGCTGAGTAACGACTGTATTATAGTTGGCTCTGGTCCCAGTGAACCCCATGGTTTCGGTTTTGGCTTTGAACCGTGCGGCTTCGAGCAATCCTCCAGCAAGAAAGCAAAGAAATCCGGTCATTTGAAACATCAGTGTCATTATCGGGAAAATTGCTTCCGAAATCCGACTCCAGCCTACTTCTTGATTGGTTTGTTTGAGGATACTGACGAAGAATTAGATTATATTGGATACTGACGAAGAATTCGATTATATTTTAGAAATCCTCAACAACAAGGCAATCGTTTTTTCACCGAAGAAAAATGGATACATTCTTGCTAAGGTTTCACTTTGAAAATGCAAAAATTAATGAAAATTTTAGCCGCTTACGACTCCCAAATGTTCTGTTTGCAATGAAGAATGTGAGTGAAAAGAATTTAGTGCACCAGAAAGGGCTCGTTTATGTTATTCGAGCACAGTACCATAGCTTGCGTCTGCACCTAGATCAATGCACAAGAATTGCTAAATCCGTAAAACTTTTCGTACAACAACTGGATAAGTTAAGCTTTAAGTGTACCGTTGCTCAAAGTTGTAAAGTAGACTGAAAACTCAAAGTCAGTTTTGGCCATGAAAGGAATTCCAGATCACAATCACGGTCGTGAGCCAATGGCGCTGCGGTGCAATCACGTTTTGTGCAAACGTTGTCTGGAGCGTGTGATCAATCAAGACAAAAGCGGCACCATGCAAAAAAGTTGCCCCTTCTGCAATCAACAATTCGAAAGTGATGATGTGAGCGCGAGTAATTCGATGACAAGTTGGTGATTTGAAAGATTGACTTGAAAAAAGTTGGCCTTAAAACTGGTCTTGTCTTGCCACTAACAATCGGTCTTGCCAGTGAGTTGACTTTGTTTGTTTAAAGATTCGAACAATATCTAGGCTTCATCGATGGGTTGCCAGCAATGAATGAGCAACTGAAAAGGATGCAGGCGGAGGCTGAACCGAAGAGAATTCCAATGAGACAATGCGTTGAATGCGAGAAAAGAGTTTATTTGACAAGGGACTTAAGTTTGAGACATTTTAGGGCAAAATTGACGGCTGCTTTTTATGCATGGACTGTGAAAAAACGGTTTGCTGAAAAGGATTCTTCAAACGCGAGAAATCATTTAGATCTGTGCAGCGTGCACTTATCGAAAACACCGAGATCATTGCAAATTCCCATCAAATGTAAAGATATATTCAATTTACTCAACATTTAAAGAGGATGACTCGTTACTTGAATCATTAAACGTCGATTAGTCAAGTTAAAATTACTAATGCAAATTTGATTCGAGTAATTTTAATGTGACTTACTCGCAGGGAATACACTCTATGCAAAGACTGAGCTGTTTGAGCTGAGGGGAGCTTGAAAGCTGAAAGAAAGCTTGAAATTACTTTCAAGAGTTGAACCGCATTGTCGCATTGTCTCAAGAGATGGACTGGATGCTATTAGCAAAGCATCCAGTCCAATCCAATCTTCAACCCTTACTGAGTCCAACTTCCAAATAGAACCATAGTCGGAATCAGCGTGAAATTTGAAGGATCGTATATAGCACATGCCATTTGGCCATTTCCTTTGTTAGTTTCACATTTCTCATTTGCATAATCTATAATTACAATTCTTGGTTGAGCTGATTCCTCCCGAATGTGAGCACCCCTCAGTACACTTCTCAGTACACTTCAAAATACTCTAAAGTCTCTGCCCACTTCAAGAAAGCAAGTGGCTTACAGAAAACAAAGAAAAAAAAAAAAAAGAAAAAAAAAAAAGAAAAAAAAAGAAAAAAAAAAAAAAAAAAAAAAAAAAAAAAAAAAAAAAAAAAAAAAAAAAAAAAAAAAAAAAAAAAAAAAAAAAAAAAAAAAAAAAAAAAAAAAAAAAAAAAAAAAAAAAAAAAAAAAAAAAAAAAAAAAAAAAAAAAAAAAAAAAAAAACAAAAAAAAATAAAATAAAAACTATTTAAAACTATTTAAAACTATTTAAAACGATTTAAAACGATTTAAAACGATTTAAAACTATTTAAAATCTAGCTCAAACGTCCCACATCGGAGGCCCGAAAGAGATTGGAGATTCAATTCGCCCCCTACATGCAAATCTTACCCTATCTTCACGAGGAGTTGCAAAAGAAAATTGGCGAACTTGAAGAGGTATTTTTGGGGAAATTCCTTGATCTTTATTTTTACGAGTTCTTTCACTTACACGAACTGTGGAATTAGGTAAACCTGGCCTTTAATAAGTCATGAACTTTTTATCGAAGCAACTTTTGAAAGCCATAAAACATAATTTTAGAAAATCCTCAACAACGTCTCAACTGAGCTCGTCGAGATCGAGATCGAGCTGAAATACTTTTGGGTTGGCAAATGATAGTACAGGGTGGCGGACAATTATGGAAACGATTGGAACCTTCAAAGTGTGCCTACTTTAACTGTCTACCAATAACCAATTAAATGAATTAAATCTAATTGGTCGACTCAAGAAAACTAAAAGCTCTAATTTTGGCTGTATTTTTTTTGCGAAACTCATTGTGAGTTTTGTAGGACAAATAGGAAAAACCCTCATCAAGATACAGGCAAAACCCTGTAGAACCATCAAGATAAGCGTTGATATTAATTAATAGATAATTACCAAGTCAAAAACTAAACTCTAGAGGCTAAAGCTCATCATCCAGCTCAAAGCAATCGTTTCAGGAAAATGGGAAAAGATTTCGAGCAACTCTCCGAGGAGTACATCCCGCATCTCAGAGGATACATCAACAAGCTGAATGTAGGAAAAACTTACCGTAAATACTGTAATAGTACCCCACCCCCCTCGTACAGCCGCGTCGTCGCAAAAGTTTTTTAGTATTTCATTTTTTCAAAGCGCCCGTACTTTCAAAAAAATGCGTCTTTGGTATCAAAAAATAGCCCTGAAATCCGAGCTATTTTTTGATACCTAAGCGCGCATTGTAGCATAAACCAGTGTAGAGAAAAGCTCGTCCAAAGCTAGACTACACAACACTCCGCACCGTCATTATGGGGGTGGGGTACTATTACAGTATTTACGGTAATTATCTTGTCCGTGGCTGCTTCTCAATATTTCTAGATAACAAACAAGATTTTCAGCAAATAATCGGCGGATTCGAGGAAGAGTTCGACCCAAAAGGCAGCGATTTGGATTTTGATGAACTAATGGGATATCAGGAGATAGAAATTGAAGAAGAAATCAATGATCAACCAGGGACATCAAGGAACGACCAAAGACAAATAAGGAACAATGATGGTTGGGTGATTAGTGAAGCAGGACCGAGTGGGAGTGGGCAAGGAGGGGCTCCCTCCATGCTCACTCTCGCTAGAACGGCTTGTCCGAGATCGGAGAGCGAGGAATCCAAGCATCCTCTTGATCCCGGACTCCATTTCAACAATGATGATTGGTAGATCGATCTTGTTTTTGTTTTCCATTTATTTTTGCAATGGTTATTTATTGTTTATTCGTTTTTCTAGATATGAGATTTTTTGAAAAAAATAAAAAAAGATTCTGATCATTTTTAATCTACTTACACGGGGTATTTTTCCTTTCAAAAACCTCAACAAAAAAAAAAGGGGGTTTGCTAGCTTTAATTAGTAGAAATATAGAAATAATATACACCAATTGACCAAAATCGACTAATGGAAATTTTTCATAACATTTGGGGGCGGTGTGGCGTTTGTTAATTTGGTGAAATGAGAAAAGAAACTATTATCGCATCGACAGCCCTGCCCTCTTAAAAAAAGGCTGGGAAAGGTTGAAAAATGTCATTAGCCTGGTTTAGTTTGTCTGATTTTTCAAATTTCGTTTAGCCGTCGATTTAAAAAGTTTATGCCAGAACAACCGTAAATACTGTAATAGTACCGTAAATACTGTAATAGTACCCCACCCCCATAATGACGGCGCGGAGTTAGATTGCGTAGTCTAGCTTTGGACGCGTTTTTCTCGATACTGGTTTATGCTACAATGCGCGCTTAGGTATCAAAAAATAGCCCTGAATTTCAGCTATTTTTTGATACCAAAGAAGCATTTTTTGAAAGTACGAGCGCTTTGAAAAAAATGAAATACTAAAAAGGTTTGCGACTACCCGACTACCGGACGAAATTTTACCGTATCCTTGACTCAAATACATACTAGAAATGGATGCTTGTCTTTCAAGGATGCTCAACAAGCCCTAAAGTCTTGTGGCAGCTTACCAAGCCCTAAAGCTCAACAAGCCCAAGCTCAACAAGCCCAAGCTCAACAAGCCCAAGCTCAACAAGCCCAAGCTCAACAAGCCCAAGCTCACCAAGCCCAAGCTCACCAAGCCCAAGCTCTAAAGTTTTGTGTCTTGTCTTCAAGTTCTACAAGCTTTAAAAGTTTTGTGCAAACGATATTTACAGTGATGTAATTCTATTAATTTGTATTTAAACATAATGCAAATGTTTGATAATGATATTTATTAGCATCTATTTACAGACAATTGATATGATTGGAGTACAATTGGACCAATCATCAACATTGGGCAAATAGGTTAAGGGGGGTTTTTTTTTTGAATTGAGAGACGTTTTCTAAAACAAAATACAAAAAATGATAGAATTTCAAATCGAAATTGACTAGTTAAAGACCAAAAAAAAGGGGATTTTGAGCGAAAAGACGATTTTTTGATTTTGGGATCGGCCGAGCAACGAGTGAAAGACGAGTTTTCGAAATTGGCTTTTGGTTTTTGGTTTTTTGTTTTTTGTTTTTGAAAGAGACCTGGAAATTTTCTTGATTGTCAACAAAACTAGTTGATTAGTTATTTTGTAGAAAGTCTTCTTAACTCAAACGAACTTTGGCCCAAAAAAAAGCACCCGAAGGGAGTCCACGAGTTGAGATGACAAAGGTGAAAGAGAAAAGGAGCTCTCTTTGCCTTCTTTTAGGCTCTCTTTGCCTTCTTGCGGAAGTAGCAGCACACCATGCACTGGAAATTTGTTTTCTTTTACTTTTTACTGTAATTTTCCATCTTTATTATTAATTTAATTTGTTATTTAGATAGAATTGAAGCTGTTTTCATGTTGTCAAGCTCAGTCTTCATCTTTTGCTTCAGCTTTTGCTTTAGAATTGCCTTTCAGTTCTTAATATTGAAAAGATGTCTAGTCTTTAATTGAATACTTTATTTAAGTATAGGTTATATTCTATAGCTTATAGGACAAGCATTATGCATTGTAGTTGAACTTTTAACACGATATCTTGAAGCATTGAAGTTGACTTTTCGCGATAGAAAGTGCTTGAAGCTTGAAGAAGTGATTCATTCACCCCCTTTTCCCCTAATCATCACTCCAACCATCAATCCCATCAATCCCAATATTTGCCAACAATATTCCCCTCTCTCTTGCCTTCGGATCATGTCTTTTCCTTCTTCTTTTTTGAAATCTTGATTGGGACTGGGGTCTCTCCTTTCTACCCAAAGAAATGCACTCGAGAATCTTTCCGGGATTCCCCCTTCCATCAATCCCACCTCTCAATCTTTTCTATTCACACCACTTCACTCACAAGAGTGCACCAATCGAGAGAACACGTGTTTTTTCAATCTTTCGAGAGGACAATGACGTAGAATATTGGGATTATAGAATTGTAGGAACTTTGATCAACTGATTAAAGGCTTCTACAGCTGAGTAAAGGCTTCTACAGCTGATTAAAGGCTTCTATGAATTGAACTTTCAGCTACAAACCTGATTTCCATTCTGTTGTCCGACTTGGCAGACGGATTGCCCCGGGCATTGGTAGTTCTGGTTGCAGCTTCCGATTTGCACTCCTCCAGTGCATCCGCATTGGGTGTTCTGTTGAGCCTGAGTGGGCACATAGGGAGCTGGAGTGGGAAGGGAGGCTGGTTGAGCACCTGAAGGAGTAGATTGATCACTTGCAAAAGAAATTACGCGAAATGGAAAGTCAAATCTGTAGTTTAGGATGGTAAATTTTGAGCCAATGCTAACTGCCTTTTGGTCTTTTTGATCTTTTTTTTTGATTTCAAACACTTACTGGTGTCCCACACGCAAACTTGAGCTTGCTCATCGAAAACGGTGGCCGGTGCGCACGGCATCCTTTGCCATCTGAAAGGAAAGGATTTCAATTGATTGATGTAATTGATTAATTCAATTTCTACTGAAGCTCTCACCTTCCACAGTAAAGATTATTTGGAGCTGGTTGACATTGAAGGAAATGGGTTCGACTCTCGGGGTCTCTCGCCAACGGGTCCACCATCCACGAGCAGATGCCCTGATAAGCGGCATTCTGCACTCCTCCTTGCACTGAAATTAATTCAAATAAAATGATCCCAGTGAATAAGCGATAAGTTTAAGTAAAAGTAATGACAATGAATGCAATGACACTCACCTAATGGGCAAGCCTGTGGCTGCTGAACAACTTCTTGTTGTTGGGGGCAATATTGTTGTTGAGTGGTCGTCGTTTGACAGTTCTAAAGTGACTCTATAAAGATATTTAGAGGTTTCGAGATCACCTCAAACCAATCTCACACGCAAATTGCACTCTCGTAGATCGTTAGTTCAGAAAACCGGGGTCAGAAAGTTCAGAAAATGCTAAAATAAAGATCACACAACAAATGAGAAAAGAAGAGACTTTTGAGTCACTTGTCAAGCATTTGAACAAATATTTGAACAAGTTCTGGACAAGTATTTTGACTGTAAGAACCCAAGAGATAAAAGTATTCAACTAAAAGCCTGGATTCTTTTGAATTCTTAGACCTTAGGCTTAGGATTGTTAAAGTGCAAGTCAATTATGAAGCTGAATAAAGCTTTTCCAGGATTTTAACCATTGCAAATGAGGTAAAACTACTGGAATTTTAACAAGAAGTGACTCAAAAGTACAAAAAGCACAACAAACAGAAGTCCTCTCTCTCTCGGAAATCACTTGTAACTAACAAGTTGTTGAGCCTCCTGTTGGCACATGCACAAGCCTAAGCCTAAGCCTAAGCCTGAGCCTGAGCCTGTAAAAAACGCCAAAAAAAGGGGGGCCCCCCCTCTCGGAAATTTTTTTTAAATTTGGTGGGGGGGGGGCCCCCGGGGGGGCGGGCGGGGGCCGAAGCCTAAGCCTAAGCCTGCTTAAAAAAAAAGAGCCTAAGCCTAAGCCTGAGCTTGAGCCTGAGCCTGAGTACAAAAAGCACAACAAACAGAAGTCCTCTCTCTCGGAAATCACTTGTAACTTACAAGTTGTTGAGTCTCCTGTTGGCACATGCATTGTTGAGCGGGAGTGGTTGGGGCTTGTTGAGGACAGCACATTGTTGAGGCGACCACTGGCTGAAAGATTCCCAGATTTTCCCTCATCAAAAATAACGTTAAAACAATGATAAGCAACTCAAGAAAATAAGGATTTGCTTTTGAATATTTTCACGAAATAAGAAATCCTTTTTTATCCAAACTTCAAATAAAACTTTAAAACAAAACGAAACAAAAGCTGGAAATTCGCATCTTTTACTTACAATTCTCAGGTAGTAATTCTAAAAAGTAAAGTAAAATTGAGTTTCAAGTAAAATCTGAGTACCGTATTTTCTCTAATAGTAGTGCACCCTGATCGTCGCCTAAATTCCTCGAAATCTCGAGAACCGCTTATCAGAACCTATCGATGTGGGATCGGAAAATGGAGCTGACGATGAGATCTAGTGGGGGATTTGAGTGTTGAGCTTTTGGAAAAACTTTGGAAGCCGTAAAATAGTCATCAACGCCAAACCAGTTCTGCTATAAACCTTACTAGCCGATCTGATCACCTCTTTGTCCAAGCATCGAACTTGCAAGAGCTAGGCATTACTTTCAAAGATACAAAAGTTTCATTTGTTCAATAAATTTTTAATTTCCAACAATTTCCTACTCCTAACGCATCAAATCGAAGCTCTGATCTTCGCTAAAGTCCCTTCTAAAGCATTACCGTATTACCTCTAATAGTAGTGAACTCTGAGCGTCGCCTAAATCGCTCAAAATCTCGAGAACCGCTTATCAGAACCTATCGATGTTGGGTCGGAAAGTGGAGCTGACGATGAGATCTAGTGGGGGATTTGAGTGTTGAGCTTCTGCAAAAGCTTGGAAACCGTAAAATAGTCACCAACTCGGCTGGGTGCACTATTAGAGAAAATCCGAGTAATTGATTTGAGCTCACCTGATTGTTCTGTTGAGTGACACACTTGCATTGGGGCTGTTGCTGAGGGCAAGGACAATTTTGATATTGAGAAAAGGTGATCTTCTGAACAAAAAGATTTCTTCAAAAAAAAAACTATTCAAAAAAAAACGAACAGCCGTTGTGGACATTTGAGGGCTTCGACGGGTTTTCGGAGAGTTCACTGGTAGGTTGACTGGCTCGAGGATTTCCGGCGATGGGCACACACAGTTGTTCTCACCGTTCGGGCAAGCGCATTGGCGGGGAGCCTCGCGAATCTCGTCCACCATGAACTGCAAAATTTTACGAAAATTACAACTGTTTGATTTGTTTAAAGGAAATTCTCCTCTATATCTCTACCAGCTCAATATTTATCAACTCTGACAGTCTCTGAAAAAAAGAACTGCTAGAATTTGAGCTTTAGTTTTGAATACTAAGATACCAATTGTTTAAACTAAAGTGTAAATTATGTACTTACTGAGGTAAGGTGAGAGGTGGGGCAGAATTGGAAAGAAGTTGCGTTTGGTCCATCGCAGAGTTGTTGCTGTCTGCGCACCGATCGCACCGTTTTACAGCGACGAGCCGAGGCGACGAACTCGTAACCGGGAAGGCATTCTCTCAACAACCAGATGCCGAGATCTTTTCTGAAATTTGGGATTTCCTTTGGGAGAATGGATAATGGAAGGAGTTTTGTTGTCAAGGATCAAAGTTTTAGTTTGAGATTTTTAGACAATGAATATTCTTGCAAAGGAAGGATTGACTCGGGGGCCTTTGGAAAAAACCCAACTATTATATAGGTGCCCTTTTCTATTTAACTCCATATCCTATTTTATATTATGGTTGAAAAATTACAAGGCAATCTCGAGCCAATATCTATTCTTTGTTATCTTTAACTACTCGAGATAGCCTTTGAGAACTCCATATCCGATCTTAGATTATGCTTGCAAAGTTACAAAGCAATCTCGAGCCAATATCTTTATTCTTTTTATCTTTAACTACTCAAAATTAACCTTGCAAAACTAGTCATTACTAAGTGTGCAAAAGTTTCCAATTAGCTGAATCTATCAGCCTTTACTTGACCTTAATAGATCTTTTACAAGTAAAGGCCTAAAAGTATTAAATCCCTTGTGTTCCTTTATCTCTACCCCAGTGATCGTTGATCTGGAATCCCGTGGGAGAATGACTGTCCTCTCCTCCTTATCCATCATCATCTTCTAGGGGGTACACGTGAGTGTCTGATGAGTGAGAAAGCAAAGAGAAAAGCGGTGGTTGGATGAATCTTTTGAGGGTCCGGACATTTGTTTGCGGTGATTGCGCGAAACCCCGCTGGGAAACCAGGCTAAGCCTCTTTTTCCTCTTTTTCCCATTCCTAGATCTTTTTTGTCGCGCCTTGATGACAAACAATGAGAGATCGAAAAAAGACAATCGGATGAGAAAAAGGGGAAAGAGACAAACAATCATCAGTCTCTCACAATGACATGAGAGTAAATCTTTGGCCATTTCTTTAGAAAAGATTACTGGTTTCAGTCTTGTTGTTGTTCTTGGATTAGATTACTGAAAAGAAACTCGTTCTTCTTGAAAAGACTGTAATAGGGATTGTTGATGAACTCAATTGTTAAGGATAAGCTCAATTTTCTTTTCACTAACCTATCCGTAACATCAGCCGCTTGTCTCACACATTCCACATATCTATTCGGATCACCGGTGGCTCGAGGGAATGATGGAAGTTGGCAGATATCCCCAAGGATTGCTCTCCAATATTTTGGCGAATCCTCACCAGATTTTGCGTCCTCTTGCGCGTAGGAGACTGCTGAAAAGAAAGGAAATTTCATAGTTTTTAGTTTTTCTAGTATTGCTAGAACTTTTTGGTTACAGTTTTGAGAATAATGATGAAAGCACTTTACAAAGCTGAAAGCTCAATTATCAAAGCACTTTACACATTGCAAAGTGTTCAGCATTTTCAGGTGTTCAGCTACAATTGTACAAAAGTACAGTTACAATTGTAGCATACAGTTACAATTGTTACAACTTGTTTGAAAGTTTCACAATTGTAATTGTTGATTGAGTTTAAAAGAGATAAAATTCGACTGCTTTTGAATTTAAACAGCAATTTCTGTTAGTTTCTAGATAAAAAGGGTATAAAGCCCTTCAATAGAATATAGAGAAAGCAAAATCAACTCACCTAAAAAGCACGCAGCAGCGATGAGGGCGTGCTGGGTGCGCATCGTTTTGCTGGCAATGATCGAATGAGGCAATGAGGGGTATGCCTGAATGAATGGATAGAGATGGAGGTGGGGCTTGAGTTCTTTTCTTAAATGCAAAAGCTTATGCGACTCTTCCCTTCAGCACCCTTTTATATGAGGTGCCGTTTCTCGAAGAAGAGAGACTTCTACAGGTGGAGGGGTGGAGGGGTGGAGGGGTGAGACACGCCCCAGACACCCCCTCCACCCCTATTACCCCTTAGATCTCTCTTGTTTAACTCAATCCCCCCATCCGCTTTGTCTCTCTAATCTGTGAATGTGAGTGTGAATGACTTTTTCTTCTCCTTCTTCTTCTTCTTCTTCTTCTTCTCTTTCTTCTTCTTCCTCTTCTTCTTCTTCCTCTTCTTCTTCTCCTCCGTCTTCTTCTTCTCCTTCTTCTTCTCCTCCTCCTTCTCCTTCTTCTTCTTCTTCTTCTTCCTCTTCTCCTTTTCCATTCTTTCAATCTACCGGTTCTCCTGGGGCCTTCATCAATGAAAAATCGTCGTGGAATGTACAAAAAGGATATACACTGAAGGCTTTCGAAAGCTAATAGATTGACTAGAATGTGTGTGGAACGGCTGCTGAGAAGTGCGGAAAGTTTAACGGGTTCACAAAAAGTATCAAAGCTAAGAATGATTCAAGGGTTGAGTGGGAAATAAAACTCGATATGTTGACATTATATTATTAAGCTTTGCAGAAAGTCTTTTCGTTCCTTTTCGTACTTTTGTTTAAAATTAACAAATGCAATAATTGAACTACGGTTTATTTCATTAGAAAAGTCAATTTATTGCTTGAAAATTAAACCGAAATTAACTTAAAAAGATGGAAAATTAAACAATAAACACTTTTTATTCAGAGAAAATTATAGGTTAATTGGTAAATTTTTTATTTTTAATAAAAAAAGAACGAAAAAAACTTTCTAGACAGCCTAATAGTTAAGAAGATTTTAAAGTTTTTGAAATAGACTTTATTGTTATCGTTTTGAGTTTGATTCGAATTGTTTAGACTAATCGAAAGATGGCTTTGCCTCCGCTTTGCCTTTGCTCTGTCTTTGCTCTGTCTTTGCTTTGCCTTTGCTTTGCCTTTGCTCTGTCTTTGCTTTGTCTTTGCTTTGCCTTTGCTTTGTCAAGTTTTCCCCTACCGCTTATCTGGTATCTACAGGGTGACCAAGAATTACCGCAATAACGTCGTATTATGTTATGAGCCCCATTTCCCTTTTTGCTTACCTATTTTTATGGTTTTTGTGTATTTATTTTAAGGTATGATTACTAACTTTCAATCCATTAGTATCGTTGTTTTCAGGAATGGTGAAAGCGTCTCCACATCGACAATCGATCTTTGATCTCAAGCGGCAGCGTGTTCAGGCGAGCGAGATCTCAAAGCGCCTGAATGTCCCCAGAAGCCTCGTTTCTCGAACCATTCAACGATCTTAACCCATTGGATTACTCAGTCTGGACTATTCTTGAAGCCAGGGCATGTGCAAAACCACATAAAAATATCGAAAGTTTGAAGAAGGCGCTCATCAAAGCATGGGATACACTCGATGATGCCTATTTGCTCGCCACGGTCAACGCGTTTCCCAAACGTTTGTCTGAATCTGAAGCCTGTCTGAATCTGAAGCCTGTCTGAATCTGAAGCCTGTCTGAATCTGAAGCCTGTCTGAATCTGAAGCCTGTCTGAATCTGAAGCCTGTCTGAATCTGAAGCCTGTCTGAATCTGAAGCCTGTCTGAATCTGAAGCCTGTCTGAATCTGAAGCCTGTCTGAATCTGAAGCCTGTCTGAATCTGAAGCCTGTCTGAATCTGAAGCCTGTCTGAATCTGAAGCCTGTCTGAATGCCGATGGAGGCAAATTCAAAATTTAATTCTTAATTTGTTACTGTTATATGTTGAATAAAGATATTTAAGTTAACTTTTCGAGATGGGTTGCATATTTGGTTAAAAGCCAAAGGTTAAAAGCTTTTGTGTGTTGCGGTAATTCTTGGTCACCCTGTAGAATACTGTTTTTTGCATTAAATCATCCGAATCCATAGAGGACCCATAAATCAATCTGAACCTGCTTTGATTTTAAAACAAGGCTCAGAAGCTTCTTTTTCGATCATGAAAAAACCCCGTAATGTACCCGACTTCCCCCTCGGCTTTGAGACTCTTCTTTCTTCTCAAGTTTTTCATTCGTTAGCCGGTTTTGTTTTTCACACGGGAGTTTACCCGTCTCCATACACAAAAACAAACACAAGAAAAACGAAGAGACTGGGGGACAGGGATTTCTACAAAAAAAGGCCTAAAGGAATTAGAAGAATTAGAAGAATTCTGCATTTCTCAATCCGGCTGAACTTATCTACCTCAACTATTACCGTAAATACTGTAATAGTACCGCACCCCCATAATGACGGTGCGGAGTGTTGCGAAGTCTAGCTTTGAACGAGTTTTTCTCGACACTGGGTTATGCTACAATGCTCGTTTAAATATCAAAAAATAGCCCTGGATTTCAGCTATTTTTTGATACCAAAGACGCATTTTTTGAAAGTACGGGCGCTTTGAAAAAAATGAAATACTAAAAAACTTTTGCGACTACGCGACTGTACGATAGGGGTGGGGTACTATTACAGTATTTACGGTAGGCTTTTCCAGAAAGTCTTTTCGTTCCTTTCCATATTTTCGTTGAAAAATAACAAATTCATCAATTAATCTATGATTTACTCTAAGCTCACCAAGCTTTAAGTTCTTTGACTAATTCAGCAAGCCTAAAATTGTGATGCAAGACATTTTGTCTTACTCTACAGACAGGCTGCCATCAAGCTCTGCTCTGCTCAATAAAGGACATCACCTACCACACAATATAAAGAATCCAGCCTAGAGTTGATTTGTTTTTTGCTTGTACTGTTCCACTGTGAGTCATCTGATTTCATCAAAACCCAAAAATGAAGAACATCATCAAATGTCAGTGAATCTATCTCTCTGTTTCATTTCCAAAATCAAGAACAACAATCCCATTCATAGGAAGGAATGCTTCCTGGAGAGATGCAATGTGATCCCGAATTGACGGTGAATCGAATGAGCAACGATGACGGAGAGAGAGAGAGAGAGGGGATTGTTGATCCAGAGTGCACATGTCTTTCTTGATGACCAGCTCTCTCTCAAGAGCGATCCACTCTGTAAGCGATGCTTTTTTATGATCGAATGAGTGGGTTGTCTTTGTGAGGGAAAGAGGGTCCACTTGACGCTCTTGTCTCCTCCGCCGTGTCCCCTCCGCCGTGTCCGCTCCCGCGTGAACTTGAGAGCGGTTCTCTTCCGAATTTCCCCATCTTTGTTCTCTGAATATTTCCCAATATTTTAAGACACTCTCTCAGTTTTTCTCTATATCTACATGCTACATGGCTTTTTTTTCACAAAGATACATTGGTATGTGCACACGGATTCGTATGCTCAGCGAAATTACGATGGGGTCGACTTGGGATCAAGGGGATTCAAAGGTTTTTGGTGTTTCTTAATTTTTAGATTTTATACTTAAATAAGGCAATAGATCAACTTGAATTTAATTGATTCAACTGGTTCAACTGGTTGAACTGGTTGAACTGGTTCAATTGATTCAACTGATTCAATTGATTCAATTGATTCAATTGGTTCAATTGATTCAACTGATTCAACTGGTTGAACTGGTTCAATTGATTCAACCGGTTCAACTGGTTCAATTGATTCAACTGGTTCAACTGCTTTTTGGGAACAATTTTTGCCTCAAATTTAGGCTATTTGAGCTTTGCTAAAAATTCTACATCCCAAAAATAGCTATTAGGTTGGCAACTGACGCGTCACTACTTAACATGTTTTTTGTAATTTCAAGCGCCGTTTCTTCCCTCTCTCCCGACTTGGCTCCTTCAGATTACTTTTTGTTTCGGTCGCTGAAGCACTTTTTGGAGGGAGAAAAGTTCGATGATCATGCTCAGGTCATAAAAGCAGTCAATGACTACTTCGCCTCAAAAACTCTCAAGTTCTTCGAGGATGGGATCCGGGATTTGCGCAGAAGATGGGAAGAAGTCATAGATACAAGTGGAGAATACCTTTCGAATTGGAAGCTCTTCTTTTGTGTTTTTTAAAAATAAATGATTTGTTACATAAACGCGTCATTATTAAGTTACCAACGTAATAGATAGATAAGGTTGAAATTGATTTAATATTCAAATTCAATAGATAAATCCACTTTGCTTAGGTTAAAGAACAACTTTGAATTGACATCGATCTCTAAATTGCTCAGCCAAAAATCACAAATTCTGTAATAGATCAAGCTTTGATCGTTTGCCCACTCGAGTCTCCTCATGTCATTCATATTCATTCTTGTTCTTCTTTCCCTTCTTCTCTTTCTTCTTTCTTCTTCCCCTTCTTCTCTTCCTTCTTTCTTCTCTTCCTTCTTTCTTCTTTCCCTAAGGAAGAGTCAAGAGGGTTGCAATGATTTGTGCGACTTTTCTCTCAACGATAATCACTTGTTGACGGTCTTCTGGTATGTGGAGAGGACATTCTTTTCTGTTCCTGTACCACTACGCTAAATTGGTCTCAAGAAGGGGTGTGCAAGAAAATTAGGATGAAAATGAATGAAAATTATATCTTGAAAAGAGTTATATCTAGTACTGAACATCAAGGAAATGACACTTTAACATTTACTCAAGACGGACATTGTACCAGAAGTATTGATTTGATTATTTGAACCAAACTATTTGGTAGTTTGTCTCATGCATTCATCGTTCAGTTCAGTTCGATTTATGAAGGAAAAAGGTCCAAATTAGGACAATAAAACCAGTAATGGGTGTAGTAATATAGTTTTTTTTGAAGGTTCATGTAGAAATGATTAAAGTAGATCGGTCTATCTAGTATTAAAAGATGAAATCAATCAATCAATCAATTGAAATTCATTCAAATGTTGTTGAAATGTTGTTTTTTGTTTTTTTGTTTTTTTTAGCATTGTTAACTTTCAAGATTTATTAATTAAATCAAATCAAGTCTAAGAGAAACTCTTAACTGAACATTGGCCAAATCATTCTAAGCCATAAGCTCCGCACAACAGCACTGTACTTGAAAAGAAAAGGTAAACAAGAAAGAAAATAAGTACAAGAAAATAGTTTGACTAAATTTTGAGATCAATCAATGAAGTTTCTTCTCTTGTCCGATCAGTTTGTACCGAAGCACACCGGATCCCTTCCCAATGAGGTACTCAAGACGAACATTGTACCAGAGGTATTTGAACCAAACATGGTAGTTTGTCTCATGCCTATATGCACCCTGAAATGATTTTTTTAAAATTAATTACTTTTAGGTTTTATGTTTTAAGAGCCAAGCTAGTCAAAACTGTCAAGATGTCAAAATTGTGAAGGATTCAAATCTCTAGAATCTTCACAAATTGATTTTCGAAACTAAAGTATTTTATTGTCAATATAAAGTAAAGAAAGCTTTAATAGAACTTCAATAGAACTCACTGGATATTGATCCAAAACGCCTTTGATCGCCTCAGTGGCCTCCATGAGATTATAGTGCGGGATTCGCGTGAAGAACATGTGATGAGCAACATGGCCTGCAATTTCAGTACTCTAGTATGTTTAAAGGAGAATCTTTACCGTCAGTGATGTGATGGAGCAACGTGTCGACGCCGAATCCATAGGTTCGATCGACTGTCTGCACTTGTCCCTTCATGTAGTTCCACTGGCTATCCTCGTAAACCTAGACAGGATTCTAGTGGAGTGATAGGGTGAGTTTGAAGGGACTAGGCTTACTTGATAGACTGACCAGGTTGTTAGCTTTTTCTACGGTAGGCTGGCTTTGGTCTGGCAGCCAGCCAGGCACCCTGGTCTAGCTGATCTGGCTGGTTTAGCTGATCTGGCTGGTTTAGCTGATCTGGCTGGTTTAGCTGGTCTGGCTGGCCTAGCTCGGTTAGCTGGCCTGGCTGGGTTAGCTGGCCTGGCTGGTTTAGCTGTTCAGGCCAACTGGTACTTAAGAAGCTGGCACCTTCTGCAGGATTTTTCAAATTTACAAAATCCAAGTGATCGATGCGGTTCACTAGCGGCTTGTTCTAGCTCTAGCTTGTTCAAATGACTCACCTCGATTTCCGGATGAGAATGCTGCATGTAGGTGATGACAACAAGCCACAATCCTTGCCACAAACACGGCATATAGTAGTACCAGAACCATTTCGTGATCGAATAGTCGCAGAAGTAGAAAGCAACCTAATGACCACTTGTTTAGCTAAAGAGATTTCTGCACAAACCCCCATGCAGAAGAAAACGGCTGACGCGGAAACGGCGCATTTGATTCGCTCGGTTGTGGTGGTGAAAAGATCGGAGAATGGCCAGAAATGCGATCCATCGGGGAGACCGAGGAATGTGTAGATTGGATTCCATCTAAAAGTTGAAAGAGTTAGAGATAGGATTGGGTTACTCGAGTAATATCAACTTCAAGTCTTTCTTGATGCTTTACGGGGAGTTAAGGATATCTTTCAAAGCATCCGCCTAACTACAATCTTCCTGACAGGACAAGTTCCTGAGTTTCGACTATTGTCCTTAAGCTGTTCCTTAAGCTTTAAGCAGACTGGAACACCTTACTATTTCTGCCCAATTACCAGTTCTTCATCCTCTCCTTTGTCTGTCCCTAACAAACAATTTGTGTCAAATGATTGAACGGTTTTCCCCTCTCTTCCCCTCTTTCTTTCCCTCTCTTTTTCCCTCTTTCTTCCTCTCTTTCTTCCTCTCTTTCTTTCTCTCTTTCTTCCTCCCTTTCTTCCCCTCTTTCTTTCCTCCTTTCAATGGTGCTGTTTGGTGGACGATTTCTTCATCTCACCCTCAGTAAATCCGTGAAAAATGCTGCCAATGTGACGGGGTTTTCCCCCATTTTCTTCAGTCTTTCAGTCTTTCATTTGCTTGTCGGATTATTTGCCACGCTTTCTCTTCCAGCTTTCTTTTTTTTACCCCTTTCTTTTTCCCAAATCTTTTCTACTCTCTGCATCAGAGAGGCAATTGGTTGAGTGGAATTCTAGGGACCAAACTTTTGAAACCATATTGCTCTAGTAATAATCGGCTAATTCAAATTGTTCCCCTGTTTGAGACAAAATGATCTGATAACTTTTTCTACCCTTCATTGACTCTTTATCACTTGATTCGATCAGCTCAAAAATTCAAAACATCTTGTTCAGAGCAATGAGCTTCTCCAATTCGAGTTTCCCCCAAAAATAACTGATCAAAGAAGTTTTCGGATCCGGATCAGCACAACAGTTAACTTAAACGTTTGATCAAAAAATTTCATTTCACCTGAGCAATCCAGAGATTGGGAACTTCGCAAAGTGCTTCTCGAGAAAGTTCTTTCCCTCATAGTCCTCCTCGGTCACCCATGGATGTCCCTTGTCCTTGGTGATGTGAGAGGTGTACTAAAGTTGATACTTGTTGAGCACACTAACAATCAGCACTCCCATTTGTTTCCACTTACAATTGGGCTAAATTGTACGGTCTACCGGTGGGCTGCATCGTATGTAAACTGCTCTTTTAGGCTTGACCTTTCCAACTCATCTATCCCATCTGACATTTCTAACTAATCTATCCCACCTGACCTTTCCAACTCATCTTCCAAAAATATCCCACCTGATGATGCTGTCGATGGGTCTTCTGCCACGGCCAATACGGAGCCATAATCGGCGCGTGAGCGATGTGTCCACACAAATCATTCACCCATTCATAGTTCGAGAAAGTCGTATGCCCGCAATCGTGTCCAATGCAGAACAACGACGCTGCGAACATCCCGATCACCCAACACCTGGAAGAATTCGTTGAACATTTGAATAGCTACTAAATAGCTACTAAATAGCTACTAAATAGCTACTGAATAGCTACTGAATAGCTACTGAATAGCTACTAAATATTAGGTTGTTCGGATATAAACGAGCGTTTTAGTAGTCGACAAAATTTACCTTAAAAACAGAAACAACACAGTTTAATCCAAACTCTATTCACCATTATTATGGATTGCTTCTTGCCATCTTTTGCGCAAAGAATTGATGCGGCTCTTAAAAAACTCAGCCGGCTGTGACTCGAAAAACTTGGTGACCCAATTTTGGATATCTTCACGATTTTTGAATTTCTCATTGGCCAAAAAGTTTTGAATCGACCGGAATCAAAGGTAATCTGAGTCCAAAAGGTCAAACAACCTAATAACAACAAATCCGAACAACCTAATAGCTACGGCTCAAGTTACAAAGAGTTTAAAGTGAAATCTAAATGATTTCTAAACGAACCATGTGATGTATCCAGCCCATCCATATGCCTCAAAATACGGCAATACCAAATAGCATCCATAGAGAATCACGTAATCGAGCACCAGAAAGAAAAGTGATTTTGGAAGACTCTGCAAAGGATTTTATGAGATTTATTCTTTAAAAAATTCTTTAAAAAGTTGCTAAAAGTAAATTTGACTCACTTTTTCAAAACAGTGTGCAGGGATTGCCGCCTTGATCTCCTCGATTGACGGGAGCTTTTGGGGCTAAATGGAAATTGATTTTCCATTGATTTTCCATTGATTTTTCTTTCTTATTTAGCTGTTTTCTAAAGGTTTATTTTAGAAAAAGATAGAGATAGAGAAAAGAGAAGAAGAAAAAGAAAAAGGTACCGTAATCCTCTCCTGTTTTATGTAATTTTAATTTTATCTACTCATCAGATCTGACTTTCATTTTAAAAGCTATCCGAGTAAGCTACGATAACTTTCTCCTGAACACTTTTTAGAAAAGGCTTTTGCCTTGAAAATTCTAACTTGTTCTTCAAGCCATTACTTGATTCCGGAACTATTGCATTTCAAATTACTGCCAAATTACTACGATAACTTTCTCCTGAACACTTTTTAGGAAAAGCTTTTGCCTTGAAAAAAGCCTGGTTAAAGCCATTACTTGATTCCGGAACTATTGCATTTCAAATTCCTACCAAAAATCCAAATTACTGGCCAATCTGTGACTAAAATAACTCAAATGTCACCTGTTTCTTTCTTTGCCCCCACAAAAAAAAGCTCAGATCATCTTTTGGAATTCGAAAAGATAAAGATAACAAAAAGGAGGGCAAAGTTTACCAAAAAGTTTCACGGTTTCACGGTGTTCACGATATGGAATTTTTCACAAAAAAGAACAACCCATTCCCTTTCCCCTCTATTTTCTCTCGGATCTCTGCGTCTTTTTTTTTGATACACTCAAAAACGACAGCAAAGAACAGCTACATAGTGTTTAGCTGGGGGATATTTTAGACAGATAATTGAATATGAAACTCAAAGACAACCATTGTAGTGAAGGCTTTAATGGAGTCAAGAAAATTCCTCGAAATTTCGAAAGTTTTCTTCGTAAACAAGTGCTAGATTTTACTTTTGTTGGCAGTTTTTGGTAAACAAACGTGCAAAACAAAAATTTTGAACACGGAAATTTATCTTTGAAAAAAAAGGAAAGAAGGATCTTTTTAAACTTTTTAAAAACTACATCTAAACATCGTGAATTTCCAATAGTAACTTTGATATGTTTATGTCGGTATAGACTATAGATAGTTCCTATTTAGTTCCTTTTTGGTTACTGTATGGTTCCTATTAAGTTCCTATTAAGTTCCCATTTAGTTCCTATTTAGTTCCTATTAAGTTCCCATTTAGTTCCTATTAGGTTCCTATTTAGTTCCTATTAGGTTCCTATTAAGTTCCCATTTAGTTCCTATTTAGTTCCTATTTAGTTCCTATTAAGTTCCCATTTAGTTCCCATTTAGTTCCTATTAAGTTCCTATTAAGTTCCCATTTAGTTCCTATTTAGTTCCTATTTAGTTCCTATTAGGTTCCTATTTAGTTCCTATTTAGTTCCTATTTAGTTCCTATTTAGTTCCTATTTAGTTCCTATTTAGTTCCTATTAGGTTCCTATTAAGTTCCTATTAGGTTCCCATTTAGTTCCTATTTAGTTCCTAAAGGCTTGAGTTAAGGCTTTAGAAGTCCTTGATCATCCTTGATGAATTGCTCGATTTAACCACATTTACAACAAAGTCATTTTTGAATTGGCTGCCATTTTGGGCTATTTATAATAGCTGTAGATCTGAAAATTTGTAACCGGCATAGAGAATTTGAATCCCTTATTAATTTTTGGAGGGATCTTTAATTTCCAAGCCAATACGGTTATCACAAAACTCTTTAAAACTTGGGTTATTAAACCAAATCAGAGAAAAGAAAGAGCCAAACCGAATTTAGATTTTGTTCTTTATCCCTTTATCGTGTGCCAGAAGCCCCGCGATTATGAAACATGAAATTTTTTGCACATCTTTTTTCCTTCTAGATTTGGGGTTGCACTTGGGTAATTAAATCGAATAAAATATCCAAAAATAGAGCAATTTTTTTAAAAACCTAATAACGGCTCCAAGTTCCAAGTTCCAGAGAAAAAAAAGAGCGAAACCGGGTCTAGGTTTTGTCCCTTTCTTTCTTTATCCCTTTATCGTGTGCCAGAAGGCGTGCGATTACGTAAACATTAAATTTTTTGCTTTGTCTTGCACATTTGTCTTTTTTTTTCCTTCTGACACACAGCGCTGGGGTTTGGGGTTGCACTTGGGTAATTAAACCGAATAAAATATCCAAAAAAATAGAGTCATTTTCTTTAAAAACTAATCAGAAATCCAAATTCCTTGACCCCGAAAATCCCTGATGCAAATTTTAAGCTCATTTTAAGCTTTTAAGCTCATTTTCAGCTCACGGACAACAACTTTGTGCTACTTTAAGGCAAATATTGATAAGCTGTACTCAAAGTATGAGCTTAGGATTGAAAATAGAATAAATCAAAGCGTAGGCTGTGTAAGAGTTAAGTTCTGAGATTTGATGCCTTGCTCTGGAGTCATTTGGATCTGGATAAGATCTAGATCTGGAGTTAAAAGTTGACTGAATAACCCTGAAAGCTGTAAAAAGCCATTTATGGCATAGAATAAACAAAGATTTATTTAACTTTAGCATAAAATCAAACCTTTTTTGTGTCCTGTTTAAGAAGAGTGGTTGAGGAGACCATTCTTCAAAAAATACAGGCAAATGTGGGGGGGCCGTGATGTGGAGGAGCCTTTTCAGAGTCCAGAGGCGATGCGAGGGAAAAGATGGGGTGATCGCGGGTCGGGAAAAGGGGAAAAAGAGCTGTCTGACTGTTCTTTTCCCTCCCTTTTCCCCTTTTTCTCTCTTCTCTTTCCCAATTTTTGATAGAATGACCGCTGCGAACGAGCGATGCCGATTTTCCCGCACCTTTTGCACTTTGAACACTTTGAACACTCTCTAGCAGAGAAAAGAAAAGCACAAATCACTCCAGTTTTGATAGAAGAACTTTGAACTAATCTTTAAGTAATGTAAGTAATCATTTGTGCCCGACGAGCATTTTGTTTTAATGAAGTTTATGCAAAAAATGACATTATCCAAGTTTCCGAGCCGAGATCAAGTAGAGATCGAGTAGAGAAGCCTTCAAAACAACCTACAGCACTCTGTGATTACGATTACTAATCTGTAAGTAATGTAAGTAAAGCTGTAAACTGTAAACAAAACTGTAAACAAATCTGTAAGCTTAACTTGTTAAAGTTCTTAATTTTTCTATTCCCAATTCTGAAAGCTTTAGCCAAATTCAGTAGAAAGTTTATTGCAAAAAGAAAAACGAAATCACAAATCTCTTTTTAGAGGTCTTTGGAACATTTTTAAAGAAACCCGTGAAATAATGTTAAAGCCAAATGCAAAAGAATTATTGATTCAATCATATTGAACACATTGAAATGACTAGAATGCGTTTCTCGAATTCTATGAAACAAGAGCAACAGAAAGAGAAGCAATATTTTCTCTTTACGAATTGAGTACTAGTACTAGTACTAATATACAAGTACTCAATTCTTAAAGAGTACTAATATACAAGTACTAGTACTCAATTCTTAAAGAGAAAATCTTGCTTCTCTTTCTGTTGCTCTCGTTTCATAAAATTCGAGAAACGCATCATTGGAGTGATGCTTCGACGCTTGAAAAATTTCGATGAAGACGCGCTTGATTGTGGGGACTGACTTGAGGCTTTTGGTGAAGGCTTTTGCGATGACGATTCACTCAGTTTTGACTCAACGCTCTGTAATTGTTTGTTCTTTTGTCAAAGATTGAAAAATGATTGATAATCAAACGCTAGACATCGCAAGAATACTTAAATTAAGCTGAATTTTGGGGGTAGGCTAATTTCCGAAATTTTTGTTTGCGCAACTCACCATAACTTTCTTTTAAGTGGACCAATCTTTAAGATTTTGGTGTCATTTTGTAGATCTCAATAACTGCAACAAAATGAAACCAAAATCTTAAAGATTGGTCCACTTAGAAGAAAGTTATGACAAGTTGCGGAAATTAGCCTACCACGAATTTTCCTTACTTACTTTACCGTTTGAATACTTCTGGCTGGATTTTGAAACTAAAGATATTCAGCTGAATCGAAATCTGTCTAATAAAAGAAATGTAAACGTTTTTACGATATTCTATCTGTTTATGTCTTTCATTTGAATAAAACCCCAAAATCTTTCAAAAAGGTTATCGAACGCTCCGCCGCTTTTGTCATTGGTCTAACTTTGAGCTTAAATTTCTTGATGTTGGGTTGTTCAGTTGAAATATTCTTGATATCATTGGATACACCAAGTCTTTCTCTGTCGATTTGTGCAAAAACTATTTAAATTGAACAGCCGAACACCAAGATATTTGAGTTCAAAGTTGGATTGTCGATGGGGAAGGAGCGAGCGCGGATCAAATCACCCAAAATCCTTCAGAAAATTTCAAAATTCTGTGAAAACCTGTGAATGTGAGCCCACGGGGAAATGAGACATAAAAACTAGGGTTAAAAGTTCAAAATCTCCGAATAACTTTGAAAAATGAGAGCCAAAAAACTGTACCGGATTGGCAGCTGGGGTCGACTTCGCTGCTCCATTTTGCTGCTTATTTTGCTGCTTTTGCGAAGTCGATTGTACTTCCACCTTCACTTTTTTCACTTCAACAATATTCTCAATTAACTATATAGATTGTAAACTATTTGTAAACTATATTTGCTTCTCACCGGATCTGATGGCGGTGAATGGGAGAACTCGGCTCTCTCGAAGCGATCCAACAGGCGACTGCTTCGCTGAAACTTTCAAGTTAAGCAAATTGAAAGGAAGAAAAGAAATCCACCGTTTTGATTGATTCAAATTCTAAGGTAGAAAACTTTTTCTACCTTAAAAGCTTCAGCCCGAAAATGCTCTTGTTTTGCCGTCTCAACTTTGATCCATTGCGGCACATCTGGGACAGCCGAGTCGACAAGAGCTCTCACTCCCAACATCACATGCTCTAACACCACCACGATCACAATCTAAATTTTGTATTTACAAAGATAAATCTAGAAAACATCATTATTATATACCGTATTCTCTCTAATAATAGTGCACTCTTTAATAGTAGTGCACTCTTTAATGGTAGTACACTCTTTAATAGTATTGCGGTCCGAGAGGGGGTTGAAAAAATAGTAGTGTACCCACGAAAATTTGAATTTCTGGTGCTTCTTTCTCATCTAAACCTTTTTGACTTTATGTTTATGTGACATTCAAGCAAGCAGGCTTTTTTTATTCATTTATTAACTATTTCTTCACATGAAAAAGTTAGGAAAAAATCTAAAATTGTTGTGCAAAGGGCAAAAACATCTTTTCGTTGTTTGTCAAGACACAAATTGTCAACTCGCCGGCCCACAACTGTATGTCAAAAGGAGCCAAAGGAGTACGTGAAAGAGTTGCAAGAATTTTTGGAACAAATCTTATATCTGTCTTACTTTGGTAAATGATAAAACTCTCTAATAGTAGTGCACTCTCTAATAGTATTGCGGTCCGAGAGGGGGTTGAAAAAATAGTAGTGCGCACTACTATTAGAGAGAATACGGTAGGTCTATATTGTTTTTTGTTTTACCTGCGAAGCCCAGCTGAGCTCGGGCCAGATGCGCTGCACGAGACCCGATTGACCGATGAGTGCACAATTCACCATCACTCCCAGCGTTCCCAAAAGCTGAAAGATCGTTTTTAAATGTAAAATTCGATTTCTAGGAGCTTTAGAATCTTTAGATCCTTTAGATATAATCTTTAGAATATCAAGATCCATATCTTTTTCTAAAATTCAGCTTGTTACCTGCATTGAGTATTGCCACGCTCCAATATCGCGAACTCGTCGCCCAAATGGCCTTTGCACTGTGTTACAAAGCTGAAAATTTATTTTATATTATCTAAATTATAAATTATTTCATTCAAATATGATTAGATTTAAAAAATTTTCTTTAAAAAACGATTTCACCTTAAAAGCATCGACTCGAATCTCGATCAAGTTGTTGACAAGCGCGCAAACGGCCGCTAATGGGAAAGCCGGTGAAAAAAGAAGTACATAGCCAAACTAAAGACAAAAAAACATTCTTAAATCAATAAAGCTCAAACAAGATCACCCAAAATTTTATGAAATTGTTTTTACTTGAATGAACATCTCCAAATAGTCGTCAAGTGGGCGCTCATAGACACTCATCAGACTCTCCAATTCAGCTTGAGTTACTTGAACGCCTAGAAATTGCCTAGAATTATTGAATAGTGAAGACATTAAGAAAATAGATTATAAAGAATGAAAAGGTTATCAAAATTAGATTAAAATTAGATTAAATGATCAAAATTAGATTAAAATTAGATTAAATGATCAAAATTAGATCAAAATTAGATTAAATGAACAAAATTAGATCAAAATTAGATCAAATTCAATAGAAGCCAACCTTCAGCATGTGGTACAAATTCTGGTAGTGGAAGTCGAGGAGATCTCATCGTTTTTAACGTCTCTTTCTGAAATTTCTGAAATTTTAAACATTTTTAAGATATCACATATTTCAAATTACCATAGATGAATTGTTATTCAATTTTTCTGTAACTGATTCATCTTCATCACTCGGTGATCTCTCTTTCAAGAGCCTTTGCCGAATGATCGTTGATGGTGATTGATCGGTCGAGAGTTGAGGTGGAGAAGGCTAAATAGGCTAAATGAGTTTTCGTTTTATCTATCAATATTATTATCAGCTATTAGATAATATTTTATCCATCAATATCACCATAATGATTCTAATAGAAGCACCTAGTCGCTTTTCTCAGTAATTCATTTTCTTTTTTCCTTTTTTCTAAGCGCCCATCTTTTCTTAAGATGCATGTTTAGTGTCAAAATATAGCTGAGATTCAGGGCTATCGTTTGATACCTAAAAGAAAACTGTAGCTTAAAATGGCGCTGATAACGAGGCGCTTAAAGTTAGACTATGTGATGATCCGGCATGATGTCATTATGGTCGTTATTATCATTCCCATTATCATTAGCGGGTGCTCCTATAAGAATAATTACAGTATATTATAATAAAATCGACTTTCTCTATAATGGAATAAGCCAAAAAATCCTTCCGTTATTTAGAGTGCCGCTAGCTATAGCTTAGCGTCGGCCGGGACCAAAATTCCATTCCATTATATAGAGTTTCGTTAAAGAGAGACTGTATAATATGATATTATCAGCAACTCTAAGCCTATTTTACTTTGCAGTTTATCTGAACAATCCCCTCACCGGATCCGATCTACTCGCCTCGCTCTCACTCTCATTCCTCTTCCGTCGGATCTCTTGCACGTGTCGACGAAGCGTGTCATCGCTCATCGATCGAGTCATTCTTTAAGTAATTGTTACCAATTTTACCTCATCAATCATTTACTTGTAAGTCAATCTCGAGAACTTGAACTTTTCAATGAGAAATGGGACAGCCATCTCCATGATATTCTGAAATTTGAGGGACGATTTGAGTCATTTGAGGCTTGATTTGAGTCATTTAAGGCTCGATTTGAGTCATTTGAATGTTTTCCCCTCGCCGAGTTACCTGTGTGAGTTGCCTTGTAATCAGCAGAGTAGCTAAAGTCTAAATCTTTTTAATGAGTCAAATTTTCGCTAGTAAATCAATCACCTCTTGCAGTCTTTTCATATCTTTAATGATGAAAGCTATATAGAAAAGTGATCCAAAAGCAGTCACAAATTGAAAGATCACAATTTTCGACACAAGGAAATCCTCGTACTCGTCAGCGGTACGATAATTTTCTGAAAAAAGGATATTTGTTATTAAAAAAAACCTTTCAAAAACCCAAATTGTTGAGAAATAGAGCCAATAAACGATAGAGTTTCTCACTGGCGACAATGAGAAGAGCATAGATGATCATCGGTACGTAACAGATCCATCCGAAGAGCAACGAGCCACCAAAGTAGCTAAAGAATGAGAAAATGAATCGTAAATCCAATGAAATCCAATGAAATTAGATTTCATTGGATTCCTCTCAAATACCCTCCACTTGTATCAAATTGCTCAAACTGTTCACCCAATAGCAAAGTTTTGTTTCAAAATGTAGCCAATTGTGTGACCGTAGTACTTTTAGCTCAAGTTTTTTCCCCTAGTACCCATAATTACAAAAATTACTTGAAAGCATAGCTTTAAGATATTCAATTAGCAAAACTAATACTTAGAAAAGGCAAAAACTCACTAATTGGCGGTGTCCTGAGCGGTGAAAATCAGCAACATTGCACAGAACATAAGAAAGACGCAAAAGAAAGTGATTGGATAAGTCAGTCCTGAAGATTTTATAAAAACTTTATGATTAATCAATTAAATCAATGAAATATTTTATATTCTTAGTTCATTAGACATATCTTTATCGTTAATCTCACCATATCGAATCGCCGCACATTTCCACGCCGGGTACTGCGGTTCCATCAACCCTGTCACCGGATTTGGCGCCATGAATTCACCCTAAACAATTAGAATAGATCTATTGGAAAAGATCTATTGGAAAAGATTTATTGGAATAGATCTGTTAGAATAGATCTGTTAGAATAGATCTGTTAGAATAGATCTGTTAGAATAGATCTGTTAGAATAGATCTATTAGAATAGATCTGTTAGAATAGATCTGTTAGAATAGATCTGTTAGAATAGATCTGTTAGAATAGAGAATCTATTCTAATAGATCTATTAGAATCTATTAGAATAGATCTATTAGAATAGATGAAATTGTATTTTATAAGCTTTTCCAGCTCACCTTAAACCCCGGTCTTGGATCGTGAAGTAAAGCGTTGATCTCCACCGTATATGTGCCCCATTTAAAAGCCAATTCAGCCTAAAATCCTCATAATATTATAATGCAATAAGAAATTCCTAGTAACTTGGATCTTAACTTGGATGAATCCAAATCTATATTCAAAAAATTTTTCTCACCTGTTTCCTTTTCCAAAGCTCTAAATAAACCGTCGACCAGATACAGTTGACAAAGGCGAACAAAACAAAACAAATATCGTTTAAAAGCTGAACAGATTGGATTGAAGTCATTTCTTTTTTTTTTGTTTATTTTATACCTGATATGTATCCAACTCTTGCTCTATATCTTTCGTCGTTTTATAAGTGAAACCACCAAATAAAAACATAATTAAACCAAGACCCGCCGGAAACCAAAGAGTCGACGTCAAGAAACCCAACCAAGAGAAATACATGGCAATTTCTGTTCCAAAGTAGTCCTGTGAAATTCAATTTAAATTTTTATATGTTAAATTTGTTAAATTTGTTAAATTTATTAAATTTACATTGTTTTTAGTAGTGCTTTAAATTCTTTGCTTTCTCTGTAATTCTTTCTTTTCTTTCTAGATCAGTTGAGAGAATCAAAAGTCATCAAAAAAAAAATGATGTGGGAAGTAGGACAAATGCTACCTTTTTTGCGCATCTGGGACATTTGCGCATCTTTTTTCAGCTCTAAAAAGCTAATATTAACCAATTTCTATTCCAAAAGCTTGTTTTTCTGGGTAATTTTAAGGTGTAGAATTCAAATTTTGACATATCAGAGCTTGTGGAATTCATTTGAAAGATAAATTGTAGAGAATTATCGATTTTTGACTATGTTTGACTCTCGAACTCCGTCTGTTTGCTTCGACAAGCTCTGATATGTTAAAATTTGAATTCTATGCCTTAAAATTACTTTTAAAATAGAAAATTGATTAGTATCACTTTTAAAATAGAAAATTGATTAATATTAGCTTTTTAGAGCTTTTTCAAAACGAGAAAAAAGGTGTGCTAAAGAAAAAAATCGCATTTTTCCCATCCCCCAATTTCTATATAGAGTTTCGTTAAAGAGAGACTGTATAATATGATATTATCAGCAACTCTAAGCCTATTTTACTTAGCAGTTTATCTGAACAATCCCCTCACCGGATCCGATCTATGTGAGAGAAACTGAATATAATTTTCATTTAAAGAAAAAACTGTCAAAGAAAGTTCTTGCCAAATATTCAGAATTAAAAATGAAAGCCTATAAAACAAAGAGTTTCCTCACCAACCTTCACAAGATCCAATGGCTGAGGATCCAGAAATGACATCACCCATTTTCTCTGCAAAAAGCGCAACTGATTTGCGTCGTGTAATGGCAAAATTCGATCAACAATCCCCACAGCTGATAGATGAGTGACTCAAATCAGTTTTTTTGTTTGTTTTATCTTTTGAATCTTTAGAGTTACTTAATGGAGCCATTTCGGGAAGAGTGATTCGACGAGTTTTTGTTGATAGACACAGACCGCCTCTCGGTATTCGAATCCCCTCAATCATCTGTTTCACAATCCAAGCTCTTTCAGTGCCAGTAAGAAAGGTGACTTTATTCTAAGAATTTCTTCAGTTATAATTTTTCTTTCTTTCTCACCTCAACTCCATTAAAACAGTGCGCCTCGTCGAAACAGAAATCCCGCAATCCGCCTCCGAATTTCGGTTTCACTGGCTTTTTGAGATGGCACAACTCAGCTCCCTGGAATGATCCGATAAATGAATGATTCACGAATTAATTTTATCTATTTACGAAGCTATTTAATTCTTTCCATTGCCTCAAACCTTTAATAAATCACGATAATCGGCTGAGAAATAAAGCGCATAGCAATCGTTCAATCGATGATGCCGAACTTCAACGATTAGCGCTGGTTCGAGATGTCGTAACTGAACAAATGAATTGAATTCTTTTCTTCATTTCCCTTACAGTGTTCACAAGCCAGCACACTGTGTCTTTCATCGTTTGATCATCGTCATCGTGACAGAGTGCGAGCAGGACGTCACAACTAGAGCCGGACTCACTCGCATATCTGACAATGAAATTGTTTTGGGCAAATCAATGCACAATGCTGGGTTCTGGTTTAGACATGGGCACTATAAACTACAAAAATGACATCCTGTCATACTAAAAATGCTTCTAACTTGCTTCGAATCTGTTGGATTGATATGATCTATAGCTCAAAAAATCGAGAATCTCAAGTGCTTTCGAATGAACTAAAGCACACTCAAAAATATAAATGCTAAAGAAAGTTATAGTGGTTTGTAGTCGGAACAGACCATACTCGCGCGTAGTCGAAGCGCTGTAACTTTCTTTAGCATTGATACTTTTGGGTGGGCTTTAGTTCATTCGAAAGCTCTTGAGATTCTCTATTTTTTGAGCTATAGGTCATATCAATTCAATAGATTTGAAGCAAGCTAGAAGCATTTTTAGCATGACAGGATGTCACTTTTGTAGCTTATAGTGCCCATGTCTAAACCAGAACCCAGCATCCAATAGATTTGAAGCTATTTAGAAGCGTTTGTAGTGCCCATGTCAATTCTGGTTTTATTGCAATATGTTCGGAAGATAGCTTTTTATACTTCTCACAAAATTGTCGTTTTCTAAAGTGCAGCTTTCACGTCTGTCTAGGTTGTCACTAGAAACGTCCCGTAGTCTGTGCAATTTTCTTCTTTTCGCTATCTTCCATTTGTTTGACCCATTGTTTAACGTTTAAGCGAAAAATTGTTTGACCAAATTTCTTCATACAATTATTTTTTTGAGAGGCACGCACTCAAAAAAATAATTGCTCTTAAGAATTTAGCTTTTTTTAGCTTAATAACAACTTCAGCTCCTAAGAATTTAGCTTTTTTAGCTTAATAACAACTTCAGCTCTTAAGAATTTAGCTTTTTTAGCTTAATAACAACTTCAGCTCCTAAGAATTTAGCTTTTTTTAAAACTCATGAGTATCTTTTCAAGCACCTCCACAAATCAGATGAGAGAGCTAGTCGATGTCCTTGTTGAATTCCCTCTTGGACGAGATTTTGCACTTTTTGTTGCAACATCACCTCAACATTTCAAAAGCAATCCAACACTAAAATGTTTTTCAAAAATCAAAATTCAAAGGTTTCAAGTTCATTCAAAGAATAAATTACGTGAAAACATCGAAATTCTCAGTGTTTGAGCGTTTCGCTTATAGGCATTTAAAAAGTTTTTAAAAAGCCCGGAATTCGAGAAAGCTCAAGAAATCAAAACTTATCTGAAATTTTTGAGAAAAACAAATCTTTTTTGGCCTTAACTTTTAGACTTTCCAAAGCCAAGTGCTAAAAGCTTTTAGGAAAATTAAAGTCGAGACACACCTAAGGATTGCCCTAAATTCAACTTGGTTATGGGTAAATATTTGAAAAAAGTAGCAAATCAAAGGGCAAAGAAAGAGCAAAAAATGGAAACGAACAGCCGCCTAATATTCGACATCTGTTTGAGGAAAAGAAAAAGAAAAGGAAAAGAAATGAAAGGAGAAAAGTTGAAAGTGAGTTACCCACAAAAAAGCAGGAAAAAACGCGGAGCCTTACTCAGGAAATGAACCGCGAGAAAAGAGGATATTTTCATCTTGATCAGAAATCGACAAGAATAGTTTGGACAAGATATTCAATCTTGAAATCCAATATTCTCATTCTAGAATACAGTGCAAATCTAGACAAGAGTCAAAAAAGAGACTAAAGCTTTACTTTCTAAAATCTGTAAAAAAAACAACAAGGACAAGTTTCGAAAGAAATCAGGAAAAATCAAAGTTGAAAGCAAGCATCATTGGGATGAATTGCAATGATTAATCTTTAATTTTAAAAAATGCTAAACCAATTTCTCATTCATCTACATTTATTTTGGGTAGTTGTTGATGTCTGACAAAAAAATACCCTCAAAAGTTGCCCTTCAAAAAGCGCTCATGAAAAGGGCAATTTCTCCTCTCGCAAAACTCCACCTTTACTTTGCTCTTTTACCCAAAAGAACAATTTTCTTTCGACGAACCTACAACAATTTTGCCTCAAATGTTTGAAAACAAAAAGAAAAACGCGTTGCCTAACTAGTTCTCAAAAATTGGATCAGATAAAAATTTCATTCTTGAAATCGCTTTCAGATTTAAAAAATTTTTAAATCAAAAAATCCACTTTGGAAGACGAAAAAAGTCTTTTCGGGATATGAAAAGAAACTCGCCAATAACTATGAAAGAGGCAGCACGTGTTAGAATGAGAAACGATGGAAGAAAAGGGGAAGGGACGGGGAACGAATTGTCGAATATGGAGAGGCCCCTTTGCCATCCAAAAAGGGGAGGAGAGGGATCGATGAACCGAAAAGAGAACGAAGGACCCACACAACAACACATCCAACAACCAGGCACCGCCCATGTTTCATTCTGCCCTTTATGTTGCTTTTCATTGCCTAATGGTGTCACAAAGTTACAAAGCCGTGAAAATTGTGCAAGATTATCAAGATGGTTTTTGAACATGTTGATTGCTTTAAAATCTTGGTGCTTGAGCGTTGAGGGTACATCTCCGTATCTCCAGTAAACTTCTAAAATCCTAAAAAGCTTACAACGTACTTTCCCTTTTTGACAAAGTAATCTTTATGTTCAATATCACAGCATTATGACAATGAATAACAAACCGACATTTGTTATTAGAAAAGAAATGGTTAATAAGATTCAATCGCTTATTAAAATGCGACTAGAGAAAATAAATGGTAAGGCAGAAAAAAAAATAAGTGGAAATGGTCAAATTAAAGAAAAACATATTAAAATGAAAGACGAAATTGATCCTAAAATGACTATGAATTTGGGAAAGTTCATAACGGCTTGAATAAGACAACCGGATATGAATCAAAAGAAGTAGAGCAATACCTGATTGAGCAGATTGCGTGAGAAAAAAAGAATTCATTATTATCGTTCTTTGTCCAAAGGCTCGACCGTGATCTCAATCTAAAAAAGTAGCATGTTAATGGATAAATAAAAAGCCTATTTAACGTATTCTATAAAAGAAAAAGCCTAACGTACAACTTGCTGATTTTAAAGTTGTAGAACAGAGCACGGACCAGCGGATTAATTAGAAGAATGCTCATGTCAAATTTAATCTTTTGCGATTGATTTTTCATGTAATTCATAAACTAAGTCAACTGAAGAAATTAAGTATAAGTAATTGGCATTCCATAAAGTTAACGCACCACTCTTAGCCCTCGATACATCGGATTCAAAATGTGGACACCGGACGGCATGTAGATGTGATCGTTCTCTCGATTGATCTGGTCATCAATCTACAAATAATTATCAGTATGACTTCAAAATTTACTCGTAATCTCGGTGATTGATCTTTAAGAACAAAAATCAGTTAACAATTATTTACCTCTTTCAGCTTCTTCTCGTATCGCGTTTTTGCGATTAAGCGATTGATGTAGCACGTGCAACACCCAAGAATCGTTTCGAGAACCGAATCGGTGCAAACCTGAAATAAAACAATTAATCTTTAAAAAGATCTAAACAACGAAACCCTTTCAAAATTCAAAACATCGAAAGCAAACCTTTTCTGCTTCCGTAAATTTTTGATTGATCCCTCTGATTGTTCTCAACCAATCGTCGTCTCGTATCTAAAGTTTTAAAGTATTGTTAAAATCTATATTTTAAAATAGATAGTATATTTAAAGATTCGTCTAAATCTAAGTTAAATGATAAAATAGTTTAGAAAAGATAGTCCAAAGATTCGATATTTCTAAAAACGAGACAGTGGTTCTTCATTTTGTAGAATTTGACATAAAAGCACGATAACGTTTGAAATTTATCAAATTCGATTGTTATTTATTATAACAAAGTAACAGCTGTTATTATAACAGCTTATTATAACAAAACCAGCAACAACTATCACATTTTTCAATGATAAAATTTATGCAACGCTTTTTAAAATCATAGTGTGAGTGTTTGATTAAAAATTATCGAAGTTGTTAGAATTTGACTATTACTATGCGTTTACATCAAATTGTTTTAAAGCTTAACCTGATCTTTACATTTTTAACGTAAAAATTCCAAAATAAACTCACTCTTCCTTGCAACATTTCGGGCATTTGTGTTTCAAATTGAACCGCGAGTCCCTTCGTGTAATCCCTCGATACGAAGCATTTCTCTTGACCGGGCGGTTGATTTTCCATCAGAAAACCTACAATTAAAACAATAAAACGTTTCTTGGAAAAGAAAATGGCAAAAAAAGAATATTAGATATTAAATATTAAAAAAACTTCAAGGGATCGGCTAGAGGATCAAGAGCGACAGAATGCGTGAGAAATCCTTCGATTTATAGGCATAAAGGACATAACTACGGTAGTGAATTTGGCGATCCATGGAATAGTTTTCACAGAAAGCCCAAGGCATCGCATTCTGAAGTGCTTTTTAATTGAAAGTTGGGCATACTTTTTATAGGTTTATTTAATCAAATGCAAGAAAACAAGTAACACATCAACTGAGTATCATTTGAGAAAGTTTTATCGTCATTTCATTGAGGTTTCATCGCATCTTAGGATTCCTAAAGCTTCATTTTGTGGCTTTAACCTTTCCTTGATTACTTTGTTCGTTTCGTTTTCGCTTTCTTCTTTTCTTTGATCGATTTCGGTTCATTCATGTAGTATTGGGGTTCTTTGCAAAAGCCGCAACTTTTCGCGCAATAGATCCTCAAGGCAGATTGGCTGAAAAGCTATCGTAGGTAAAATGAAAACATCGTACTTGAGAAAGCTATTGGACTGCTTAAGTATTGGGTTTTGTCTCACCTGTAAGGATGATCACAGACACCAGTAGTTGCCAGTGGTTCACACGTATCCAATTCGTCCTTGCATGGAGAAAGGCCTTCTGTAAAGAGGAAGAAAGTTCTCGTAATCCATGTCTGATAAGTAACTTGATCACAATGATACAGTAATACCAATAGCTACAATAATACTTATCACACAATCAAATATTTATCAAATCCATTTAATTCAATCCAATTCAATCCAATTCAATCCAATTCAATCCAATTTAAGATTCAAACCCATGAATGCTGGTGTATGAGGACAAAGGTTGCAGCTTCTCGGACAGTATTCAGAAGCCAGTGGCAGTTTACATCTAGAAATCTTTAGATATAAAATTCTATTACTGTACTCACCCGCCCCGCTTTTTCACTTCAGCGCAATCGATTTTTATTGAATCATAGCACAAGAGTCCTGAAATTTTATCTCCTATAGAGAGCTAGAGTTACAGTACCATTGCAATTCCGACACTTCACTGGGCATAGCTTTAAATAATACCCAGGTCTTGAATGACATGTATCTTCCGAGATCTGAGAGCAAGTAGTCGGATCTCGATCTCGACATCCTGAAATGAAAATTGAGTGCATTTTACTTGTCACTACCCAGCAACGTAATCAAATCCGTCAATTTCATCGGGTTCACTTCGATACTGGAAACACTTGGCGATTCGGTCACCTAGAAACTTTTGAAATTCGGAAAAATCGATAAAACTAACATGAACAAAGGGAGAACTTGTGTATTTTCGATGGACTGATCGACTTGGATAAAGATAGTAATTGCTTTCGTCTTCGGTTGGCTGTGAAACGATTCTCTTCCTCAACATCGGATTTACGGGACCGTCGATTTGAGTAGCCTAAAGTTACAACAATAATCCTAGCCATGACCAAGTAAAGATAAATATTAGGCTCTCCAGAAAGTCTACCGTGTTCGCATCATCTTGCGGATTTGCTAGATAATTCTCTTGTTCCGGGAAATGATATGGAGGGACGACACCGGAGAATCTCCACTCTGGACCTTGGTTCAAGCTTGGCGTAAACGTTGGGACCATTGTTGGTTCCTGAAAATCTTCTTGAAGAAATTCTTCTCAATTAGACGGTGCTCCTCTTGCTTTTTCTATAAAATGCACACAGAAAACTACCGTTATCCCGTTATTATTCCCTGGCTTCAATATGTAAAGATCGTCAAGTGTTTACAAGACAAAACTACGATAAGATACGGTAGTTTTTAGACTTTTAGAAAAGCTTAGAACGCTTTGAAAAGCTTAGAAAGCTTAGAAAAGCTTTGAACGATAGTATGACGATCAATTACCGTAATCTCTTCCTCTTCACTTCCCAAGAAATTCATATCAACCGCGTTGATTGTTAAGGGTCGTGGCTTTGGAATTTTCACCAAAGCCTTTTGCTTTCTCGCTGCGATCTTCTTTGGCATTGGGAAAAGCGTCCAATTTGGCGGTGTACTCTCCAAAATGATCGGCTGTGGTTGGCTAAATGATTTTGAAAGAAAAAGACATAGAATTCCTTTACAGTGGGCGATAAGTAGATAAAGGGATTGGTTGAGGGAGATGTTCCTCCTTCTCTCCATCATCACTGAACAACCCATTGCTCCATTGAGACGTGTCACCAAAGCCTGAAACAAGATTGATTTCTAAAATCTTCAAAACTTAGCTATCTTACCCAGTTTTGCGTTAATCGGTACAAAGTATGGATTGAACGGGACAATGTGCGGAGTTGGGCCTGAAATTTGGATGAAATATCGAGATTCGCTTCGGATCTGCTTTGGATCTGCTTCTTTTATTCCAAAATTTTATGAATCTTGACTGAGTTGACTTTTAGGAATAGTAAGTTCACTAAATGAACTAATCACGGTAAGAAAGTCTTAAATTTCTCTAGAAAATGAATCATGAGGCTTTCAAAAGCTATCCAAGCTCCAGCTATCCAAGCTCCAGCTATCCAAGCTCCAGCTATCCAAGCTCCAGCTATCCAAGCTCCAGCTATCCAAGCTCCAGCTATCCAAGCTCCAGCTATCCAAGCTCCAGCTATCCAAGCTCCAGCTATCCAAGCTCCAGCTATCCAAGCTCCAGCTATCCAAGCTCCAGCTATCCAAGCTCCAGTAAAAGCTTCAGTACCACTCATCAACTCGCCAGCCGCCCAATCCGAGATCGCCTCCTCGTTTTGATCGATCTCAGCTTGCTGTAAGAAATAGTTTAATGACCAAAGTTACTTAAAACAAGTACTTTTCTATTAACCTAATATGTTTCACCAACAATTTGTGGGAAGACTCTAGTCGGATGAACCCAAGCCATCTCTTCTTGATTGTTCAATGTGCTCGTTTCCTGTTCTTCCCATATTGGATCATCCGACGTTGGTTGAGTCTAAAAGTTTTTACATTAACATTTTAAAATTCTCGCTTACAATAGCAGTGCTGGTGACGCCGAGAAGTTTCCGCTCAGGACGAGCAAAATTCAATGGTGATGTTTGGGTGGAGATGGGAGGACTGGTGAATCTAGTACACTTTTTAGATACAGTACAATTGTACAATTGAAAAACCTAGTGGTTGTCTCTGACGGTAGAATTGGTGTGCTGATCGGTTTCTTTGAGGTTTTCTTCGTTTTCTTTTTTCTTTTTCGAGACAGGGAATACGAGAGTTGTTTGTGAGATCTCTGGGTTTAGGGGTACCTAAAGATGTTTTAAAAGTCATAAAAAGAATATCTTCAGTTAAAAGATCTAAAGATATTTATCCTATCAGCTGAATATTTTTAGTGCTTACTGATTTCTAGAGTTAGTTAGGACTAGACTAGAAATTTTCAGACAGCCTGCCGCGCTCTTCGATTTTTTTACTGCCCAAAGCTCCTTCGAGCTTGAAACCCGGTTCCCCCGCAAGCCCTTATTTTAAGTTTCATTTTGAATGCCTAAAATGAAGCCTAAAATCAGGGCTTGCTGGGGAACTGGGTTTCAATCTCGAAGGAGCTTTGGGCAGTAAAAAAATCGAAGAGCTAGGCAGACTCCCCGAGACAGCGAGGCAGACTCTGAAAATTTTGCCTGAACTCGTTAAGCAGGTCTAGCTAGGACTTTACAGAACTACTTCAAAGCGTACTGTACTGTACCTACTTTTTGTAATGTCTATCACTGTTAATGTTAGCTTTAGGGATGATTATATAGATTATATAGATTATAAAAGTCATAAATATTACAAAAAACTTACTTTTGTACTCTCATCAACACCCGTTTGATCAATTTTTATCTAAAAAAGTCCAAATCTTTTCATAATCTTACTGTAGCTTACTGTAGAAGTAGTTGATTGCAATGGTGTCGAAAGTCCTTTATCGAAAATCTTGTACTTCATAGGTTTACCTAAATCACAAATCAAAAACACTCAAAAGTTTTTACTCTGTTTCGAAATTTTAGAAATTTTCTTTGTCGTCTGATTCCCAAGAGTGCACAAGCCACAAAGCATCGGACAGTAATCCTAAATTCTTTAACTAAAAGCTGCAAGCAATTCTTAAAACTTTCAACATTTGCGCACACTCATCTTTTCGCTCTTCTTTACAAGAAACATATATTGATTCTTGGCAGAATTCTGGAATTTGAAATATTTTTGCAAACTCGAAGGTCAACTACCGCCACATTGGCCACAAGTTCTTCGACAAAATTGCAGGGAATACCCGGGTCTCACCGCACAATCGTTTAGATTGCAATAGGGCGATTTGTCGATACATAAATCCTAAAAACTCAACTTTTTAGCATAAGCTCAAGAATTAAATTAAGCAGCCTAAATTAAGCAACCTAAATTAAGCAGACTAAATTAAGCAACCTAAATTAAGCAGACTAAATTAAGCAGCCTAAATTAAGCAACCTAAATTAAGCAGCCTAAATTAAGCAACCGAAGGCTGTAGCTATTGTATTGTTGAAAGCTAGAGATAAAAATTGAGAAAGATTTAAAATGGGATATTTATTTAAACCAAAAGCAATTCAAATAATATCTAATAATCTCTTTGATTGCTTCTAAATAGCTTTCAAAGTTCTCTGAGAATAGTCACAAAAAGAAACTCTGATTGGCAACAAAATGAAAACCAACTTATTTCTTTTTAGAGTTCTCTTGTCTATTATCAGTTCGGTAATAGACAAGAGAACTCTTTATTTACTAAATTGAAGTCAAATTATCTAAAAGTTTTTATCAAGATAACCCTTTACCGGTGTGGAAGTGACCGGCTCTGATATCGTCGCATAGATTGTTGTCGAGATGAGTGAAAAGAGGCGAAAAACAGCGGGCAACATCAGAATGCCTCCAATCAAACAAATCACGACGTGCTCCGAGCGGCGAGCCACAATGGTTTGAATAATTAAGTGAATTGGGGGGAACCGTTAGCACTTTAAAGAGACCAAAATTCGCATATAACTTGAAAATGACAGTCAGTTGGAGTTGATCGCGTCAGTTGGAGTACAAGAATGTCAAGAGCAGAAAGGATGTGTATGTACCCGATTGAGAAAAGAAATTCCAAAGGTGGACGTGTGAAATTTGAGCCATCATTGGTGAGATGAAGGAGAAGGGACTGTCCCTCTTCAGTCAGCCGCAGGGAAAAGATCTCGAGAGCCTTCCCGTCTTGTTAATTTGTTGTTTCAATCACGCTCAACCCCTACTTGGCCAATTCTCGACACGACTACTTTCTTGTTAGCTCCAAGATGAAATTTTTGTGGAAATATTGGTTGTCTACTGCAAAAGTACTGGTGACTTTAAAAGTTTAACTTTAAAATATGTGTGATATTTTTATAACAAAATCATAGGGCTCAGGATTAAGATTCAAGTCAGAAAGCTTACAAAATGTAGCCAAATCATTGGGAAAAGTTGTTCTCAAGAGGCTACCAGCTACAGCTATTGATACAATACCTACCAGCTTCAATACCAACAAATGGCATTGAAGTCTTCTCTTGAAAATTTCTGAACTTTAACCAATAAAAATTTTCCCATTGTCTTCAACCAGCTGGCGATTGATCTCTTTTTTTGTGTATTTGTTTGTTTGTTTGTTTGTGAACTTTCCTCTCCATCGATGCTTCCGGTTTCCGGATCAAAAGCTCTCAAAGAAAAGAATGGAAAAGAAATGATTTGCTTTGTGAAACCTCACAAATGATGTGATGACGACCTCAGCACAGAGCTTTCATATACTTTTGAGATTTTAATTTCATTACAGTTCAATTTCAATTTGATTTGAACATAGCCTAGACATTGCTTTTTACTGGCCAGCTTTGATAACATTGCTTTGTACTGGTCAGCTTTGACAACATTGCTTTGTACTAGCCAGCTTTGACAACGTGTTGACGTTGAACAATCAGTCTTAAAGTCAATCAATCCCGGTAAATTATTTGATAAACTGATTTACTTTAATCATTTCTACATAAAACTTTATCAAAACTTCTATTGCTACACCCACCAGCCAATAATTTAGTTTTATTAAGAATCAGTCTTAAATTCTTAAATTCAGACCTCTCCTTTCGGCTAATTTGTTCAGAATTTGTGCTCAAATATTAGTGTCTCTTTCAAAATATTTCAAAAGTTTCAAATTCAAATAGATTTGTAAAATTAGAACCTTCTGAACTTTGTATCTTGACGTGCAGTGATTTTAAAACTCCCGTTTGCAAGGATGCCAAGTATAGTGTACGTGTTCGCCTACTCGAACTACGATCCTCCTCGAGGTTTCTTTGATCTTTGAGGAGAAGTAGAAGAAAAAGAATAAAAGACAAAGGAAAGCCGTGCTCAAGTATGCTTGAATGAGACAAGACGAAAGTATACTTTCCCCAAAAATACTTTCCCTATTCTCTTTCACTTCTTTTTTTATCTTCTTGAACACATCCGCACTACTCAAACGTCAGAGGTGACATTCTTGGTGTTAACTGATTGTTGTGATCGAAGTGTGTTCCCTTGAATTGACTCGTTTTCTAAAACGTGTCAATACTTGGAAACTATTGATATGTCGTAGCCGATTATGAATGAAATTTTTTGGCAAATCTTTCTAGTAGAGCAACCCTTTAATGTATGAGGACAATATTATATCATCTTGTAGCGAATTGAATTCTGCGTCGATTGGTACCAAATTTGTGAGTTTAGGTTAAAAATTGCCGGCGCTACAACGTTTCATTCAAAATCGGCGGGACCCCCGTAGCCGATTATGAATGAGTGGGTCTAGGAGCGTCCAACCATCAAGTATTTAGTATCATTCAACGCAGAATCATTGATAATTATGTTAAATTTTTGAAATTAGAAAGATTGGATAAAAAGAAAAAAAATTAGAGCAAAAAAACTGTTTGTTCAAGAGGAAACTTTGAAGCCCCATAATTTGTGTTCTTTTTATCCAATCTTTCTAATTTCAAAAATTTAACATAATTATCAATGATTCTGCGTTGAATGATACTAAATACTTGATGGTTGGACGCTCCTAGACCCACTCATTCATAATCAGCTACGACAGATATATTGAATAAATCCTATTTATTTAACATATCTATTTACTGTATCTTTTGCTATTCTTTTTGTGCCTTTTTTACTGTGACTTTGATTGGTCTTTTTTTTTACCTTCACTAGTAGATAAATTGATTAGATTAGGTGAAAGCTAAAGGTAGGATTATGATTTAAAAGTTGATATACTTTGATTGGTTTTTTTTTTCATTCCACTAATAACAAATGAATCTTGTGAGCAAAAATCAGCAAACAAAGCTCAGCAAAAGAATCAAAGGAGTAATTAAAAGTACGTTCACAAGACACAAGGGACCTTTTTAAAGCCAAAAAAAATCCAAAAATCCAAAAATTCAATGTAAATCTTTCAATTGGTACTTTGACTTGTTTGAAATGTTTCACTCTATTATACGATGTTTGAAATGTTTCACTCTATCTCTATACGATACAGTGAAACATTTCAAACAAGTCAAAGTACCAATTGAAAGATTTACATTGAATTTTTATCCCAACCAGACTAATGAGACAGGAAAAGGGGAAGTTATAAACAGCCAAAAAAATCCGCTTAACAGCTTAAAAGCGGATTTTTCTTGCGTAGCTTTCCGGCTCTCGTGGTGCAGTCGGCAAGGCCCTTGTCTACAGCTTACACGATCCGGGTTCGACCCCTTTAGTGACTCTCCACTTTGACTTTTTCAATTTTTATTTTAAATGGCACAACTACAATAAGGTTTTCTAAAGAAGTTTTAGCTTCATTGGTCAAAATAAGGCCAAGAAAATGCCCGTACAGACTGACGGACACTGCTCTTTTAAATATAGTAGATTTTATGGATTTCAAAGTTTATAGTGCAAAGTTTTCAAAACTTCAATCAAAACTCTCCCCAATTTGTGTATTGAAATGCTCAGCTTGATTTGCGCAAGTTTTCTCTTTGAAAAATTTTGTTCTAACGTTTTCGGTGCATATTTCTAATAGTTGATGCACCAGAACAGCATAAGCCTAAGCCTGAGCCTAAGCCTAAGCCTAAGCCTAAGCCTAAGCCTAAGCCTAAGCCTAAGCCTAAGCCTAAGCCTAAGCCTAAGCCTAAGCCTAAGCCTAAGCCTAAGCCTAAGCCTGAGCCTGAGCCTAAGCCTGAAAAATTTTGTTCTAACGTTTTCTCATACAAGTAAACAACAACAATATCTTCTATCGCTTGAACTCAATATTTTTTATCAACGAATTCCACCAAAACTTAAAAAATAGATAAGCTTTTCAGCAAATGATCCTCAACACTGATATCTCCTCCAAATCACGCGGGTTATCCAAGTTCAAGGTGATTGTTCCCTCATCTTCTCCCTCAACTCTTATCAAATCTTGTCTCAAAATCTCAATTCTCTTTTTGGAAACTCAAAAATTGACGAAATTGACTTACTTTTCCCTGGATTTTCTCAAAAAACTTTTCAGGATAAAGTGCAAAACCGGAAAAATTTCCCTATCATCGAGAAAGTTTCCGCTCAAAACTCTCGGCTCAAAACTCTCCGCTTTCTATCACAAATTTTCTCAGTTATTTCAGGTCGAATGAGAGAAAAACGACCAAAATGACAAGACTTTGAGCGGCGAAATTTGGAGAGAATTTTAGTTGGATATTTTGAGGGATTTGAGATCAAAACTGGTTGACAGCTAACATAAGACAGATCAAATCAAGAGGAAAGAAAGAAGTGAGCGAGGAGGAGTCGTTGAGCGAGCTTTCAAACTTTCAAACGAGGTCCATCCCATCACACAGTCAAAATATTTTGACATTTAAACCATTTCGGATTTATTTTTAAGATAGAAAGCCAAGTCTAGATCAAACCAAGCCAAGTCTTGTTCTGTTTTATGTCTAGATTGTTTTAGAACTCAACTTTCAAGCTTTAGAATGCTTTAGAAAGCTTTTTTTTTGTTGTCCATCTTTTGACGGCAAACATTCCTTTATAGTTCCTATTTAGTTCCTTTATAGTTCCTCTATAGTTCCTTTACTGTTCTGTTTTACGTCTAGATTGTTTTAGAACTCAACTTTCAAGCTTTAGAAAGCTTTCAATCTTTTTTTTTCTTGTCCATCTTTTGACGGCAAATTTTAGTCACGATAAATGAGTTTTATTTTTACTAACATGAACATTAGCATCAGTCAGGAAGAAGCAGGAACAGGAAGAAGCTATTTTTTTTGGACATGCCGAAACGGCAACGCACAGGAAATTAGCAAATTTAACTATTCTCAAAAAACCAAAAACTCGGAAGTCGACGCTGCTCTTTTTCGCTTTTTATCTTTGGTTTTGGCTAAAAATCATCAACTTACCGTATTCTGATGTACTAATCGTTGCTTTTTGCTAAATTTTTCGTTCCATAGTGTATCCGAAACGAGTTAGCAGTGAAAGATCATTTTTTTTAGGTTTTGTTATTGATATTCTTTTGTTTAACTATAAGATTTGGTTTTTTATGTACTAATCGTTGCTTTTTGTTAAATTTTATCTCATTTTATCTAAGAAAAGATTTGTTTTTGATTTGTTATTGATAGAAATAAGAAAATCTTTCTTGAAGACATAAAAAGAACGAAATCTAATAGGTTAAATCAGTAAAGTTTTATCTCTATTTTATTTTAATGTACTTTAATGTCTCTATTTTATTTTTATCTCTATTTTATTTCTTTTCTCATGATGTTTTCCTTTTCTCCATAAACACGAACAAAACAGAAATCAATTAGCTCTCTTTCTTTGACAAAGATCATCAATGACAATTTCTTTTCCTTTTTTGAAATCTTGTTATTGTTGTGGACAAGTTGCAGTGCGTATTTGTCAATGTAAAGAAACGACTCATTTTTGT